AACTCGAAAGGTTGTAGTCTGCAAGGTCAAGCTCTCTTGAAGTGACATGAGAGCTATGGAGACGGTTCATACCACGGTCATCTGCAAAGTTGAGAGCAATCTCTATAAGAACCAAAAAGAGGATGTGATTTCCGTCAGGATCAGGATTTACCATCAACGCCCAAGCTATGCTACACTTTCTAACCCTTCCACCCCCCGAGGTCTTTTGATAGGGAAGAGCCTCTCTTTCAACCAATATGTAAACCCACCATGTCCTCACACTACCCGTCGGTGACTTCCTCTCTCTCTCTCTATTCAACGAAGCTCCAGTCTCTTCACCGGAAACCCCCCCTAATTCATCTTCCCCTCCCCTCTATACTCCTCCTCGCCCTCGCCCTCTCCATCCTCATCCTCGTACTCCTCCTCATATTCCTCCTCCTCATACTCCCCCTCCCCATCCTCATCATCAATAATAGCCTGCTCATTATCATCCTCATTCTCCAACAACGTCTCCCCCTCGGCGTCCGTGGTCTCATCCTCGAGATCCGTATTCCCTGAGATGAGCAGACTCCGCAAATCATCCTCGCTGAGAATCGTCTCGATGCTGCCCCTCCGGATCCAGGGTCTCGTCTCCCTCCTCCCCTGCTCAATCAACCTCTCAATCTTGAGCCGGTTGCCCACAAACTTGAGGATGGGGTACCCGCGCTGCTGACCCTCGTGAATCATGCGCGCCAGCCGCGGCGGGTCCGGGTCCGAGAGAATATGCACAAAGTCCGAAGGGACAGTCTTGGGCCAGACGGTGATTGTGCCGCTAAACGTCTGCAAGAACAACTGCGACCAGTCCTGACCCAAAGGTCGGGGCAGCAGCTCGGCGTGGCGGATGAACTTAAGCCACTTAGTCATATCGAGCTTGAGGTAGTGCTCTACCGCCGACATGACGTACCCGCCGCGCCAGCCTTTGCCCTTGCGGTGCGTGACGGGGTGGCCCACGGAGCCGCGCGAGGAGAAGAAGAAGAGATTGATGTGCGGGTTGACCTGGCTGACAATGGTGAAATTGACGTTGAAGTGCAGGTTGAGGGCCTTGATGGGGATATCGGTCCGCAGGCTGCCGTCCTTCCACTTGTGACCAAACGAATAAGGAACCAGCGTCCCGTCGCGCTGCTTCATCATCAGCACGACAGGATTCAGAATGCCCGGGACGGCGGCGGAGGCCAGCACGGCGGACCATATGACGCAGTCCGGGCTGGTGAGGTAGTTGCAGAGGATGGTAGGCGAGTGCGGGTCGGCGGGCACGCACGAGACGTTGAGGATGCGGCCGGTGCGCTCGTACGCCTCCCGGAAGGTCATGGATCCCCGCGTCCACCAGCTGCACTGCTTCGCCCAGTCGACCGAGTCGAAGCGGGCGCCCGTCCTCCACCATCGCGGGATCCACGTCCAGAACGTCTCGCGGCAGGCGGTGATGCGGTGCGCGAGCGCCGGCACGAGGAGCTGCCTCAGCTCGTCGTCCGTCCGGGTGGCCACGAGGGCCGCGACCAGGGCGCCGCCGCTGGTGCCGGTGATGACGTCCGGGAGCAGGTCCGCTTCGAGGAGGGCCTTGATGACGCCAAAGTGGTAGTAGGCAAAGGACGCGCCGCCAGAGAGGCAGAGGGCCGTCCGTCCGTAGTTTGCGTGCATGCCCTTGAAGATGGAACGCTTCTCCTCCATGGATAGCTGCTTGGTGCTCAGGATGAACTTGATGCTCCTCTCGACTAGACACAGTCAATCAGTCAGTCCGCCAGCACCTTGAGACACAATTGCATATGCATACCTTCGTCGATAAAGTTCTGCACCAGGTTCTTGGTGCCATAGTACGTCTGGCTATACAGCCTGGGATTCTCGACGCCTACAAAATTACTCTTCACACACGCCGACAGCAGCGCATGAAGCTCCTCGACAGCAGGCTTCCCCGACGCCTTGGAGTCCATCTGCGCTCCCTCATCATCCGTCTCCCCGTTCTCCGCCGCCTCGGCCTTCTGCCTGCACTTGCGCATCTGGTCCCACACCCTCTTGACCGTTTTGGAGTCGTAATAGGCGAAATCGTTCTCCTCCTTCCACCGCTGCCGGTCGAGATAGCTGTCCAGCTCCTTGGCCGCAACAACCCAGTCGCGGTAGTTGTTCGTCCGGCGCATGCTCCGCCTTAGCCTCTCCCGCGTACCGCGCCAGGTGACAAAGTGCTCGTACACCCAGATGTACAGCCGCGTGTACAGGTACGTGAGCGCGAGCCCCGCGAGCCAGGCGCCGACGAAGAAGAGCATCGGCCACTTGAGAAGTGCATAGAATATACCCTCCCGCGTCTCGTCTTTCGTCCTGGTGCCCAGGAGAGCCTCGGCGGCCCCCTTGGCCCGGTTCCTCCTCCGGCGAGAGCCCCTCTTTGAAATCTTTTGGTTGACGGGCGCCCAGTCGTTCTGCGCCGTGATGAACATGTTGGACTGCGTCGCCGAGCCGTTATTGTAACCCCCGCCGCCGCCATTGGTATAGGCGTGATTCAACATCCCCGGACCTGGGGCCGTGACGTCGCCGGCAGCAGCAGCCGCCGCCGCGGCAACGGCCGACGGATCCTCCCTATCATCTTCGTACACAGACCCCCGCTTCGTGACGTCGAGCGAGCTTTGACTCCTGAGACCGGGGGACCGGAGGGACGTGGTTTCGTCGGGGGACTGTAAGGGGTCGGGGGCCTGGAGGGCCTGTATGAAGGCGGCGAGGTCGGCGTCGCTGAGGAATTTGGTGTCGAATTCGGGGAGGCCATCAGTGCTGAAGTTCTCGGGCGGGAAGCCGTATACGTCTGTGTTGCTGCCGCCGCCGCTCGGCGAGGAGCCAAACGAAACTCTGGGTTGGTGGTGCTCAGCCATGTCTGCGAGCTGCGTCGTCTGACGGGTCTAGGCGCATGATATGGCAGCACACCAGGAGAGGGAGAAGTTGTTGCGAGGCAGTCAACGTGTGAAGCTACTCAGGGAAACGTTGCGTGAGAGAGAAACACTATGGTGATTGCTGACGAGCCTGGAGGAAGGGATGGAGTTTAGTTTCCGAAATGAAGAGGAAGCACCAGTAGTGGCGGCAGGTGTAAGGCAAGTCAAGGTAGGTACCTCAAGACAGTATGTGAATGCGGCGTAGTACGTGTAGCGTGCCGTGGTTGCGTGAACAGTTGCGTGAGAGTGTAAGCGTCGGATAAGAACGTGGTCTACCTGAATCTGCAGATGGACGGGTGATTTCGGTGCATTTGTTGGGGAGGGAATTAGAGATGCCTCGGGGTGGTGGTGGTGGTCTGTCACTCTCGGCCGGGGGAGACTACCACTTTCTGGCACCCAGTTCCCAGGTTGCTCTCAAGATGCGCAGACCTCCCTGGGGAATGCGCGCCCGTGATGCCACGGGTCGGATGACGTCGGCAGTAAGCTCGAATTGGATTTCGTTGGGACCTCGGGGCGCCCTGGGGCGAGGTACACCCGGGACCTTTACTGTGTAAGGTAGGTAAGGTACCTTGAGGTAGGGAGCACTGAGGCTTGTTGGCCGCTCACTACCGACCAACCCACGCCCGGCTAACGAACCGTGAGATGTGGCAGGGGCAACAACTTCCCTCCCGGTCACTCTTCTTTACTTTCTTCAGTGGACGCTGTACCTGATGTAAGGCCCCTCCTTCTAGCGGGATGCAGTGCAAGCAAGACCACCTTAGTTCCCACCACATGCTTGACTAACACCATCATCTCGTTGTTGTCTGCTTGCTGATATCACAACCATGATATAGACGAAAAGTATAGGCATCTAGTTATTATCTCAAAAAAAAGATGTTGTTAGAGATATAAGTAAAGATCGCCTCGGCACCTTGAAGAAAAATCCCACGAGGCCGCCCGCTGGCCAATACCCTCCCTAATGTTCCCTTCCGGCCCCCGTCTCAGCCGTCCCCGCCCCACCGGAATCCCCTCGGAAGGAATGTCACCTCACCTCGCCGGTGGCCCCTCGACCAAAACGCCATACTTGAAATACCAATCTATATCCATGCATCATTGGCAAGGCTGAGCAGGAAAGGAACAGTGTCTTTTTGATGAAAAGTATCTGACATAATGTGGCATGTGGTAACTTACCTAATATACCTTACACAATGCTTCCAGGTTCAGAGGTACTGAATCATCGAAACGTCAGCGTGATAGGTACCTATCAAATGGATAAGAGACCAAAAATCTTGGAAACGCTGATCTCGGGGGAAATCCCTGTGGCTTGTGAGGATACTAAAAGAGCATTGCCACAACTCCTTTCTCCGCCGGCTTGACTGACGTATCATGCCCATCATCACGTATCCCGCCGTTTCCCGCCGCCCCTAACGAAACCTTCACGGCGTGGACACGGTGGCCTCGGTCACCATCACCTCATCATCACTGCCAACACCGTATTGGGAAATCCCTCGATGATAGGCGTGTTCCTGCAGTGATATACCGTCCACGATGCAATCAAATTGATGTCAATGTTATATGATGCAGCAGTAAAACTACGCAGAGCAGGCTAACGATTTGAAAGACGCAAAATAAACCAGATTCCGAATCCCTAAGCCCCAATGAAGAATTCTAGCCTAACAAGCGTACAAGACTGCCTCGTATCTGACCTTAAAGCTGGATGCTCCGACCAACAGGTACTGACCGAGCGAGCAGAGCCATCTGGACCGCCAGACCGAGGACTTTTTCCCTTCCTCCGTGTGTGGACCGATGCAAACATGCCCAATAGCAGCAGTGTCAGCCCATTAACGCAGCTCTTTCTAAACCGTTGTTTCCACCAAGGATATCAGGTTTCGCAAGACGCCGCAAGGGGGGAGCCCTTATTCTGTTGAACCGCCCCCCTCGAAGCACTTGACCGGAGCTTTCGTAGACGTGGCACCCATGATTTCGTTCCCGCGTAGACGTTCCCTATTGCCATTCTTGCCAAATCGTCCATGTACTTACTCCGTTTCCGCCGTAGACACCTCCCGCAAGCTCCTCCCAGAGCATGTCGGTCCGTGTTTAGACGTACTGCGAGAGCCACCGGATACCGTCACCGTATCCTGTTTATTATGTTAGCCAAACTGTTCTGTACCCGTGTCTGCCATCTTCCGATGGAAGCAAAACGCACCTTGTCTGAGGACAACGGAGCACATGAAGACCTCGATGGGTCGAATTCCCTCCAAAGGCACCTTGCCCTTGCCGGTGGTCTGGTACATGCCGAGCTGGTGACGGAGCTCCTCCTCCGAGATGGCGTCGGGGTGGTCAATCTTGTTGCCGAGGATGACAAAGGGCACCTTGGCCAGCTCCTCCATGGACAGGAGGGCGTCGAGCTCGGCCTTGGCCTCGGGGAACCGCTCGTGGTCCTTGGCGTCGACGAGGAAGACGATGCCGTTGACTTCGGGGAAGTAGTCCTTCCACAGGCGACGGGCCTGCTGGTGACCGCCGAGATCGAAGGTGGTGAAGCGCACGTTGCCGATGGCGAGCTCCTCGGAAGCTAGAGGCGGGTTAGCTTTCTGGACACGTGCGCAGAGCAGAGCCCCCCATGTCACTGGTCTCTTTTTTGCCGTGGAAGGGATATACTCACTGGGGTGAAGAGTAGGCTGGAGGATAGCGACACGGTCGTTCTGATCATCTTGTTAGCAGCCGTTTATGCCATCCATATCGCAGCTCAGCAGTATCCCATATCGGCGCATCCAATTCCAGTAGGCTCGTGGTATCTATCGATATGGGAAAGCTGGCGGGTGTCGGGGCCAGATCGTACCTTCAGCATGTGCAGGAGGGTGGTCTTTCCGGCATTGTCGAGGCCGAGGAAAAGAAGCTTGGCATGCTTGTTGAGCAAGCCGAGGCTTGAGAGGACATCGTAGACTATAGAAGAGAGAGAATACCAGTCAGTCCGTCTTGGTCCAACCAGGGATGGATGATGGGCCACACAAGCTATGGCGAAAGCGGCGCGCAGAAGATCAACCCAGGTGGTGGAGGGGCATCAAGCAGAGGCAGGAGACGAGGAACAAGGCATGATACATACACCAGTTAATAATCCACATCTTGACGACGAAGGAGCGAGATTATTGTCTGTATTGTGAGGGTGGTTCGTGGATGACGGTGGAGTCGGTAGGTAGGTTGAGGTCGGGGAGGTTTCGATGTTCGGGCTTTTGCTCCCAGGAGACAAGGCGGCGGCGGGCGTGTACGAATGGCGAGGTACCAAGGTCTGGACTGGGCGGGACGGGACTGGCTGAGCTGGGGGCCACCTTACTACTAGGCTTGGTGGGCTACCAGGAGAGATGGGAGCTGGGTCGGGGAGTCGGCGAGACAGCAAGTGAGTGAGAGGTGGTGCGTGCTGGCTGTGCTGCTGTTGCGAATTGCAGTGTGTTGAGGTGGATGTGCCTTAAATCTGGGGCTGCCACGTATCGGAGATGCTCCACAGATGCACCGAGTGCTGTCAACTGCGGTCTGGGAACTGGGAACCTGCAAAGAACAACGGAAAGACGCAAAATGCAAAAAGGGAAAAAAAAGTCTGGGAGTGCGTCAGGGCGAAACAAAACTCTTTGCAATCTCCGTTAGGAAAGACCTCACCAGTTCACCAAGATGCCCAAACAGCTATGTCAGGTGAATGAGGATGAGTTTTGATACTAGCAGTTGCCTTGGACACTTGCATGAGCTGTTGTCAGGACACCTACACACTCCCGTTAGATAAAGAACACCTTTGCGAGTGCGTGTCATGATAAATCACGCCTTTAATTGAGCCCTTAAGACGTTCCCTACGTAACATGCTACTTCACAGCGTGTCTTCGGCAAGGAAAAAGGTGACATTGCAGAGGAGCAGAGTATTGGAGGTCTGCGATATCTCGCAGGAATGCAGTTGTTGATCAGGCTACCTAATGCTATGTGTTTGCTCGACAACCATACAAGCCTTCATACACGCTATTCCAGGGGGTATTCGTGCTCCAAGTCCAGATGCCGCTGGACTCCCAAAATGATGAGAAAAGAAAATGAAGCGAAAGTCCATGTAGGCGCGGAGCCCTCGTCCATCGAGGACGCTCCGGTATAAAAAGTGTGATATGTACAATCCAAAAATAAAAAGACGTGGAAAATAGTCTCATATATGTCATGAAGCCCACCATGCCATGCACCATCTGATGCTAAACGCCTTGCGAAACAATTCTTGTGGTCTCGCTGCAAATGCAAATCAAAAACTCCGCCCAATGTGGTTGTAGGCACTCCTCTAAACAGAGAGGACGTAGTTGCCCTGGTCGATCTTGCCGGCCATGAGCAAACCCAATTCCCTCATGCGCTCACAGCCAAGGCCGCGCTGAGGCTTACGCTCGGGGACTTGTCCCTTGCGAGCGCGGTTGCAGTATTTTTGATAAAACTTTTCCTTGCGACGCTGTCGCTTACGCTCCAAGCCCTTGACAATGTCAATGGCGCCACGAACATGCAAATCGTTGGCAGGAGCCTTGGAGCGACGTCCCTTGGCCATGTGGGGGAACATGGAAGGAGGACGAGGAAGAGACTTGGTAACGGTAAGACCAGGGCGAGATGCCAAGGTCTTGAAGGTAATAGCCCCGTGGCCATTGCGAGGAGAGGCGGGGGGAGACTTCAGCGCCTGAGGAGCCGGAGATCTCAGGCGACGGGGGGAAGGACCGTCAAAGAGGCGGCGAGGGGAGCGGCCACGGTTCTTGGGAGCGGGAGAGGCACGGCGCTTGATGGGCGGGGGAGAGTGGAAGCGCTTGGGAGGAGTGTGCTCCGCCTTCTTCTGGCGACGGCTTCGGTCGTTCTTGTGGTGCAGATCCTCCATCTTGCCGTGGAAGAACATCTCGTCGTCACTGCTGTGGTGGACAGGGTTGTAGATCTCTTCCTCACCCTCGTCCTCCGGGTCCGAAGCAGGAAAGCTGGGGTCAATATCCTGAGGGATCAGCTGCAGCTTCTCACGTCTGCGAGCAGCCAAGCAAGACATGTAAGCATCCTCCATGGGCCGATCCTCATCGAGGGTACCGCAGACGAAGTCAGTGCTGTCAGGAAGCTCAGGCGTGCCAGGGCGAATCTTGATGCGCTGAGCCCGGCCACGTCGGGCGCGGAGACTGCTGTGAGAAGCAATGGACGAATCTGAAAGCTGCTCAGGCAGGGAGGGTCTGCGGGCGATGGGAGTGCTGTCAATGTTCTGAATGGTAGAGCGGCCCGGAGTCCACAAGCGGAGGTCGTCATCTTCCTCTTCCTCCTCGGAGTCAGCGAATCCGGTTTCCTCGTCCGTCTTGTAGCCATCAGAATTGTCATCCTCATCAGAAGCGTCGTCCTCATCTTCGTCCTCATCATCCTCATCCTCCTCCTCGTCCTCCTCGCCATCATCTTCATCGTCGTCGGCGTCATCAAGGTTGTCGAGGTCCTCGTCATCATCATCAATGGCGGTGGCCAAGTCCTCCTCCTCCTGCTCGGCCTCCTCTTCCGCCTCAGTGGCAAGCTTGCGAATGGCGTTCTCCTTCTTAAGAGTGTCGTCAATGGTAATGCGGCGTCCCTGGGATGAAAAGGCCTGACGGATCCAGTCGTCCTCGCGGGGAATGTCGCTGGCGAACTCGTGGAATTGGGACGACTCATTATTCAAGTCGGAGGGGTTGGCGGTGATGTACTTCTTGGTGGTGGGAGACTTGACAGAGACATCGACCTGAGGAGGAGCGAGTGTAGGTCTGGGAGACCTCGAACGGGTCTTGCGAGCTGTCGCCGGAGCAGGTGCTTGAAGCCTGGCGGCTGCCATCTCCATTCGCTGGGGAGGCGTGTTTTGCGTGGAAGCGGGACGCTGAGGAACGGGGCAGGCGAACTTGATGCATGATCTTCGCTGAGGCTCCTGTGCAGAAGGTGCCTTGACCATGGGCTGGCTGCGGATAGGCTCGACGGGCTTGTTGGGCTTCGCCGCGCAAGCGAACTGAATGCAACGCTTCTTGGGTGCCTCCTTGGCAGGCTCGTCGTGGATGTTCAGAAGACGCATTTCAGGAAGAGGCGGGCTGGGAGTGTTGGCGCGGGATGGGCTGGTCAAGCCAGTATCGCTCGTCAAGTCGGCGGTGGAGGCCAGGCTGATGTTGCTGGCCATAGAGCGACGACGAGCGAAGAAGGACATACCCGGGCGGGCCTCGGGGTCCTCATCTTCGGAAGGGCTGTGGAGCGCCTTGGTCAAGAGAGAGGCGTTGTGGTCGAGGGTGGTGCGTCTGATAGGGTTCCGCTTGAACATGCTGGTGATGGGAGAAATGGGCAACTGCGTTTCCGGTGGCTCATCAACGTCGGCGGACTCGTCTTCTACCATGGAGGGCATATTTGCGCAATGCGTTGACCAGGCCAGGACATTTGACGTCGCAGCGTCGTGTTGTGTTGTTCGGTGCGTCATGGTGGAGAGGTGTGATGTTGGTTGAGGTTGGGTGCAGGGGGTGACTTCGGGCTCTCGGCTCGAGGTGTGGCAAATGGTTGATAATTCCAGGCCAAGTCGTTCAACGATGCTTCAAGCAGGCGCAACCGGTCGAAGATCGACTTCGTGAGAGCTGTTGGTAGTAGTAACAGCTGTAGTAGTAATCGCGAGACTGCTTGCGAGAGGCTTCTCTGGTAGTAGTAGTTGGTGTTGTTGTTTTGTTTTATGGATAGGTTGATGAGAGGGGGTGCCCTCAAGAGGACGTGCAGCTGAAGATCGTCTCGAAAGACAAGTGCTGCAGATCAAGTCGTGTCCCTAGGGACCGTTATGCTATAAGAACAAAACTGACATCTCGAGGAAAACAGTTGATGTGTGTAGTAGTAGTAGTTGCCGGGGCAGATGAGGGAGATTATAGGATGACCGGGCGTTGCCTCAATGTGAGGCGCGGTAGTGCGATGATTCAGGGTCCTTGGGGGTACAAGAATAACTAAATCGGCGTGGGCGCAGATCCCAGATGAAAAGGGCGAGCGTGAGTGTGGCCGTGGACGTGTGGGCGTGGGCACAAGGATTGGTGTGTGCTGGGCGAGCAGATGACGTCGGGTCTAGCGTGGCGCAGGGAAATGGCGAAAACAGACGGAAAGGATGGTAGGTAAGACTCGTAGAGTACCGTACGTCTGAGTGATGTGAGGGAAGGGAGAGAGGGAAGAAGGATAACGGGCGAGAGGGCGCTGGGATAGATGGTCGGACAGCGAGGAACTTTAACAGGTTCCGGGAGTATTCTTGGCAGTTGGATGACCAAGGTGGGATGAAATTCAGGATTTTCAGAGGCTGAGGGCTCGAGCGCTCTTGTCTCCTTTGCCGATGTGTGCGTCTGCTCCGTACGGTGGGCAGAACGGTAGAAAGGTACGGGCACCCAGTATGGATACGTGGTCGAGTATTGAGCTGGGGGAGACCTGACTTGTTGCTGCTGGGACGGACTCTGGAAAGACCTGGGAGGAAAGGCGACCAAATAGGTGGCGACGGGTAGAGGCCGTGACTAGGGGAGGTCAGTTGGCCAGTTTTCTTTGGTCAAGGGCAGGCAAATCCCTTTACCGCCTTGTTGGTGCTGCCGTTGCCGCGGGAGGTGTAGATGGGTGTGGGTGTGGAACGTGGAATGTGGTGCGGGCCTGAGAGGTGTGTGTGTAGGCTGTAGGGTAGGTAGGTATTTGTCCGTGGTGCTGGTGTGTGTGTGTGTGCCTGTGTGGTGTGGTGTGGATGCTTCTCGTTTGCTAGAAGACCCGAAAGAAGAATTGCGGTATTACAGCTCGAGTCAGCTCAGCACGCGACGACGAGGAGTTGTCGGGCAGCGGGAGTTTTTCGTGGAAGCAGGAGGTCGGGAGAAGCGTCTGACTGAGAGGGGAAGAAGTGGGCGCGAGGTGGCTGATTGATTGATGGACTGATGGATGATTGAGAGACGCTCAGAGCGAAAGGGAGACAGGGCGAAAGGAGAGCAGAGTATCCGGAAGTAGGCGCTCGCAGTACGCAGCATGCAGCTCAGTATGCGGTAAGAGTGGGTGGGTTTGTTGATTGGGTGCGTGGGATTATGGATATCTGTCTCGCCAGGAGAGAGTCGCGGGCGTTTGGTCGCGGTGATTCTCTTGGTAGTCGTTTTTAGTAGAATTGCTTGTTAATGCGTATCCGTTCTCTCTCCGCGTCGTTCTGCCTTCTTTGGATTGGAGGAGAGAGGGAGAGATGGTTGTGCGTGTGGTGGTTTTCGGGGTCAGGTGGGCGAAAGGGCCGGAGTGATGGATGGCCAAGAGCCTGAGAGAAACAAGGGAAGGCCGCAGGTTGCAGAATAAGGTGCAATTGATGTGTGTGGTCTAAGGTGGTTTTTCGGGGTCTTTGTGTGTGTGTGTGTGTGTGTGTGTGGTGTGCGTGTTGTTTCTGCAATCTGCAATGGGAATACTCCGTGGACAGGGAAGACGACGGGAAGCTTCCTGCGAAAAGGGTATTATCCGCAAGGTAGCCTGTAGCCTGTATCCGTAGGTAGGGAGGACAAGACGCGGGGTGGATGCCAGATGGTGTATGTGAGGCAGTGGCAGCGGCAAGCAAAAAGAAAACCCAAGCAGGCCGTAGATGGACGGAATCCAGCGCGAAAGTAGGCAAAGGCGGATGAAGCGCAAAAAGGGGATGATAAGATTTGGGATGTCGGACTTGGCGAGATCAAAGTAAGGTGTTTGAAGATCTTGGCGGACAGGCAGGAGCCAATCTCAGGTATGTAGAAAGAGTGAGGCGCTGCTGCAGTGCTGCAGGCTCGCGGACTGCAAGACTGCAAGTGCGGTGCTGATTCACTCTTTCTGCCTTTCTTGCTATTGCTTGGCAAAAAGGCAGCAAGTGGCAGCTGATTGCAGACAGACCAGAACAACAAATTCACTGCAAATGCAACTTCAACTTCTAGGTAGGTAGGTAGCCAGTGCATGTGGTAATAGGGTTTTATTGCGATGCCGTGTTTTTAATTCCCTCAGCACAAATCTTGCAGCCCTCGTTTTTTCAATGTTTGAAATACATGGTTCGGTATGCTCCGTACACACACTCCAAAAGAGTGAGCTTCGTGTTGGGTATTTTGGTCATTTTGGCAATTGTCGTTCCCCCCGAGTCTTCATACTCTAGAGTCCAGACATGGTTTGGTGCTGCCCCATTGCATTCTCTGTTCTACGCCCCCGGGTATGAATGAATGCTCAATGGCCCCAACCTTTGTCGTTTTCTCTCTAAAAATTTTTATTCCGCAGCCTAGAGATTTTTCAATGGCGCTCGGTCCGGTCTGGTCTCCCCTTGAAAAGTTTCCATCGCCTAGGTATTTTCCGTGGGGATTCCGCCCTTCTTCGAGAATTTTTATTTTTTTTCTTTGATCCCGTATGTCTCCGGGGGCCCGGGGGTGGCACGGATTGGGGAAAAAGGAAACGCAGTGTCAAGTTCGACCTGTCAATGGGCGAGGTGGACCCCCAAAAAAGAACACCGCTAGTCCGGGGACAGGCCTGTCGTTCAGGGCTCGCAGGGGCATCCCCATTTCTCATATCCACTGGACCGTCGGAGTGAAAGAGAGACCAACCATCATCAAGGGCCAAGGGCAAGCATCATCAATACCAGCGGGAAAATACAGCGGGAGATGGAATGACGGATCGGAGTAGCGGGCGCCACACAGTGTCCAGCAACAGTATCTATAGTCTTGAACCTCTCCAAAGCGGTGATTCGGAGTGGAAACGACTTTCTCAACCTGCGCCGGCGTTGCGGGAATCTGCGGCACTTTTCTCGCCTTGCCTCGGGTACCGCGCCAAGCAAGTGCAAGCTTCGCGCCGAAAACGGAGCTAGCCGAGTGGGGCCCAGAGACCTCAGACGAAAGGAATTCCAGACTGTCAGACTGTAGCTGACTATCATCTCATTGGTCAGAAATTCTGCGACAAATAACCGTCAAACACCCGAATGCCCCCATCTGTCCACCCACGATACGTATCTAAACGTACCTCTTCGCAGTTATGGATACTCCGTGGCACGAATACGTACCTCATTCAACATCCCCCCAGCCCTGGCGGAACTCCCTGAGTCCTGACTTCTCAACCCACGCCGAGCACCCTGCCCCTGTCCTCCCATCGACATTCAATCGACAATCACGACGAAAATGGCATGGCTGTGGCCCGCGTCGGCTCTCGCCCGCTGGCCAGTGCTCCCTCAATTCTCTCCACCGTTGGTGGGTGACCATTGCTGGTCCTCCCAGTGGCTGCGTCTGTCTCGTCAATCATCCACACTTTGCTCAAGTCACTCTGCTAACCACTTTTTCAAGGCACATACGCATAGAGGAGCACTTGCGAAATAGTCTACTCCGTAAGTATCAAAGCTGACATCGGCAAGCTCCAAGGAAGGGAATGGAACCAAGCTAGTACCCACGCCGGCCTCCCCTGCTAGGGCCGAAGAGGAAGAGGAAGGGAAAGGAAGAAACGGATCCCGCGCGCCATCTCGAAATCTCGCATCTACAATTCCCTAATTGCCCAAGCCCGCTGGCCGCTGCCCTCTACAAAGTACGGACTACGGAGCACACTACCGTCTGACCAATCATCATCCTACCCACCCTCCCTGGCCTTGTCTCATCTCGTCAAAAAGTGACTTGCGTCTGCCATATCTTGTTCGCATGACACGCAGGTCACCGCTGGTTCACTTGGGCCTGGGAGCTAACCCTTTCTCTCCAGTCATCTTTTCAAGTTTCTTTCCGGGCCCCAAATGAATGTCGACACCGTCAAATCACCGACTCACCACTCCGCACAGTCACGGTCATTATCCGTGATCCGTCCACTCAGAGCAGCTTTTCGAATTTCAGTCTTCAGTCTTTTCTCTCGAGCGAGAGTCTCAGTGTCTTTCTCCGGACTTGTCGACACCCCACACCACGCCCCCTCGGGTTTTTCCTTAACACCCATACGAATAGAGCCGCCTGCGTTGCACATGCAGCAGCAGCAGCAGTTGTCTTGTCTTGTCAGTGTCCTCGTGAGGCAGCCGTCGATTTTCCTTGGCCCATTTTCCACGAGTCTCATCCCATTCCTGTGTCGAGAATCCCACCCCCAACTCGTCAATCTCCAGCTCAGACTTTCACCTTGACACATTCTCTGCCCAGCATTCATTCATTCATTATGCCCTGACCTACCCTGCCCTGTAGCCAGTCAAGTGACTTCAGTCTCCAGGCCCCCAAAAGCGCCCCAAACAAACTCGTCCGTCGTTTGTTTCCATCAACTCTCTCATTCGGCTACGTTCTGTTCTATTCACGGAATGCCGTTGTGTCAATATTATTGTTGACCCGTTCTTATCGAGGGAAGAATACCATCAACAATATGCAACCCCAAACGCACTGCCTTGACTCGATGCCCCTTCTCTTTCCCCCCCCCCCCCCCGTATGCCCGCAGGAGCCACTCATTGGTTTTGCGTAGAAGCAGTCCATCAAAATGAGACATTTTCCTCCTTTCCCCAGCGCTCAGTCCGACTGCAAAGACTAGCCATCCTCGCCTTTCACCTTCAGGCACAACCGCTACCCGCAAGTTGTAGCCTGCACCCCCTTCGCTTACACTGCGTTTTCTCGCCTCCTATCTAGCACTTTTGCATGTACAGAGGGATATCCCTCCAAAAGAACACCAAAAGAACGCACTTGAATCTTTGCTTCCTCGACTGCTCCATGTCACGTACAGGCAACCCGCCGCGAACATCAGACGGAACGGGGCTCTAATGCTGGGTACAGGACCGTTGGGGCCGTCTCCGATTGCAATGTAGCTCAGGCAGCTCAGCCCTTTAGATCTCCATGCAGCCAATGCGCGTTGCCAATGGCATTTACCAGCCATGGAGGCGAGAGACCAAAAATACGGCGGCGGCGCCCGTTGTCGTCGTTGCGCACCATCTAGAGTGAACCCTTGGTGCCGGCCGCGCCCATCAACACCAAGAAAATGGAGTCTTTGCTCTAGTTGGTCGCTTCATCTTTCCCAAACCTTCCAAACAAAACAAATCTCCATCGACGCTTTTAATAGCGCTATTTTGGTTTACGTTTGTTCTTTCCCAGTTTCTTCGTACTGGGCCATGGCGGTGCAAGTTGGCATACCTACCTTTGATCGTTGATGGTGGACATGCAGGGCGCTGCTAGCTGCTTCATCCGACAGTCGGCGGGCTGTGCTTCCACATGCAAATCCTTGTCTTTAAGCTTGTGTCGTTCCCATTCTCGAGGAAGGTCGACCATTCACTATTGGAGAAGAGGAGAAGGACTCCTTCACTTCCACGAGAGTGGCTACTCCTCCTGCAAGCCCACCGCCCATCATCAGAGAACAAGCTTCGGTCCGACAGCCTCCATCCCGGTCCATTCCTCTTCCTGACTCGCCTGGCGCATCGTGGGTTGCCAAGTCTCGGGTCACTGGAAGCGCCACCATCAACCGCCCAGGGAAAACTTGTGACATTGATTATATCATAAGCCGAGCGTCTTCTGAGCTTCTCCCTGCCTGCAGCTGTTGATTGCTGAAATGCAGCTGTACCTTGCCGGCGAGCCGCTGGCATGCAGGATCCCAGTGCGAGAGATATCCCGTGGCCATCCGTTCCATCTCTGCTCAATGGTGCAAGCTCAGACTCGAGCTCAAGCTCGACAACTCAGCCTTGGAGAATTGGCATGCAGCATGACGGCAGCCAATACTCTGCGACAGCTTATTCTTCGTGCTGCGACTCCTTGGCATCGCAAGGTGCACAGCAAAGAGGTGGCCCGGTGAAGAGGACGTGAAGGTGAAAGTGAGGTGTCCAATGCGGAACTTGCAGATGCGGCCTCTGGAGTGGATGCGCCAGGCCAGCGCGGGCATCGCGAGAATGGCCCGTCCGCGCGCCCTCCGTTTCCGCCCTAGACCGATTCCGGCCGCTTAGCATGCCTGCATGTGTTTGAGGTTTCGGGAGGCAGCACAGAAAGATTCTGAGAGAGGATTCTGAGGATGTGAGAGGGCGAGAGAGACGATGAGATCTGGCACTCGGACACCACTGCCAAGAGATCCAACGGTCTCCGAATCAACCTCTTTGGTCCTCGCGCGACAAGACTTCATACAATGGGGGCCCCGACTCTCTCTCTCTCTCGCAAAGCAACAAAGATGAGAAGAGTATTTCATTTTCATACAGCAGAGTGAGGCTTCGACTTCTTGGCATTGAAATCCGAGTACAACCTTGATAGGAGTTTTAGCCGTTATCGAGATGTCGAAAACGAAAAGGTTTCGATTTCCCAGCGGACCTCCCGGCATGCCGTCTTGGTCTTTTGGGCCGAGCGGACTCGTGGACTCTGGAGACTCTCTCTCTCTCTCAGCTCTGTTCTTGAATCTTCCTCAATGCCGAGCCGGCCGTGATGCTGATCACCCCCCATGTTTTTACCCGCCCCTCCTCTCGGTGCTCCCCACGCTTTCATCAACGCTCGCCGAGCTTTGAGGTGGGCTCCTTCATTGTGGGGAGGAATGTCCAGCGGGCGCTCGACAAGCGCGAGCAGAAAAGCAAGATTTATCGCTGGGAATTACGAACTATACCACGTAGGTAATGGAAGAGGAGGAGCGGTGATTACATGGCATTTACGGCACCTCCTCTCATTTCGTCCTTGGCTGGGAACGGCCTTGTTGGCTTGCTGCCCCTCTCTCCTCCGTCCTCCGAGGTGGGGCGACAAACTTCGGAGAACTTGTAAGTGGGCAGTCGTCATGCCGATGCCATTCATCATCAAGGTCTTCGTCAAGTAGGGCAGGAGTACTCGCGCAGACTTGTAGGTGAGCTTTTGCGAATCCCAAAGTCTGGTCATGGCTAGCACGGCGTCGGCGCGGGGGATTTCGTCACTGCGTGTGCTTAGGATGTTGACGAAAGCACGAAAGACGCACTTGTGTCGGGCTTTCCCTGGCGTGCCCATGGCCATGGTAAGGTTAGGAACCCCCGCCACGAAAGCGTGGGATGTCAAATGTGACTATGTGAGGTGTTTAACGGAGTAGTTCTCCTCAACTCAGGCTGCATGCGCGTGAGTTGTCGTTTCGTTGCCCCCCCCCCCCTTTTTTTCCCGATATCCCCTTCTTTCCAAGTGGCTTCTTCTTACAGGTTTCAATTCACAAGCCTGCAGACTCTCACAGGTCATCAGAGAGATTCGGAGACGCAAGAGACAGACATAAACCCCCGCGTCGAATCCCTGATCTGCTCCATCCCCATGTCAGCTTCTTGTAGGCTGTGGGAAGGTCGGTCGAGTTGTTCGAAAAAATACCCCGCATTCTGGGACGAGGGGAAGGACGGAGCGATTGCGACGCCGCATACCTGTCCCATCTCCAAACGTTGGACTTTGTTCTTCACGCGGTAGCGGCGCGTAGCGTTGGAAATTCGTCTTCCGCCCCTCCTCCATTCCTCACTGGTGTACAAGTGGTCAGCATGCAGAGTGCATACATACGAAGAAAGGTTGCCAGGGGACAGCAACAAGAGAAGACACGCAGCAGGTCAAAAGATCGACAGGTTCTCGAATCGCGGGGCCAATCAGGCCTGAATCCCCCCTCCTTCTTCCGTCGTTGATCGATCGATTGGGATTAAATGATTCTGCGTACGTTTGTTAGGCTCATGCACTCGTGTCGTCAAGCTCACTGCTTGACTTCTTCTCCCGCGGGGGAGGCAGCAGGCTAGCAAAGGCGAGAAGGGTAACACGGAATGGTTAGCATGGTGCCATTTCATTAGAGTTGCAGTGTAAGCTTCTACTACCGGCACTTTCTCTGCTTTGCTGGTTTGCTCTTGTCTGCTAGTGCAGCCTTCCTTCACAAGTTTTTGGCGTGTATGTGTGTTCTTCCTTCCTCGGTGTCGTCAAACTACTTTGCTAGTGCAAGGTAATCACACCTGGGGAACACATAGCTTTGGTGTGTGAAGAGCTTCCTTGACACATGAAAATGTGACAAGAGCTCTTGAAGCCCGTGGGCGGTCAGAGTTCGGGAGAGAGAGGGAGGGAGGGGTTGCAAGCGCCACGCGACGATTTGCGACGATTTGCGACGATCGCCCAACTCTTGGTGCGTGGGAAAGCCAAATTCTTGGCGGGAGGTTGAAGCCAACAGCTACGCTACTTGACATCTACGAAGCAGGAAGAGCGGTGATTCCCCCCCTCCATTTCCTCTTCCCCCCCTTCTGCGACAAAACCAAACGCACCAAAGGAGAAAGCTCCGACACACTGGAGACGAAAGAAGATGGAAGGTCTGCCGGACTAGCGGTGGTGGTTCTCCCACTTTCTAGTCTGCGCTTCACCACACCATACACCCTCCTTCTTGCCCCTTCACCGCCGGAACTGCTAGATTGAAGTGGTGTAGAAGGGGCTATTCTCGGGAGACCGCATTGGGAAACTCCAGACCTACTACTCCTAGACTTGTTCCCCCTCCGCCGTGGTGGTGGTGGTTATTTGGCAGCCTGGGGAAGGATGAAGGAGTAGGGGCTGAAGCTGGGCCTAAATTCTACACTACTCCTCTCACCATGAGCCAGCCACATTTCATCTGACAGCGCCGGTCACCGCTCCGACGAGATTTGTTATTGTGTCTGTATTTGCTTACGAGCTTAGAAAGTTCACGAGCTTATTAACACGCTAGATTCCTGTCGAGGCACGCCTCTACCGTTCTACGTCTGTGCATGTGGCTTTTTCTGTTGGGTGTAACTCCCCAAGGGGCTTGGAGGGAGCAATTGACTCTCGTAAGCTCGAGACTTTCACACACGCCTCTACTGTGTAAGGGAGAGGGCAAGACGTCCCAGAGCCTTTTTTTATCCGTGGCAATCCGATGCTGGGAAAGTTTGGCTGTGTTTGTGAGGTTCATGGTGTCGGTTTAGATTTCAGGGTCCTTGGATGTTCGGTTCATTCGACAGAGGCACGGAGGCACAGAGAACGAAGGATTAAGTGTCACGGGCATTACTTACCTTTGAGGACCGAACAAAGTGAAGCATGAGGCGCCAATCCTCCATCCTGCTAGGTACCGATCAATCGCGAATGGGAGTTCGCCATGATACTCCCTTGTCAGGCGTTTCGCATGAACGTTTCTGAAATCTCGTTCCCGAGGGGAAGAAAAGAGAAGAACAAGAAAGCTTGCCAAGACGAGAGCGAACCGTTTGGGCTTCTCTCGACAGAAAGACGGCCCAATCGTCATTAGGCATCGAGTCACCTGGTCACGGGGGTTTCGAGGCATGGGCAATGACACATGCCTCGCCTTCGTCTGATCTCATCGACCCTTCTTTGCCGTCTCGGTTGCTTCCAGAAATATTCAAGGGAAGAACCTCGACTACATGATCTGTTGGGCGGAAGGACAGGAAGTCTTTCAACCTTGAGTGCCGTCACTGCCGTCGGTGGTTGTCGGAAATGCCATGAGGCTCAACTGGGGTTGAATCCTCGTCCCTGGCGCATATACACACCATCATCTTTCCTCGGTTCTCGGCGCCCGGAAGCTCGGTCGTAGTAAAGGTTGGCGAGTCACGAATGATTGAAGCGCGAAGGGTTCCCTCTTTCATCAGTGCCTTGTGAGCCCCGAGGCGAGGTTTCATGAGCCGCGGGTCTTTACTTCCTCCATGGAGTTTCGGGGAGGGATATCTTGCCACGGTCCCCCAGGGGAATGAGGAAACGGAATCGGGAGCGCCATCGGCCGAGGGAGGGTTCGCCTCGTTCGCCTTGCTCCGATGACGGCTTCCCCGGTTTCAAGGCTCAGCGTGCGTGTGTGTGGCTGGTGCTTCTCAAGAGTGCAGATCGCTGTCCATCTTCTGTTGTCCTTTTTAGGTATCCTTTTCTGTGTCGATCATTGCGGCTTGGGAGGATGTTTCGTTTCAAAGGAGGCGGATGCTGTCACCAAGTGGCACTGCCAAGCACCTAAGGTATCTGTTCCTATGTCGGAGAATTTTGGTACATTGGTACATTGTTTGTAGATTTCGCCAATCTTTTTCAGGCATGGTATTTTGGTCAAAAGTCTATCCAAGTTACGTAGAGTAAAGATCCTCGGCGACGTGGTGATCATTGATCCCATTTGGACAGTGTCGGAACGTGGCGGTTACCGGGTGTGGTTCGATGGCCGTAATGGTATAAGTCGAAACGGTTTGTATGTGGAAGTGATTGACGATACGTCTGCTTGGTGATCGACGGTCACGAGTGGTGCAGCAGGACCATGTCAACCTTGTTGCCTTGCATGAGGCTAAGCGCAATGTATGCCAGCCATTGTCCACCGCGAGGGGATAGGAACGTGAAGAGGTCGACAGCCAAGTTCAATCATTGATGATGATCCGGGACTTGTCGAGTCAGTTGCCTGCTTGGAGTATCCTTTTCGCGTGGCATGTCGTGGATCGTCAGATATCGGTTTGTTACGTGGAGGTCGTATGTCATATTTTGCTGCTTACCTATGAGCGAGGCAGGTGAGCACAGAGTCAATCATGAGGTTGGACATGTGAGTCTGTGAAGGTAAGCTGACTGGCGAGTTAAATGTGACGGGACATGATTGACATGTGGTTTGTTGCTGAGGTCCACCCTGCTTACGTGTTGATGGGCATCTTGAGCAAAGAAGCACTATTGAGTTTGATACTGGGTTCAATAGCAAGCAATATTGACGAGTGCTCATTCTTGGTAGTCCACTGCCTTTCTCTGCCAGAAGTTCTCTCCAACTTTAGCAGAGCATGCTGGAGAAGTAAGGGTGTTGCGTTCGCCTGCATGATAGAAGTTACATGTAGTCCTCTAAGCGTGTGAGGAAGAAAGAACACAATCCGGGAATAGTGCTATCTGAATACATTCATTGCTGCGAGACTTTCGACATGACCGTCAACGAGTTACATATACTGCCCGTGGAGATTGGGCTAAAATCTACATCAAGTTCTGTTTGTCATGGGTCAAGACGTCGTGAAGCAGGATTTGCTTACTTTTCTCAGTTCATGTACCCGGATTTTCGTCGTAGTTGCCTTCTTGTATCGCGCTGATAATTACATACAGTCATGTTCGAAGTAGAGGGCATTGGATATAAGCCTTGCGCTTTTCGTTGGGTTGGGCTGGCGGCTTGGTGTAACTCACAAGGCCCTGCGAATCATCAGGGGCGATAATAGGCGAGGGGCATCTAGCTGACTTGCTACAGCGCCCTTAGAATCCTCACAACTTGATAGTAACGATGTCTATCCCCAGAAGTGAGGCACTGTGACCGAAAGACTCGACATAAAGACCTCTATTCCTTCGGCTGGCTGAGACACCTACTTTAATGTTCGCCTGAAGCCTGAGATATGTTGGCACTGCTCTACTTGAGGAAGCTGCTCTTGATGGCTCCGTGTCGAGGTCTAGGGTTCACTCTATACCTTTTTTGCAGAATATGTGAATACAACTTGAGGGACGTGACGAAGAGGAATTGTGAATAACTACATATCATGGACAAAGAAATATACTTACGGTGTTGTCAGCCTGCAGAGTATGTACAGTGACCACACAACCCACTTTAGCAGGGTCTAAAATCAGTGCGTTAGTTACTTGACGATGCAAACGTATTGACAATGGATCTCACAAAGTGAAAGGACATTCAATACCCTTGACATTTGGTAACATCCTGTGGGAATTGATTATCAATTCTGCACCTCACCCAAGGATCGGTAAGAGCGGTTTAGAATTAGGGTGACGTAACCTGAAGTGACAGTCAGGAGACACGTAATTGTCTGAGTTGCTCCGTCGGCCAAGTCTACAATCATCTTAGCCTTCATGAATTGTGAGGACACCCTAGATCGGCATTTGTTGACAGCGAGAATGAGAGTCATCCATGAGGTCATGCCATGTTAGTGCTGCGACAGACCCGCGAGTTGGATCACCGCTACTACAGCGACTAGATGCAGACGAGGAGGAGCTGAATGACTAGAATGCATTGAAAGTTTCTCGAGGAGTCACAATGGGAGGACTGCTCTATGTATGTTTGTGCCGAACCTGCCAGTGACGGATGACCTTCGCTAGTACCCTAAAGCTAACGATCATTACTCCCAACATTTGTCGTTGCAATGCTCACCGGGATTCAGTGCAGAGTCTTTGCTCGAAGAAGCTAGAATGAAGTTCCAGAAGCTTGCTAATACTGTCATGTAATCCAACGAAGCAAGGCCAACCCATCTCTATCTACACGTTTCCTATCAGAGCGGCTCCATCGATTCATAGCATATGTGGCCGCAAGCCAGAACTAGGATTGACCATAAGCGCCTCTTTTCTTCAGGTGTAAACTGACAGTCTCTTGAGTTGGATTGACCTTGAGCAATGGCCATATTAATGTTGTAGAGAATGGTGCCCAGGGAAGATATTGGGTTACGGTCGTGAGACAGGAGAGATGAGAACCTACGTCCATGTTGCAGCTTCTGAAGACCACACCCTTCGATACGTCTCACTCTGGGTATATCAAACTATAAAATGCCCTCTGATAATGTGATTGCGTAGTCGCACAAGTTTCTTTGCAATAGGGCCGGAGCAACTCGGCCGAGATGAAAATACGAGAACGTGCCATGGGTTCGAGATTTTTAGTGACTACTCGATCTTATGTGCTTCCGTTGCATTCGGCATTCTGCAATTGAAGTGGTAGCAATACCGAATGCCATCAAGGACGATATTGTCAATTTGGCAAAATGGCAAAAGAGTTCACCCCCCCCCCCCCCGGTGCTGAACTGGGGGCTACATCTCTTAGTGCCTATACTGGTAAATTTTGGTGCTCAGGCTGGGAATCGAACTCGAACTCGAACTCGGAGCCTGTCGTCGAGTAGGCTGTGGGCGTTTTTGATTATTTGTTGACTATAAACCATTCCACCACCCAGCCAGTTTGACCTGACCCGTCGACCTAGACGGGCGCCTCCTGGCTGGTGGCAGGAATGGGATTGAAGGGGGCCTATATGGGCTTCATTTGTGGTGTATTGTGTGAAATGTAGGAATATACGGATACCCGGGAAGTCTTTGTCCTGATTCATCACGCCGAACCTGAATGGTGGCCACCGTATCACCGTACCTAGGTAGGAGGGCATTGAGTTTACGATTATCTAATTGCATCGCGTAGATGGTTCAGATTCATCATCAAGTCGCGAATACACTGACGTATTCAGACGAAATTGAATATAAGGGCCTGAAAGATGCACTTAGATGAGAACAAGAGCAAGTACGATTCGATGTAGTAATGCGTGGGCGTTGCATACTCCACGAGCACAGCGTTAGAGTGCAGGTTGCCAGCGTCATAAATGATACGAGCCCTTACTATTTCGAAATGGTCGCATGCAACGACTAATCGGATTATTCATTCAAAGTATTTCTTGAAATCATGAAGAGAAAATGAAACTAAATTGCTGGGCCTACCATACACTTGCATGCAGCTCGAAGCAAGTACCTGAGTTTTGGATACAGGAGGAAGACACGATGTTGGTGAGATATCATTAAACAGAGTCCTAGAAGCTCTCTAAAGTATTATGCTGTTTGACTACATAAAGTTGCGTCAATGCGTTCTCTTCTGTTCAAACAGATAGATCACATTGAACGGGGCTGCTCCGTGCACTCAGGGTCATGTGCCTTGCGGCGTGACCAAAGTTTCTCCCGCTAGCCGAATCGCGAATGGACTCAGCCGAAAGATTCCTGCCTGCGACCTCACCCGAGCTGCCTCCAGCAACACATCCCCATTGCCAGCTCAGCCCATCATGAACTCCTTCCGCTTCGCGCGCGCGGCCCTCCGAGCCCGTCCTGCTGCCTTCCGCGCTCCCCTCCAGCGCAGAACCTACGCAGATGCCGTCCCGGACAAGGCAAGCAGCCCGAGCCTGCATCCTCCGAGCCGGAGGCATCCCGAGTACCCGCTGACCATTTGCAGATCAAGCTGAGCTTGTCCCTTCCTCACCAGGTACGAATTCGATAATACCCGATATCATTGAACGAGAGACGAGACGACGACACGAGGGGGATGCAAGGCGGAAGTCAATTGAAGGATCGGAGCTAATTGCCGCAACACGCAGTCCATCTACCAGTCCCAGGATGTCGTCCAGGTCAACATCCCCGCCGACTCCGGCGAGATGGGTGTCCTCGCCAACCACGTTCCCGCCATTGAGCAGCTGAAGCCCGGTCTGGTCGAGGTTGTCGAGGAGAGCGGCCCCAGCAAGCAGTTCTTCCGTACGTTACAACCGAGATGGGGCTTTTCAAGGGATAGGAGAAAGGCAGGAAACTGACGATGATTGTGTCTATAGTGTCCGGCGGCTTTGCCGTTGTCCAGCCCAACTCTGTTCTCAGCATCAACGCCACCGAGGGATACCCCATTGAGGACTTCAGCGCCGAGGCTGTCAAGTCCCAGCTCGCCGAGGCCCAGAAGGTCGCCAGCGGCAGTGGAAGCGAGTTGGAGATCGCCGAGGCGAAGATTGAGGTCGAGGTGAGTTATCTGCCAAACAAGGCACTCGAGCGGTACGGTAGGGACGCTAATTGTAATTTCCAGGTTCTTGAGAGCCTCCAGGCTGCCCTGAAATAGAGAGTGTAAAAGAAGGTCGTGGCAGACACATGACGTTGTACATCAAGACTCGGATTCCCTTAACTTTATCTAACATCGCATAATTGAATCCACTTGCGACGTTTCTAGCGCTCTTTCTCTGTCAAAACCCATCATTGCGTGTGTGCCATGGATGCTACGTCATGTACCAGAAGGTCCTTCCACGGAGTGACTACATGGGTCGAGGTTACCTACTGGGGACCAGGTCGGTCCTGTCTCCTATCCATTCGAGGAGGCCCCTGCCTGTCTTCTGCCTTTTGATCTCATACCACTTATCCTGACCTCACTCGAGGCAAATTCTCTTCCCTAGGTAAATGTTCCGCATCGCCCGTCAAGGAGCATCGTTTCTCAAACCCCCATGGCCCATCCATTACAGTACCAATTTGCACTTCCCACGACGTTATACAGTATTATTCAATCATTGCCCATTGTTTCTCAGTATGGAGGATCCCTTCGTTGACGATTTCTCCCCGCCCCGAGCCAACGTCTTCACAGCCGAGCCCGAAGACGGTGACATCCCAGAGGGTCTCGTTTCCGCGCGACGACAGAAGTTCTCAAGACGGCCTTCTACTTGTGCTACGAGCCGCAAGCCATCACCATTAGGTGCGAGGGAACGCGAGAGCACTTGGTCTGGTTAGGGCCAACGCACCAACAAGGTCTTCGCGAGACCAGCAACGCGCAACACTCAAACTGCAGAGTCCAGGGTGCCGTCTCAAGACCACTCATTCTTTGGACAGAGTCCAGAGCAAGCCTCCATAATCAACAGTCAAGCCCCCATACCTGCATTACGTCTGCAGAAGTCATTGTACATCACTCCTCCACGAGTAGTCGACCCAGACTCTATGCAGCTTCGCCAGACCGCTTCGACCGGTCGGCTTCGAGCAAGACCGAGCAGGACGCGAAGCCGGCCTCCAAAGATGCCAACGGCATCGATTTCGGCCTCATCAAGCACGCAGAAGCCACGACACTTTTCCAACAACTCTGTTTCCTCCATTCAGTCTTACGGAACAGACATGACAACCTCGACCATTCGGAAACGCCATGCTCGGGACATCTTTGCAGAATTTGGCATCCCTCGTCCGTCGGGATGGCTCTCTGACGACGAAGAAGAGGACTTTTCGCGTCATCGAGATGGAACCAACAGCATCCCCAGGCATGTTCTCAACACGTGCCATTCCTGCGGCGCAGAGGTAACTTCTCGCACATTCTGCTCCAGTTGCGGCCATGCGGTGTGCCCACAATGTGCCAGCGAAATACCGGACGATGGCTCGATCGACTTTGAGCATACTGGGAGTAGTCATCGAAATGCTGTAACCAGTCAACATCATACCTCGAGGGTTACGGAGGAGCATATTCGGTCATCCTCCAGCCTGGAAACTACGGAGACATCGAAAAAGAATCAGAGGGCCCCAGCCACCTCAGTCAATCTCAATGAGAACCCCTTCATACTGGCCGATAGGATGACGAAGATCACCACGGTCGAACCTCAGATTACTGACATGACGGTTGGCGCGGGACAAGCATCAAGGCTCTCAGATTGCGTTCCTAGACAAACGGATTTAAACACTGCAGAGACACATGGAGATTACGGGAATCCAAGATGCAATGCTACCCATGCCGGGCATCATCCTGGCCGTCACAGTATTGCATGCATTGACAACCAGCAAAGCTCAGCAAACATGGATGAATCGGAGCCACTGCGACCACATCTTCCGCTGGAGGATCCCGTCCAAAACAAGATTGACCAAATGTACCATCATGCTGAAGACCTCAGACGTGCACAGCACATCATGGAGCACCTAGCCACTGGTTCCGCTGGAATTTCAGCAAGCAAGCAGCAATCTCAACACACCACTCCCCCTCAGCAGAAGACGCAGCCCGGCACCGAAGACCATGACACCAATCGCGAGAAGTTGATCAGCTTCGATGCGGCAATGGCTGAAAATAGCGAGCGCGCCAGGGCCTAGGATGTTCATGGCCTCGACAAGTCACAGTCTCTTGACGTAGATCCAGTCAAGAAGAGAGGCTCAGAGTCTCTGTCTGTTCGTGCTGTGGGACAGCTCTCTCGTTCTCCATCATGGCTGAAGAGTCCTACTCAGATGTCACATCGGACAACGAACAGACTGACCGCGATGGAGACCAAGAGTTCTCCCCAAATGAAGACGTCCAGTAGACGAGATTCCGCCGCGGAGACAATCAGTCCAGCATCTGCGGTTTCTTCCGAGAGTGCCAAGAGCACCGACCACCTGATGCGTCAATTTGACCAGCTCAGTTCACCAATAGGCGGAGCGTCTATCCAGTGGCCAAAGTTGAAGAAGGTTCACAAAGAGGCAAACCGTGAAGTGCAAAAGGAGCCACTTCCGTGGCTAAAGAGACCGTTGCGTCGTGTGCATAAAGAGGAGAACATATCGCAGCAAGCCCAGGAACAGAAGGCTGCTGACGTTGAGTCATGGAGATCTCAGCTTCGAAAGGTTGCAGCTGCAGAAGCCGAGTTCTCTGAGGGACACAACACACATCATTTCGATCGTAAGCGGCCAGACAGTTGCGTCTCGTGTGGTCACGACGCCCCGTCACCACCGCATGTTCCCGCCGACGGGGGAAAGAGTGCGTCAAATGCTGTCAAAGCCTCTCTTGAGGAGATTGACAGTGCGGATCAAGTCGCGCAGGAGGATCAGGCTTACGCAATGAGACATAGACGCCTTGAAGAGATGAAGAAATCGATCTCTCAGAGATCAAGCTCAAGGACCTCGACAACGACGAAGATTGAATCCAAGACTGTAAGCCAAGTCTCCCGAACTTTGGAGGCTACTCACTCTACTTCGGAAACATTCGAAGTCGAAGACGCCAGTGCCAACGGCAGCGCGGAGCCGGTGGAGCGATTGTCTCGATCTCTTGACAACGAAGTCGAGGTATTTAGTCCGCTGCCAATTATGCCACCGAACCATACATGCTCTTGGAAGGAGAGGTATCACGACTTGAAAGCGGAGGTGCGGGAGTTGAAGGCGGAGATCGTTTCTCGAGAACGGAGCGACACGCCTGGGCATGTGGACGTGGGCGTCAACGTCAGCCAGGATGATGACTACGAATTGGGAGTGGAAGGACTCACCATTGTCCTGCATCTCAGAGGCAAAGACGATTTGATCATCAACACGGACTTGACGCATGCCTCTTCCGGACTTTGAAACAAGGTTGTTTAGAAAGATTAGAATTGCTGTTTGTACGTAGCGGATGGGCAGGGCACGGGATTATGATAGAAGCATGGATTAAACGATGCGAAAACACCAATAAATTGCTTTCATTTTTATATCGTCAACCGCGGTTTTGTTTCAGCAGACGTCGTTGGAATCCATTCTTCCTCGACCGCCGTTGACCTTTGCTGTCTATTCTTGTTCCATTCTCTTCTGATGATTTCCTCTTCCCTCCCGTTTGAATATTAAAATGGTAGCGTCATGAAGCTAGCAGGCAGTCGTCTGCAGGCCGGCCGTTTTACCGTCGCTGATTCGGACTAGCGACGCCGAGGAACGGTTGTACGGGAATTAGGTAAGCACGGTACGGTACGGCAAGAAGAGTGGAGACCTCTAAAAGCTAAAAGAGACACTGAGGGGGGAAAAGAAGGCTCAAACCGACCGGCGGAGGGTAAAAAAGGTCCAATTGGGGGAAGGACAGATATCCCATTTGCCGTTTCCTCGTGTCAGAATCAGAAGGAACCCAGAAGCACTCAGCGTTGGAGCAGTCGCATGAGTGGGAGGCGGAAGGAGAAGGCGGACAAGGTTTGTAAGGTTGGAGCAAACTGTGGGGCTCTTTCAGGGCGCGCACTGACGGCTCGACCTTGAGGTGATTGGATCTAATTGATTGGAGTTTGCCATTCACACAGCGCACGCAGCCAGCGAAGACAGGACACAGTGACCTCCCCCAGTGTGTTCTACCTTACCTTACCTAAGGTTAGGTGGCGCCCCAAGGAACTCCAGGGCTCTAAGTACCTTTGTCACTAATGGAAGGTACCCACTGGTTAACCCCTGCTCGCTCTTCCGGAAACTACCACCGCAGAAGCAGCCACCAGCGCAGGCACAAGCACCAGTTTATTTCGAGGCCACGATTGTCAAAAGAAAGTGACTTGGTCAAAGCCAGCAGACTGCGGCCACTTCATACCCCAAACCAAGTCCCCGACCTCGACCTGGAAGAAACAACCAGCGAACGGAGGCAGACACCCTTCCTTGACGGTCTCTGAATTGTTCTCTTTTTTTTTTTCCCCTTTCAGATCCCTTCTTGGTCTCGGCTACACTTCTTCAAGTGTACCCGCGCACGACACACTCCCGCTCTTTTAAGACCTTTTTTTTAACTGGGCTGCATTGCTGTCCAGCGACGTGTCCGGATCCGCGCGCAAGACTCCCACTCGGACTTGAATCTCGACTTCACGACTGACCAACTCTCCAACACACACCATACACAGCAACCCGACACCGACACTCTAGAGCTCCAGAGCTCGTCGCTGCGCCCGTCAAGATGAGTTCTGACTACTCGTACGACGCCGAGGCGCAATTCTACCCCTTCTTCATCCTCGCCATCACCAGCATCATCACCTTGCCGCTCGGCTACACCCTCGTCTTTCCCTCCAAGGACATTGAAGCCAAGGCCCCGCGCATCCAGAGCGACTTCAAGCCCGAGCATGTCGACCTCATCGACAAGCAGCGCAAGGCGCACGAGAAGAAGCAGCGCCGCATCGTGCGCGTCATTGCCGTCCTCATCGGCCTAGCCGTCATGGCCGGCATGATCTACCTCATCATCCACACACAGAGCGTCACACAAAAGATCTGGAACCCATATGATATTCTCGGTATCTCTGACGTATGTTGACCACTTCACACCGGCTGCCCGCTTCTTTCCCCTCCATACCCCATCCAAATAGTGCTGACACCCTGTTGCGTCTAGTCTGCCGACGAGAAGACAATCAAGAAGGTCTACAAGCAGCTTTCAAGAAGACTGCACCCCGACAAGGTCAAGCCCGACCCGGCCAAGAACGAGACCATCGAGTCCCTTAACAACGCCTACGTCGAGATTTCAAAGGCCTACCAAGCGCTCACTGACGAGGAGATCCGCAACAACTACATCCAGTATGGCCACCCCGACGGAAAGCAGAGCTTCAGCATCGGTATTGCGCTCCCCCAGTTCATCATCTCTGACGGCAACGGCAAGTTCGTTGTCCTCGCCTACACACTCCTCCTTGGTGTTCTCCTGCCTTACCTGGTTGGCTCTTGGTGGTACGGCACTCAGCGCATGTCCAAGGATGGCGTGCTTCTTGAGAGCGCCAACAACCTGTTCCGCGCATACGACGAGAACGTTGACGAGGGTGGCGTTGTTACTGCCCTCAGCAGTGGCAAGGAGTTCGACAGTGTTCTGAAGGGCGACAAGGCCGAGTCTGGCCTCTCCAAGCTCGAGTCCAAGCTCCAGGCCAACGCCGAACAGGCTGGTGTCTCTCAAAAGGACAAGCAAGCTCTCGAGGACCTCGACAGCGGGGTGCGCCGCAAGGCTTTGGCTCTCCTGAGATCTTACCTCGGTCGCGTCGAGCTCGAGGACGCCGCCCTCGACGGCGCAAAGTACGAAGTTGCCCCTATCGCCCACGCCCTCACCCGATCCTTCTCTGCCATCGCCCAAGCGTACGGTAACACTGGTCCCATTCTGGCTGCATACTCCACCAGCCAGCACCTCATTCAGGCTCTCCCGCCCAAAGCCTCTCCTCTACTTCAGCTCCCTCACTTCACCCAGGACATCGTTCGCCAGGTCGAGGGAGGCGACTCCAAGGTTCACATTTCCCTCCAGCAGTTCATGGATCTGCCCGATGAGCTTCGCCGAAACCTGGTGGTCCGCAACAACCTCCTTACCGAGGCCCAGTACAAGTCTGCCGTCAATGTCGCTCAACAACTGCCCCAGCTCCGCGTTGCCAAGGCCTTCTTCAAGGTTACCGGCGAGCGTTTCATCATCCCCTCCTCCCTGGTTACCCTCGTCGTGAAGGGCCGGATTATTCCCCCTGGCAGCGAAAATGTGCCCGAGGTCAACGAGCTGGACCTGGAAGACATTGACCCTGCCGAAGACGACCTCGAGGCCTACCTTGGCCGTAAGAAGAAGACTATCAAGGGCCCCGACGGCAAGCCTATCCCTGTTGACGACAAGCCTATCCTGCCTCCTCTCGCCCACGCCCCTTACTTCGCCCGCGATCACGCCCCCAAGTGGTACGTTTTCTTGACCGACTCTAAGCAGGGCAAGATGGCTGTCCCCCCCTTCACCTTCACCCAGTTCGATCAGCCCATCTTTGGCGACGACGGCAAGCCCACCTTCAACATGCAAACTCTCAAGGCCCAATTCGCTGCTCCCCCTCAGGCTGGTCACTACACATTCGTTATGCACGTCGTGTGCGACAGCTACGTTGGCTTCGATACCAAGATGGAGGTTACTCTCGTTGTCGAGGAGGCAAACAAGGCGGCAGCAATGGTTGCCGAGGATGATATCAGTGAGCCCGATGAAGGTATGTACTCCCCTCTCTACCCTCCGACCCGAAAAGAATCGGCCCAGTACTAACAATAATCACCAGACTCGATAGCCGGCCAGATGCAAGCCCTCAAGGGCGGCAGTGTACCGGGCGCCACCAAGCCCCGCAGGAAAGATGACGATGACTCGGACGAGGAGAGTGGTACGGACGACGACGTCCAGGACGACACGAGCGAGACGAATACCGATACAGAGGATGAGTCATGAAGCAACGATGCCCTTTGGAACCTTGGGCGGGTTGGTGGGTGGGATGTAGAAGCTTGATGTGTACGAAGCGATAGAAGAAGACGTTAGTTGCACAAAAAAACAAAAAAGTGTAAAAAAGACTCTCAAAATATACCCAAAGTCAGAACATCAACTACACGGGCACACTTCAGATAGGAGCGGGGGGTGGTGGCTGAGCAGATTGTGGACTAGGGGTCGTGTGTGGTCTTCGTACATACTCGTTATCGGCGTTGAGTTTTGGGTTGTTCTTCGATTCTTCACTTTTAATCAAACACTTCCGTTTGGCATCATCTTCATCTTCGTAGTTACCCGTCGTGGGACCGACGGGTACATCCTCGAGCAAACGTGACTTCATACACGTCACGATGGAAACACAACTGTAACATGCTTTGAATAGTGTAATATTCGTCCACAATACCAAGAAGATGGTCCTGGTGCATGACCGCTTGCTGCTACTGCTGCTCGAGCCGAGCTCGCTGTACATGGTCAATCAGTCAGCCAACCCAAAATCTCCTTTCTTTTTGCAATTAGAGAAAACGCCCTTCGCCATTTCCTTTCCCCTTCTCCTTTGCAAATGCGACAATAACTCATGTACACTTCTCTCCGTCTCCTGAACATCCCCAAGCATCCGGGTATCTGGTATAAAATCGCATCAAACCCGCCGCCGCCGCCGCTTTCCTCGGTTATGAAACTCCATTCGCGCCTCCCGTCAATTGAACCCGCTTCAACTGCACTTCGCGAGCAGGCTTACTCACTAAGCGCCTGGAGCGCGTGGGTGAGGGGAACGACGCGCAGAGATCGTCCGCGCTTCAGACCGGACGCCGCTTTTTGGGGCATAATGGTCGGACTAGACTCGTCTCGCCACTTGCGGAACACGCTCTTCAGGTCCTTGGGGATGCCTTCCAGCACGACCGTCGAGATGGGGATAAAGGGCCGATCTTCCATGCCACTAGCCAGAATGGCATACTCCTGCGCAAAGTCAAGAGCGTTGCGGAAGGAGCTGTACTCGCTCTGCGCCGTTCTACCGACAATGATGTACATTTCAAAGAAGGCATCCAGAACGTAGATGGAGGAAGGGTCCAGGTCAGCCTGAGTGAACGGGCTGATTTCAGTGACCTATGGTTATCGTGGTTAGCGGTGAGTTGGAGACTAGGAACAACATCAAGCTTACCTGCTTCGCCGCAGACGCGTCCGAGCGGAAGAGTCTTTGGCAGTACTTGTCGTAGTTGGACTTCAAACGCCAGTGGTCTGCAGAGTGCGGCTTCGTGCCGTCATTGAAGATGGCCCAGAAGCTATCCGGCTCACTGCCGTCCTCGATTTCTATGAGCTCGCCCATCAAGCTCAAGTCCATACCAATGAGACGGGCGCAACTCAGCTCATCTACATCACTGCCCTTGCCCTTCCAGAGATAGCACATTCCTGACTGCGTAATCAAGAAAGGGAACCCAGAGCAGAGACTTGCAGATGAGAAGTCGACCTCGTCAAACACAACCTGGCCAAGCGTACGGCGACCACACAGCATGCTTGGTGCCAAGGAGTCATACTTGGTGTTGGTACCGCGACGGGTGATGATCATGCCTCCAAGCGCCATGATGAACTCGGGAGTTTCTCTGCCTTGGCGCATTTTGACGAGCTTGCCGCCGAGCGAACGAGCCTCCCGGTTGACAAACAGAGTCGTATCTTCCACAGTCGCTGCCGGTACCTCGTCACCAGCCCAGAAGTATACCTCCGTCTCCTTCCAGCCGGCCTCGTTGGAAAATGTATGAGCACAAATGTACATTTCCCGCTCGAACAAGATACGCTCGTTGTGTGATTGCACAGGCATCTTCTTTCCGTCCCCAGTAATTTGGAATAGCCTGGTGCCCTGGCTTTGGATGTCGCGCACCCGGGGCTTGTTCATCAATACTTCAGTGGTGTCAAGGCGGTACTCCCTCTGTGGCCGCGGCGTGCCAAAAAAGTCATCCAATAGACTGGACACCTCTGAGCTTGACTTCGTGGGGGATCGAACAGGAGATGCGACTGGTGTAGGCGAGGAAGGCTTCGGTGGGATAGGCAGGGGCCTTGTAGAGATCCTCGTGGGAGTATCGGTCCTCTGGACTGGGGATGCGGGGCTCTCAAATCGCGACTTGGCTTCCATAGGTGGCGACCGTACCACAGCACCGCCGAACATCGATGCAGCGTTCTTGACGGACACCACAGGCTCACTGTCAACTCTGTCGTTCGACTTTTGAGGTGAGCTGGGCCTGGACAGAGGTCGGCCAAAGGTTCTGAGAGGCGCTACGTGGGGGCTATCGAATTGCTCATTAGGCGGCGGTGACCGAACGGGAGACCGTGTAGGTGATCTGGGAGTTGGTTCGGGCAGCGGACGTCCAAAAGTCCTGATGGGCGCAGGTGCTTCCTCAGCCTTGTCCAAGAAAGGCTTTGCAGGAGAACTCGGCTTAGGCTCGGGAAGAGGCCGCCCGAAAGTCTTAACAGGAGAGACTTCCTCGCTTCTCTGAAGTACAGGGCTAGGAGGCTTCTCAAATACTGGCTTCGGCCTGACTTCCTCGGACTTTTGGGGTGGCGGGCTGAAGGGCTTCTCGAAAACGGGCTTGGGCTTAATGCTTGGCGACGAAGCCGGACTTTCTCTCTTTGGGCTTGCAACTTTGGGACTCAGGATCTTGGGACTGGCAACCTTGGGACTCTCCACCTTGGGGCTCTCCTTTGTCGGGCTGACCATCTTAGGCGGGCTGCTCATCTTGGGGGAGCTTTCCATCTTTGGGCTCTCCCTTTTGGGACTTTCAGGCTTCGGGGTTGACTGGTTGTTCTCTTCGAAGAATCTAGACATTCGCTTCATGTCCAGCTTCTTAGGTGAGGTGGGCTGGGAGGCGGGTTCGCTGAGTTTCTCTTCGACGGGCTTAATCGGGGAGGCCTGGAGCTTCATCGTAGGAGACCGGGACCTGCGCTTTGAAACAGGGTCTTCCTCCTTAGCCGGGAGAATTGGCTTCTCTGGAGACTTTTCCGCAGACTTCTCGGCGGGAACCTCAGCAGGGGTCCCAAAAGGTTTGAGAGGTGCTGGCCTGTTCTTGGCAGCTGCTTGAGCAGCGACCTGAGCTTGAATGGACATTGGAGCCTCCTTTGCGGGGCTCTTGACAATTTCCTCCACTACAGGCGGCTCCTCCTTCGCCGGTGAGAGGGCAATCGGGCTGGGCTTAGATTCGCTTGGCGCTTCCGCGCTTGGTGCAGCTGCGGAAGAAGCCTTGGATGACGGTGCCTTTCTTCTCGGTCCACGAGCACGACCCTTAGTCATGTGTGTAAGCTGAGGTCCTGGAGCCGTAGGTTCGGCGGGCGCCCCGCTGGATTCTTCCGACTTGTCGGCATCACGTCCTCCGTTGGTAGCCATAGGAGGGGGGCCACGAGCTAAAAGCCCTGCGAGTGCAGGATTGAAGCGGCCCGCTAAGCCACCGGCAGCGGCACGCCCTTGAAGCCGACCGGGAGCAACGCTCTCCTTCTGAACCTCAGCCGTAGGTCCAGCTTCTATTGGCGACTTGATAGATGGTGATTTGAGCGACGGCGATCTCGCAGCGGGCGATTTGACAGAAGGCGATCTGAGCGAAGCAACCGACTCATTGAAATCGTCTCTGTACGATGACTTGGGCCTCTCGCTTACAGACTTTCGGTGCTCGATAGCGGAGGGTGAGGTAGCATCTGATCTGCCCGAAATCGACTTGCTCAACGCATGTCTTTTCAGCAGAGCTTCTGGAACAGGGTTCTCAGACGCATTGGACTTGGTTCTAACCACGCCTTTGCCTTGCGATTGAGCAGCCTGGAAATCCTGCTTCTTCTTCAAAATTGCATCCTTGAACTCATCCTTGCGCTCGCTGGGCTTCGGCCCACCGGTGATGGCCAAGGCCGCTTTGCCGCGCGAAATATTGTTCTTTAGCTCATCCGGCGCCACGTAATTCTGCGTCTTTGTCCGTCGCAAGTTGCCAAAAACATTCTGCAACTCGTTTGCGGGTTCTTTGGAAGAAGCGGCATCGCCAGAAACGTTTCTGGACTTCAGGCCAGCGCGGAAATCCTTCTTGGGAGGGGTTTCAGGCTTGACTTTAGCCACAGAAGGGCTGTCAGTGACCGAGGAGCGCTTTGGAATATCTACGGGCAGGGCGTCTCCTTCCGGCTTGTCCTCGCCTCCCGGGCTTTTGATTGTGCTGGTACGGAAGCTTGGGCTGCTGATGCTGCCGCCGGTCTTGTGGGTTTGCACTGGCGGTGCATATATACCCTTGAGACCACTTACAGAGGGCTTGGACACATGGCTTCCCATAGGTGATGAACGCATCAACCCACCCACATTGACTTCGTGCTTCTGCGATGATACTGAGCCGCTTCGGCCAAGGTCGGCACTGGGATTCGCAGCTTTGTGAGCCTTTGCTTTGTTAAGCTCCACCATCCAAGCTGGCTGGTTTGATACCGGCGGAGGCTTAGGTTTCGGGGACTCTGGCTTGTTCAGCGCGGTTTCCAGCCAGCTTGCCTTCGTCGGGCTCCATCTTCTGGAATCCATAGTCTTCGAAGGGCTTGATGGCGGTGTCACATCCTTATTTTCCTCTTCCTTGTTGTCGAGCTTGGTATCGAGCTTGACGTCAGGCTTGGCCTCGGGCTTGGCTTCGGGCTTGGCTTCGGGAGGAGGTGCTGCTGCAGGTGCTTTTGGTGTAGTCTCGATCTCGTCTTGTTGTTCCTGGTTGCTATGACGAGAAGTAGGGCGAGAGGCGGGGCGGGACAGAGACCGAGAGTGAGATGACCCCGTAGGCGTAGCAGCTCCGTCCCGCATGTACATGCTCTGCGGACGGGAGCGAGACTCAGGCCGGCTTGAAGCAGCTGAATCCGCGCGTACGAGGCCAGGGGGAGAGGTTACACTCCATCTCTTGACGCTGTCCGACCTCTTCATCATCGCGCTTTGGACGAAGCCGCCCATGCCCTTGGTAGGAGAAACAGGCCGCGTGGGTGAAGAGCGACCGGATCCTATGATTGACTTTCGGCGCAGCGCTGTGGGATCATTCTCGGAGATCTCGGCAGGAGGATCGAGTCTCTGGGAGCGGCTGAGCGACAGTGGAGAGCCCAACCTGTTTTCTTTCGTCGGGCTTGACTGTTCGGCAGACAAGTCTGTCGAAGAGCTGCGGCTCATGCCGGGGAGTTGATGGGCGCGCATCGAGGACATGTCGTTGGTGTCGGTATCCTCAACCTGACTCTTACGATTTGCAGCCGAGCCGACGCTGGCACGATCGGCCGTTTGACGGAACCACGCGGGATCTTTGGAACCCAGTGATTGGGAGATTTGGTCTCTAGAGAAGGTCTGCTCGGTTGCGGAAGAGGGGTCGGGAGTTGGGTTCTGTGAGGTTCTGGTCGCGTTCTCGGCGGCAACGACGGACAAGGGACGGCTCTTGGATCGATCCGAATGCTGAGAGTTGGGACGTCTCTGCCACGAGAGCGGCCGCGCTCCTTGTGCGCCGCCGGTAGGAGAGGTCACGCTCGATCGCTTGCTTTCGGCGTCAAAGGGGGAATCGTTCTCCTTGGTTGGAGAGGTTGAGAAGCTGTCCATGGTTTCGGGAGCTGCGATGCCTCGTGAGAGAGGGCGAGGGCTGCCTGTGTGTTCGAGACCGGGAGAAGACAGTCTTAGGTCATCGGAAAGCTGCGTCGTGTGTGTGTTACTTCGAGAGGAGGGTGGTGGGGTGTTGGCCGGGGATGATTTCTGAGGGGAAATGGATCGAGCGCGTTCTGTCAAATGTTGTCAGAAAATGCGATCCCAAGATTTTCTTCTTGTTGGAAAACACAGTCGCGCAACGAGGTGGGAGAGAAGAACAGTGCCAATTGCAGAGGGAAAGTGAGCGTCGACGATTTCCCTTTGGGTCACAAGCGAAAAAACAATGGACGAAGGCCGTGTGTGGTGGTTATTGGGGGTGGGAGTCAAGGCGTTGAGGCGTCGCCCGCGGCTCGCCCAGTGCGGCGGCCGTCCCGTCAGTAGCTCAGCTCTTGGGCCAAGGGCAACCTGAACCTGAACATAGCACGGCACGAGCACAAGCAAGACGAATGGCAGACGGCAAGCTGCAAAGTAGGATTTGTGCCTTGGCCGAGTCGGGAAAAGAAAGCTTGTTGAATAGGGCAGACACGGTAGTGGTAGGTAGATGATGCAGTGAGTGAGGGGAGGAGAGACAAGCAGTAGTAAGGCAAGAGGGGAAGCAAGGAGAAAGATGACAAGATGTAGGTAGACGTACCGGCGCGACGAGCTTGTCGTTCTCTCTTCTCCTGCTGTATCTTCTCGTCGAGTTCGCGTTGACGAGCGTCGTCTTCTTCGGTTCGGCGAGCATTCATCTCCTTGACATCTTGCAAAAACTTGGAGACGTCGTCCATTGTTTGTTCCGACATGTTGAGGCGGAGGACAGAGTCATGACACGGTTGCGGGTGGGGGAGGAATGGAAACAGGTGGTTCTGTATGCGCAGGAATCCCCCGGTTAGGACGTATGTCGTGGCAAGGCGAACAGGTAAGGTAGTGAGGTCTTTGTTGGAGAAGGATATGTTGTCTATTTTTTCCCTCCCTCAGTCGGTCTCGTCTTTGGTGTCTGGTCCGTCCGTGGCGGGATAGGATGGGATAAGGTAAGGTAGGTGTGCGCAGCACGTAGGTAGTACGGATACGCAGTGCAGGGTACCTCTGGTTCGTCACCTTTTGGATGGGTGCCGCTAAGGGAAATGGCGCCAAAGCAAGGTACTTGGGCCAAGGCGAGAGCGGAGCAGCCTCACAGACGTAAGGCAAGGTAGCGTAGCCCACGGTTAGGTACGGATGGGCAGGCGTGCGTTGTGGATGGAGACAAACTGGAGTCGGGTCTCTGGTCTCTGTGGTGACTTTGTTGTTTGGAAAGAAGAATTGCCTTCCTTTCCTTACTGAAAGGTACCTGTAGGTTGTGCACTGAAAACTTGTCGAATGCGTGCGGTACCCGAGTTCCTGGCGATGTGGGCGGCGACGGCGGCGGCTGAGGCTAAGAAGCATGAACCACAATGCTGGGAAATGCAGCCGGCGTAAGCAAGTAGGAGCTCTGAACGCGGCCTGCGTTTTTCTGGACGGGATTCAAAGAGGACAATGATGTTTATGACTGGTGGTTGAGGTTCTGCAGGGTGAAAAGTAAGTAAACACAGACAACCTGAGGTGAAGGCAAGCAGGTTTCTGCGAAGGCTCCTTCCGGATGCTTACTGCGTGCTGATGCGAACAGTTGCATCCCGCGTCCAAGCTGGGCAGCCTGGGCTTGCCTCTTTTTCTTCCTTGCCCTTGCCAATTGGGCAGGTGAACAGGCCCCCCCGACAATAGCAGCCTGCACGTCAGGTAGCACTGGGCGCTGGGTGACTGGGCTGGTCTCTTGAAATGATTTCTTTCGATATGCCCAGTTTGCCCACAGACTCCAAGGTGCAACTGTGCATCATTCGCGTCGACTTCTCCCCTTCAACTTGAAGTTCTGCGCCAATGTCTCAAACGATTCCAGCAAGCTGCTCAAAAGGTTTCAACTCAGCTCCCCTCTCAGCTCAGCTAAGCTTCCCCAACGCGGCCATCTGACTTGGCCTTCGTAGACGAAGAACCGAGACCTCGAGGTGAGAATACCTACTTGCAGGTGGATGTACACAAAGAAAGTGGAACCAAAACAACAAGGATACGTACAGTAGTACCACAGTACCTAAGCTGAGGTGTGCTGCGTGCATTGGCCACTCGCTTCTCCACACCGGCAACCCCTGTCTCACAATGGATATATTTCGTACCTGAGATCCCTTGCACCAAATTTCGACATTCAAGCGCCCTTACTGGCCCGATGGGGCGTTTCAATCACATCGTTTCAAACCATGATTTCCGGAGGGATGTCCCGGTATTCAACACCAACGGCTTGCAATCTCTCTCCTCAGTCTGCTGTAATGAATGCAATTCCCTTCCAGCCCGACTACCTTAGGTAGTTCAACCCGGACCAAAGACACCGTACATACTTCAAAGTGCTCTGAAGAATCACAGACAGTTCAACGCGGTGCTGACTTTGACGGGTAGCGGCTTACCGTCAGTGTCCCCTTATTTCGTATTTCTTCTTCTCGGGCATCTTCGGACCAAGTAGCGACCCGATTTTAAGCAGATGGGCGCTCACGCAATGGGCCCCATCCACACATATACGAATACAGTACTTCGTAGACGCATCGCAGCTGTCATTCTCAGCCTCAGAGAATATATTGCCATGCTATTGATACGGATAGTGGTGATTCCCTATTTAACAACCTGGGTTCGCACCTCTCGACGCTGGGTATCCCATCTACTTGTCACTCCGTTACACGTCGATCCCGACTCCCGAGCACAGAATCACTCGGATCCGGCCTTTCCTGGGGCCGTCCTTCCAGAACATCCTGACACGCTTCACCACACCTGCCTCCTTTCGACCCGGCCGCCTTCATGCCCGCCCGTCTTTCTCCTGACCATCCCAGTTTCCCAACGGCGCGCCCGGGAACTAGCCGAGCAAACGTGGCCAGGACATCCTGGAATGGCTCGCTGAGCTTCGAGAGCGAGAGAGGAGCCGCACCGTCGTAGTGGTGACCTGACAAGAAAAGCTAACCACCAAATGGATACCTGAACTCCTCGCTTGCCTCTAGTACAGGAACAGCCTCTTTTTTGCGTCGTCCACCACCCAAGCAAGGCCTTCCTTGAGGTTGCTGCCTGTCATGGCACTGCATCTCAGGACGTGCCAGCGATGTGTTCTGATGGCCTCCAATTGCAGCCCCTGAAGAACTACGTCAGCCCAATTCTCCCTAGTAACGGTTCAAAATGTTGTTGTTGTCCGGAGCACCAACTTGAAGAATTTCCTGCTCGTCCATGCATCCGTTGACGTCAGTCTTGTTGGCAAACACGAGCAAACTTGCTCCAGACAATCGCTGTCAATTAACAGTCAGCACCCCGACCTGGTCGCATCCACTTCCACACGTGTCATCGTCGTTGTCATCGGCGGCGGCACGAACCTCTTCTTGCAGCAGGCCGTGGAGCTCTTCTCTACAGTCCTCGATCCTCAATCGGTCAGTGGCATCGACGACCCAGATCAACGCATCTGTCTTTTCAAAGTAATTCCGCCAGTACGAGCGTAGTGTCTTTTGCCCGCCGACATCCCCTATTCTGGTCAGGCTTGCCGCCAACGAAACTCCTCATCAGCCAGAGGACGTACAAATGTTTAGCTTGTATCTGGTGTACGGTTAGCACCCTTGCATGATAATGAACTGGATAGATGTGCCGACGAACCCATCGTAGTCTATAGTCTTGATGATGAACCCCAATGTCGGGCTTACTGTGTTGACGTCTTCGCCCATAATCTTTTTGACAATAGTAGTCTTTCCCGCGTTATCAAGGCCTCTGTCGATACCATTAGCGAGCTAGAAAGCGGCTTGTACGCGGGTAACTGGTCCTAACAGCATCAGGATTCGCATCTCCTTGTCTTTGAGACGTGCTTTTCTCAGGATGGACAACATGGCGAAGAAGGGACGGAGATGCTATCTCTGGCGTGCATCGACTACAGTTCTTCTTTCTCGAGTTTCTCAAGGTTTGGGAAATACACATCACGGCATATTTTTTGTCATGTTTGAGAGCTGGTGCAGTGGATAGAGGTTCGTCGGCGCTGCCTAGATGGATCGATTAACCACACGTGACCCCGCAGTGTCGGTCTGGGCTCGGTGAGGCGACTCGCTTACCGAGCACACCGAGCATTTGAACTACAAGCATCGCCAAATGTACATGATGGGTATTTCTGACCACGTCACAACAATGGCCCAAGATGGTAATAATAACCCTTCCATGATGTAAGGAATCTGGGTTGTATAAGAGGCACTCGAAATCTCATGGACAAAAGATTGGCCCTGTTGGTCTAGTACTGAGTAGGTAGAATCAATCATCAATGGCCTCACGTTGAAATGAACGGGATCGTCTTCATGAGTAAGGATTTCCAAGTGCTTCTTGAGTCCGTTTTATTTTCATGACAATGGGGCATTAAAATACATCTGTCCAGAATGAGGTGGGAAGAGGGAAGGAACTTCCGGGAGAAGCCCGTTCCTGCCCCGAACAGGTGCGTCGCTGTACCTTCCTCCGACTTTCCTGCAAATTGAACCTTCAAAATATTTCCTACCGCACACCCCACCCACTTCCCTTCCTCCCTTCGAGGTATCTCTGACCCAACTCTACCTTTCCTCGCTCAAACTGCTATACACCGCAAGCTTCTTACTTCCTTTAAACAGTCCATCCTCTTCATTGACAGAAGAGGTTTTGGAATCTTTCACCAATTCCAGAGAGCCAGCTTACGTTTCCGCTATCGCTTCATCTCTACAAGCCGACACCAGATAATTCACTTTTGCTTCAGGTCGCCTTGGTTCAAATCCGACGCGCTCTCACCATACATCCTCGTTCAGATACTCCTTGAGGTATCTGCGCTTCTACATCAACACTGCCGTAACCAACAACTAGGTGAGTAAATTCACTTTCTATAGAGTAATTTAAAAGAAGACATAAGTGTGCTCATTTTGCTAATCCCCATTGTTCGGCCAGATGCAAGGCTGATTGTGTTTAGCCAAAGCACACACCGATTACACGATGCCAGACTCCAAAGGGGGCATCACCCCGGACAAGAAGACTGGCGGAAGCATAATCCAGTTCAGCCACGTTGGAAAGAATCTTGGAAAATCACTCGATCTCAAATTGTCGGCTTCCGCAAAGCCTTTCATCCCAGCGAAACGATCTGGTGAGCAGTCGACGCCGTTGAGCCATGATGAGAAGGATCATGGCGAAGACTTCGACCTCAGCATTTCGGTCCCCAAAGGACCTGTCACCAATGAGGAGCATATTGGTGAACACGAAAACCAGTCTCGCCATGGTGAGAACAAGTGCGGCAAATTCGAATGCATCGACCTCACCACGTCAAACCCTGCAGAGTCTATTGTCTTGAAGAACCAAACTGGCAACAAAGAGAACCAGTACATCCATGAAGAGAGAAGCTGTGGAGATCATTTCTTTCTCAAGTTCGCGAAAGAACCTGTCAGCACCGAGAAGCGAGCTGATGACAACAAGAGCCAGTGTAGCCACGATGAAGAGCATCGTGGCGAAGGCATTTCTAGGATAGACAGTCCTTATCCTTGGTCTTCGGTCGGCTTGTATCCCCAGAAGGCTGGCTCAGCTCGGTTCACGTTCTATCCTCCCAGCCCGGCCGTGGTTGTGAGCAGCGCCAATGAGAAGGCCAAGGCAGCGGCTCTTTCCTCAAACAGCCCTTCTGGAAAGCCCACCCAGCCGATCAAAAGATCGACTTCTATTCGATGGGCCATGAATCTTCCGGTCCCCCAGAGAAGGTTGACACCTCCTGCCTTCTTGAATGACCCCACTTCCAGCCCTGAAGCTCGGCGAATTTCTTTCGAATTCAACACCCGCAGAGCCCCCGGTGGAGATATTTACAATGCTGGCTTAGAGAACGCTGACTACGACTACCTCGCCGAGCGCCGAGCCTACGTTGCAAGAAGTTTTGAGAGAACCCGGAGGCAGAGAGAGGCAAAGATTGCTGCTCAGCGTTTGAAGATCCAATCTGACGCCGACGACGACGACGACGGTACAATGGCCTCTACCCTTCCGATGCCGAGCGACTACATTCCTCCTCATAAGAGACTCGCCAAGACCAAGGCCAAGGCTGGGGCAAAGGCCGAGTCCAAGATCGAAGATCCAGTTACCGAAAACCAGGAGCCAGCCACGACTACTAGCTATTACGCAGAGTCGGATACCGCGTCTTCAACAGATGATGCTAGCTCGCGCGTTTCTCTTTCGGGCACATTGAAGAAGCCCTCGCCCCTGACACCCATGGCTCTAGAGAATCTTCCGGAGAGAATGGGCGTCACAACCAAGTCGAAGAAGAGCCACTCGTCTTGGGATGTGAGCAACAATGGCAGAGCTTCACCGGTTCAGGACAGGGAGGATCCCAACAAAGTCGCTCGATCCGAGACGAAAGTCGCTGGCACGCCATCTTTTCTAACTTGGCTTTATACTCTGGATGGTCCGCTCGTCACCTCCTTCCTCGACGAGAATCAGGATCATCACCACCACGATGTCAGCACCGACACTGGAAAGCTCATCGACCGCATCGAGCAGCCGCCCACAAAAGCCGATATTGTGGACGAGAAGGACATGACACCCGAGATGATTCAACGTCGCCGTGAATGGACCAGTAATCTGATCGTTCATCGCGAGATCATGGTTCGAAAGAACATCGCCATTCGTCAACGCTTGCAGGAGGAGGAGCGGGCCCACCACGAAATCGCCATTCTTCGGGATCGTGACTACAAGAGGGATGCTGCGACTCCCACGAAGATGAGAACCGCAGTGGCGCCTACCTTGGACGGAAACAGTCGTCTAGCAGACTGTGTCCTTCGTCCTGCCCAGCATTCTGATGCCGAAGCTTGTGCCGAGATGTACAACCTGGCTGTCGGTAAAGATCACCTGGTGACAGATACCTACCCGGTGTCTGTTGAGCGGTTCGAGTACATCATGATCGAGTGCAAGAGGCAAAAGCTTCCATTCATCGTTGCTACTACCAAGACGACTGACTTGACCGACCCCGGCAACTGGCCGTCTCGCGATGGTTACCGACAGTACATGAAGTGGATGCAGTCTCAGCCTGCGAAGGTATCATCCCCTGAGACTACTGTCTACGGATTCGCCTACCTCCGTCCGTACGAGACAGGTATTGGAGGACTCACCGGCAACGCGACCCCGACTGTCAAGGCTACAATTTTTGTTCATCCTGAGCATCGAGGTGGTCGGATCGGAAGTGCCCTTCTTCATCAGCTCCTCAGTCAAGTCTCTATCTTGTACCACGGCTTTGTCGAGTGTCAGTGGGCTGATCCGAAAGCTGGAGAGGACGCGCTCTACAAACCCGACTTCCGGGACATTCATCGTAAGTAATCGAACGTGAAAGGTATGTCAGACTCAACAGCTAATGAGCTTTGCTAGGTGTTATTGTACACACGATGGCCCAAAGCGAGGGCGAACAGGGGCTCAAGTGGATGGATGACTTCATGTCGTCTTTCCAGTTCGAAAAGGCCGGCCGCCTGAACCAGGTTTACAAGGTGAAGCAACCTCACGGCGCCGATTGGTACGACCAGGTTATCTGGCAGCACTGGGCGAACAAGATCGCCTGCAAAACATTCTACGTGGCAGACGACTCCGAGTGCTCCTACGACTATCCTGGAAAGCGCCACTCGCCTGGTGCTCGAAGAGCCAAGTCTCCCGATACTCCCAAGGATCAGCAGCACGACGATGGCAGCCATGACAGTGACAGCGACGATGTCTTTGGAGCCTAAGAATTGCTGAGCAAGGTCACATCCTGACCTCATGCGCTCAAGTATCCGAGGTCTCTGCCAGATTGGCCACAATCAAACGAAGACCCGATATCGATTGTTTCGATCGATGATGGCACGCTTGGAGGTAAGTGTCTAAGAGCACTTTGTTCTACAAGACCAGTCTGAGCTGACATTCGCAAAAGACGGAATAACTCACCGAAACAGAGCCAACCCCAACAGAGCCAACCCTAACAGATTGCCAAGAATGACTCCTGACTTTCCCCTACTACACGACCCGTCTTCGAAGTCAAGAAGAGAGCTTTGGACACCAACGTCTCGTGGCTTTGCAACGACGATCCAAACTAGCAGCTTCACATCGCAGCTTCATATCGGCATCTGACAGCAATTAGCACACGACTCTGCGCGTCCGACAAACTCTTCACTGGCTTCCCATTTGCTCTTTCCATTTCAGTCTTGTTTCGAACCTTTCGTCATCAGAACCCCTTTCCCTTATTGGCTGTCAGAGTACATACACACCTTCTTTACGCCTTGATCAACAGAGGGTTCTTTTTCTAGCCAAGCTCTTTTCGACAGCCATGTTTTTCGGAGGTCAATAGGATCTCGTGGAAAACGTGCCGGTGGAATGGGGCAGACACAATTGTGACTTGGCGACCGTGGACCATATCTTACTGATCTCAGGGACACGAGACTCGTTATCTCTGGATGATGGTTGCTACGGGCATAGCCATGGACATTGGGGTCTTCTCGGCCAGGAAGTGGGTAGGCAGGAGAGGGGAGAGATGACGGAGATGGAAGCCCCAGAATGTGCAAGGGCCGGTCTTGTTTTGCTTTTTCTTTCTTTCTTTATTTGGTGTGTTTCCTACCCTTAAGACTGCAACGGTAGATAGCTCTCAATCTTGTTCGTCAAATCATGTGCCCACTTTCCCAGAGCTCGTAATTTTTGTGCCTTGCTTTACGGATGATTACGTTTTCAACCGTTCTAAGAATGGAATCCATTGACCAAAACCATGTTTGCAACAAGTCTACAAACTAAAACGCCTACCTACCTTATCCCATCATCATCGCCGGAAATTCGCAAAACTATACGAGTCGTCAGGATAAATCGTCGACGCCTCACTCAGAGGCGGCCGTCCCCCCACCGCCGCCACGCTGCGCGCATCATCGTCATCACCACCTAGAGGCGACACATCTCGCACAGGCCGATCACGAGACGACGGAGCCCAAGTCCCAGCTTGCGTGGAATTCGCCGTTGGTGTTCTCAACCCAGTCTCGCACTCCGATTCGGCCTCCGACGCAGCAGCAGCAGCAGCACCAAAGTCAACGTGGTTCTTGAAACTCGGCCGGCCGATACGTCCCATCTCCTCTAGGCGAGCTACCCCCTCTTCCTCGGCTAGATACCATGCTGCTTCTGTGGGGGACATCTCGAACCCACGAGGGGGAGTAAATTTCGAATCCGTGGCGCGGCGGTCCTGTGTAACGACATTGTTATTTTGGGGCGAGGGGGAGGAAGTACTTACGAGCCCGCCCGGACGGGGCCCACGGGGTCTACGGGCGGAAGACGAGCGAGACGTAACGTCGGGCCAGGCCGTGACGATGGAAGCGAGCGACCCGGTCGTGGGGTGAGGCTGGGCCGGCTCGCTGTTCGAGTACACGCTGGCGTCCGTATACGACGGGCTGCTCGGCGCTGCGGTGCCGTACCCACGGAACGGCGGTGCGAGGGTAGCGGCGGGAGGCGTGGCAGGTCGAGGAGTGCGCGGCTCGGAGTCCGTAGAGTCTACATGTCGGAACCGATCACGTCGTCGGGCATCGTCTTGGATCATCGAGGGGGGAAAGTCAGATGCGCGTAAACGCTGTTCGCTCCTAGCGGGACTATTAGCAACAGCGTCATCCCAAAGTGCCCCTTGTTCTTTCCGATCCACCTCTTTTCCCGTGCCAAAGTCTCGGCGGAACTGGGCATCGGATTGAGGCGCCGGGCCGCCAAAGGCCGGGTGTAGGGATGATCGGTCGAAAGCACCCTTGTGTCCGTTCTGGCGGGCCAGCCGCTCGTAATAGTGCCCGACGGCATCTTCCCACGGCCGGTTCTCAGTGTCGGGATTTTCGTCATCTGGGTCAGCAAATGGGTCCTCGCTCAGTGTCGTGGAAGGTCGCCCACTTGCGGTCGATTGCTCGTCCGGAATTGAGCGCGGAGTATCGCGTCTGGATGTCTTCCTGATACCACTGCTGGCATTCTCCGAACCTCTGGCTTGCTTTTGGTGCATTTTCGCCTCGCGCCTCTGGTGTCGCGCTGCCTTGACATCTTTAAGCATAGCCCGAATTTCCTCGGCTAAGTTTGCGCTTCTTTTGAAGACTTCTCTTTGTGCAGCCTCAGGGAACTCGTTAATCCACGCGTCCACGATCCTTTGCAGGCATGGCGACGTTCTCTTAGTCCGGGCAATGAGATTAGCACGAAGGTCGCCAAGGAAAGAGGGACGAGATCCGAGTGCTGACAAGATGCACGCCTCACAATGTGAATTTACATGGCTTAGCACTTTCGGCTGGCGACCATGAAGGAGTTCGAAGTTGTACGTGTCCATCCACAAGGCCTGGATACCATCCAGACGACGAACGAATTCTTGTATCAAGGGTGTACATTCCGGACCTCTATCGCGTTGTCGGTCATGTCGCAAGCTGGCCGTTTCCAATGTGATCTCTTTCAGGACCAGTGCAAAAAGGGCGTGAATTGTCCAAGGATTCAGGCCACGATGGCTTGAGCAAAGGACTGCGGCCGGCGGTGTGAACGAAGGGTTATACTTCTCGCTGATCTTCATCAAACCGCGAGTAATAACGCTGACTACGTTGGTCTTGCTGCGTGGACGGAGACAAGCCGCGGGCAGTTGTTCCATCGTTTCCTCTTGCTCCTTAAGCCAACTTTTTGGGGGTTTCGCAATGCTGTGCTCCACTGGGAGATAAAGGTATCGAACCAACTTCCTCACCGACCCGTTTGTCAAATCGTGTACACTTTGGTACGGGCTGGACATAGTGATAAGTTGATGTAATGAGTGAATCGTTCAAAGTTTCGGTATAGGTGTCGCTAGTCTTGAGGCTGTTTATTTTCGCTGACTGCGGCCCAAGAGCAACAACGGGCAGTCTTTCTATACCCGCTGACGATGGAATAGGCACACCATTACCGAACAATCTCGAAGTTGACAATGTCTTTGAACCATAACTTGCTTGACCAAGGACAACAAGCTGTTCCTTTGGCTTCAAGCGTCACAATGCAAAAGACACAGGTAACCTTGGCGCGGAAGAGCAGTATTGGGCTGTGACAAACAAAGAGACACATTGTCCTGCTTTGTCGAAACCTTCCTCAATTCTAAACCGCAGAACAAGTGCGGAGGCTCTCATTTACGTGCGTTTGTCGCCGTTGTTCGTCAACCTGAGAAAGGCGGGCAAAATGACACAGGCCGCGGCTGCGGTTACATTTGCATCGATTCCGACCAATAAAACCAGGGATAACAGAGGTCTAGGAATTATCGCCGCACTTGTAGTTGGTCACGTGTGGAGAAGTCCCCGGCGTTGGTTTGATTTGTGGTGGCAACCATTGATTCGTGATCCGCGAGTAGCGATGGAAACAGACGCATCGTTTGATCGAACCTAAAAATGAATGGGCTGATGTAAGCGACATGCTCAATCAAAGCAGCCACTGTGCTAGGAACGACTCACAAGGCGGTTCTGCTGTACATAGTCTTGTTCCTGGATCCTGTGGTGTTGAAACAGTACACTCAAATCAGTCAGGGTCTCCAAAATAGTTGAAAGCATCGATCAGTGGTCACTCCAGAAGACTGAAGAAGTGGTTGGCAAGCCGGGGAGGCATGCGTCGGTCATGAGAATCGCTCTATTGAGCCTGGCGACAAGGCACGACATCTCTCTCATCGAAACGTCTCTACTAGCAACGCTGTCCAGGGCGTGGCTTGATCGTTCGTGCTACTCTCTCGTGTTGCTGCGAGTTTGACCCTTATCCCGCGAAACACAACCCAAAAAACCCCCGCATGCCATCAAGCCTTTTGCTATTAAAGGGCAGAACATGGCTGACCTTTGATGAGGCCCATGTCGGAAAAAAAAATCAAGTTGCACGAGCGCCATGCCCTTCCAATTCCGTCGGCCCCCATCGTACAGACCAGATATCAAACGGCCCAACTCCCATATCATGCTCAACTTTGTTCGTTATAGACGTAAGGGTTTGAAAACAGCTTCGTAGGCTAGGAATCATGCGTGGTATCGGTGATCCCCCTCCTGTCTCATTCGCTCTAGGCGGATCTTGGCCGCTTCCGTACCATCGTCCGGTGTCGCTGGTTCCTTGAACCAAGGATGTTGCAATGCCTGCTTCGCTGTAATGCGGTGCTGGGGATCGTAGACAAAGATCTTCCGAAGGAGATCCAGGAAGTTCTTGAAGTAGGTTGAGTTCGACGGGATGATATCCTACAAATCGTTAGTGAGCCGTCTTTCAGGACTCTGTGAGCCTCTTTTGCCTACCTCCAATCGTCTCATAGCCTTGACGAATCTCTTGGAAGCTCGTGTTGTCTCGGGTGTAGGATAGTCAAGTTTCAAGCGCTTGAAGTATCTGCACAGTATCAGTATGCGTTGCCCTTGCCCAACGGGACCATGAACCACTCACTTGGAGGCGGGGTTTCCACCACTTCGAGTGGCCATCTTGTTCACAGCTTGGACGAGGCTAGAGTCTATCCTTTGCCCGACAACCATTTCCATCATTGCGAGGTGCTCGAGGTTGTCGTGTGTTTGGAAAAGAGCATCGCCGGTGAAAAACTCGACTAATATGCATCCTATGCTCCAGATGTCGCAGGGGAATGACCACCCAAGTCCCAAAATGATTTCTGGCGCTCGGTAATGACGGGTGCTGACGACGGAGCTGTGGTATTCGTCTTGAAAAGTGGCACTGCCGAAATCAATCAAGCGAATTTCCGTGTCGAGTAGGACTCTGCGCTGATTCGCCTGCCGGTTGACGGTTGTAGAAGAGGAGGGTATCTTTCGGTTGTAGGTGAAGGTCTGGTAGGCGCTGTCGCACAAAAGAATGTTCTCAGGCTTCAAATCAGTGTGGATGAGGTTGAGATCGTGCAAGACTGCAGTCTGTTAGCGAAAGACTTATTTTGGAGCTTATGGCAGACTTACAGGCAACGCTGGTGAAGAGCTGTCGAGCAAAGCTCTGAATCTGGCTGTTGGGGAAGGGGACGAAACTGTTGCTCTTGAGGAAATCAAAAACGCTTTGGCCGAGAAGGTCCATGACGATGCAAATGTGGCCGCGGTAGTCGAAACAGTCCCTGAGGTGGATACAGCGATTGCGGTTTTCGTCATCATTGGCCTTGAGTGTTGCGAGGACTCGGAGTTCTATTCGCGAGGCATCTCGGTATTTTTGGACAGACCGAATAATTTTGATGGCCACGGACTTGTTCCTCTTACGGTCTCGAGCCTGGACGACTTTGCCAAACGTCCCTTGCCCCAGTAGCTTCACCATCTGGTCTGCATTGAAGATTAGTCTCTGGTGGTTGATCAGATTGAGTGTGCTCAACATACACTTATCGGTAAGGTCGGCGTCAGGAACAACAATGTAATGTCCATCATCATCGTCGACTTTGGCATTCTTGTTATAACCCTGCTGTGAAAATATTAGCAAATGGATAAAAATATCTTCGACGAGACGATGAAACTTACATCCTGAACCAGCCGAACGTGAACGTCGGGCGCCTTCTTGGGAGGGTAAGGAGGCGGCTTGTAGGTGAGGAATGGATCGCCGAGGCCCTCGACCTCTCTCTTCTTTGCCTCTTGAGCAATCTGCTGACGGGTTCTCTTACGCTTCTGACCAGGTTGAGCATCGTAATACTCGTGTCCAGTTGAAGAGAGGGACGTGGCAGCGGTGGTGTGGATGGCGGAGTTTGTAGTGCGGTCGGTTGATATGGTCGATCCGCTGGGGGTGCCGTTGTGGTGAGGAGTGGTAGTGTGAGAACCGGCGTACTTGTTGTGATAGACGGGATCGTAGTGCTGAGGCTCGTCGTCTCTTTTCCTCTTCTTGGGAACGGGTCGGCTGCTGGCACCATTTGTGGTGGCGCCGTTCACACTGCCATTACCATTGGAGACGACCCTTACGCCGTTGCCGACGGCTTTGCCCTGCTCTGGCTCTGGGGTATCATCGATGACGATGATTTCCTTGGGCAGGCCATTCTTATAAAATTTGTTCCAGTCAGGCTCCTTTGATCGTCTTCGCTTGCGAGCGGACTGAGAGGACTGGGAGAGTGAGCTGGTGGCAGGCATGGTGGAGTTGGTGGTGAGCGAGTAGTTCGCGTCGGGACTCGAGACGTCGTGAATGGTCCTCGAACTGGCTGACGAGGCTGAAGGGCCTAGGCCATTTGGGCCGGCGTGACTCGCAGTAGAGGTGGTAGAATAGGCGATGCTCGACGAGTTGGCGTATGCGGGAGGCAATCTCGTCGTCGCTGTGGATGAGGAAGTTGAGAGGATTGGGTTCGCTGGCTGTCGGTACGAAGAGCCGGTAGCAGTAGAGGCCTGGTACGGCTGATGTGAGTAGGGATAATGGGGATGATGGTAATGCGAATGAGGAGGCAATGTCGCTGTGGCCGTTGTGGGAGTCGACATGATTTTCCTCTTGTCTTGCCGGTGTCGAGAGAGTCACCTTTGGAGACAGAGAAGAAGAGCGAGGGCGGAGGGTGAGGGCGAGGAAGGAAGGTTCGATGATGGAGGGAAGGCGGAAGGAAGGTGGTTTCGCAGGCCTTCGCTGTGCCGGTGTGCTGGGCGCTGAGCGCTGAGGTGGGTGCTGGTAGTGCTTCTGGGTACGTAGTGCTGTCTGTACTGTACTGAGTACGTGCCCAGCTGTACTTTGGTTTTGGGGGGGATGATGGAGGGTGGAGGGTTCCCAAATCCAAACAGTGGAGTTCGGGGTTAGTCCCAAGGTATCCGTGATCGATCCAGCCCTGAGAAGGAGGATAGAGGGAGCGTGTAAAAAGAGGGAGTGAGCGAGGGAAAGAAGAGTGCAAGCCCAGTGTTGTCGGCTTTCAGCGTTCCCTCAGCAAAGAGTGTGCGCTGTGTGCTGTGTGCGGCCCTTGAATCTGGTTGCCGGTGCCAGTGGTGGACCGGTGGTGGTGGTGTCTGGGAGTGGGCTGCAGATTGACGACGTGAGTGGGTAAAAACAGCTTTTGCGGTCTTTGCCTCTGGCTCTGCCACGGGCGGCTTGTCGCTGCTGCGGTACGGATACCGCTAGCTAACCTTGGAGAGGGACCACAGGGTCTCCGGCCTAGATTTCCCGAGTCGTGCGCAAAGTGTGGCTGGTACGGGTACAGCGTACGAAGTGGACGGGGGTCGTCGAGGATTCGTTTGATGACAGGATGGACGGTACGGGTATGGGAGGAACTGCGGTAGGCTTATGCGTGGACTGTGCTGTGCTGTATCCGTTGGGAGAGAGCCTCTTTGCTACATCGAAGAGGCTAAGGTATGACGCGACGCGAGTTTCTTTGGTTTGGAGAGGATGAGGTTCTTGCCAGGAATGATGGAAGAAGAAAGAAAATCGGAGGAAAGTCAACAGCAGGAGCAGGTTGACTGCTGATGATGATAATGATGGGGAAAGAGCTGGAAAAAAACAAGCCGCCGGTCGCTGTGCAGACTCCCAGAGTGCCCACGGTGGATGGGCTGGACGTTGTGGTCCAAAAAAAAGTGACGAAGTTCCGAGGGATGACCGGTCGCTTCACTCTCTTGGTCCGTGGGGAGCAGTTGGTGAGGTGAGCAAAGTGGAGGGCCCTGACGGGAGGAGGCGACCAATTGTGGAGAATTGACGGCCTGAGGGACGAGCACGAGAGGACAAGACAGGATGAGGGGGGCTTGGTGGTGGAGGACACACTGTGACTTTGGGAGTGCTGGACGCGGGCGATGAAGCCAAGCGGAATGAACGAATGAATGGACCTGATGATTGAGGTGGGTGTGGGTGACGGGACTAACTGGGCGTATGGGCGTGTACTTTGGTGACTTTTGATAGTGTGCGTGTGAACGAGTGCCTGTGGGAGCGGAAATGGAAGCAGCCAAAGTGGACGAGGACGACAGGCGGCGGAAGAGACGAGATGGGGAAGAGGGAAGGTTACGTTGGTTAAGAATCTCCAATGTGGGATACATGTCGTTACGCTGTCAGACACACACAGGCAGAAGTACCTTTGACCAGAGGCAGGTAGTCGGGCGGCTGGCCCGCGCATTTCGGCTACTTCTGGTCAGGTTAAGGTAGGTAGGTACCCAGTCATGAAATGTGCCTGCCACGCAGTGAGACGAGGGACTGGTTGCCTTTCCATTTTCCTTTACTTTCCCCGTTCACCTCGGAATGGAAAGCTGACAAGATGTATAGTAAATAGGAAGAGTTCTGCTCACGGTTTCAACATAGTCTCCAGTTCAGCCCACTTCCAGCCAAGGCAGAAGGCGGCAAGATGGACAGGTTCCAGTCTCTTTCTCGCGCGTCGAGTCGAGTCGAGTGCAGCCCGGGACAATCAAGGGACCACTGAGTCCTGACAGGGTATGGAGGGAACCTAAGGCTGATGTGCACCGGGAAGCATAATAAATCAAGCCGGTCGCTATTTAACAAAGCTGCGGCTGTCGGGTATTGGTCTCTCCATCAGAGTTCTATTTGTCTCTGCCGGGAAAGTGTCATAACTCGCTGCATCTCATGCCTCTTCCAAATGGCTCAAGAGCATCTATGTCAGTTCCTTCTCTAGACCTGAGGTGGGAATATCTACGGATATCTGTTACCCTTCGTGCCTTCCAGACTCCAGAGGTACAAGATTTCCGCCTCAGCGCCTGTATTCCTAGAGGTATATCGGAGTGTGTGAGAGTGGAGCCTGGGCGAAGCGCAGGATGGAGGTACTTGGAGACTGTGCCCTACCACGCCTGCTTGCGCGCCTCTGTCAGATGGCGCATGTACCTTAGCTTCGGATTGACCAAGGCAGGTACTTGACAACGACTGCAGACCGATGCCATGACGCAAGTATCTTATCGTGAGCGCCCACTCACCATCATCCAGAACGTCCTTGTCGCAGCGGAAGCAGTGCAGCACCAGATTTGTCCAACTTGATCCGACATGCGCCAGAGGCTTGAGGCCGTCTCTAAGGCAGAATTCGAGCAACAAGGACCTGGCGGTGATGAGATTTGAACAGAGGTGAAGTGTTCGTACTTGTGATGATGTGGCAAGGCAGAAAGCTAGGGAACTTTGGCAGTCTTTCCATATTGGGTACGGAATATTGTTCCTTATCAAGCGAGATAGGGCGTGTTCCAGGTTGTCAATCTGTGCCCGCCGGATCATCGACCGTAACGTAGCAAGCGACAGTGTCTTGAGCATATGGCTCCCCTCGGAAGGGAATCTCGGGCTTGGTGCTTCGATTCAGACAGGACGAGACGGGAGGTACTTGGATGGGCTGCAACTTGCAGGTGCTTCCGTGCTTTTAGCCTCTCGCCTACTGTACATCCGGCAGGAACAAGGGGCTTGTCGCCGATGTGAGGGACAGGGCATTTCGGTCTTGACGCACACCATATTTCCAGGGCCCCGTACTTTATTTCGGGGGGCTTTGGCGGTTCGACATTACGGGTGGTTTCCGACTTCTTTGTAGGTTTCATTCCATCGTCTGCCAGACCCGTATTCAAGTTCCTAAACCAAAGTGAGGTGCCTTCAGTAGGTAAGCCGTAAGACAAATGGCAAGTCGAAGGCTCGAGGCAAGTACAGGATAGGTAGAGAGGTATGTGTTTTAGAAAGAAGAAAGGACGAATGCCCCGCCATTTCTGGTGAGGCAAGAACGAGAGCGGCAAGAGTAACCTAAAGTACGGAATACACCTGCCCACCTAAGGCAGTTTACCGTAGGTAAGATGGAAACCAGCGATGACACTGTACCTACTGCGTAGAAGGACGGAAGGAGCCACGAAGGAATGACGCTACTTCTCATGCGGTGCTTCAATGGCGTGAATGGGACCGTCCGTCTGGCCGCATTCTAGCGTCTTTAGACTGTCATCGTCGTGCGGAATATTGCTCCCACATTCTTGTCTGTCTAAGATACCTTACTTTACACAAAATGCAGTCTTTAACTCTTGATACGCCGCACCGTTTTCCAACAAAGTCATTCGGTTGCCCTCTCCTCGATACAGGCGTAAATTGGCACGCACCCGACACACTTCCAGGTATCCTTCTCTGTCTCTCCAAGCTCCAACCGGACGGCTCCCGCTGGCTCTTTCCTCTTCCAGACAGAAAACACACCACCGACAAGGCCTCGAGTCCCTCAACCACATCTTCATAACCGGGATTGTGGCATGGGAGGAATTTGGCGGTATTCAAGACTCTGTCGATACCTATTCTGAGGATCTATCCGTCTTCACGCCCAACTGCTTTCATCACTCTTTCTTTCCATCCTCGTCCTCAAGGGACCGACCAGATATACGGCAACGGCCATGTATCGGTATCATCTCGAAATGCGAATACATACAGCATTGTACCCTTGTGGTCGTGCGCCCAAGGAACCCATGTCCGATGACTTCGCCCAAGGCTTGACTTACTTGTCACGCTCGCAAAATTAAAGACACGCCAAACCAGTGGCCGCCGACGGCTTCACGCTTCGCCCTTCACCCTTCTCGCTCCTCCTCTCACCCACTTTACGCACTTGGCGGGTCGCTCTGGAGCCCGCCCTCCACCCCAACTTTGCTGCCCGCCAATCTGCCTCCACGACAATCTTCCAGACGGGTTTAGCGTCCCGCCAGCCTGGGCAAGTCGCCTCTTTCAAAGTCACGTCGTTGCACAGCGAGTGATGGCCTGCCGTTGCCGCTGCTGCTCCGTCACTCTGTCACTCCATCACTGTATAGTCATGCCCAGCGTACCAGCCTTTACTCTTTTCTCTCGCAGTTGCGTTGTACTCGATCGCTGCTTCTCAACCAGTACTTGTGTGAATAATATCACACACCTGAGCTACCATTACTAGTAGCCTGGGATGGCCGCGACTGGACTGGACTGGACCGGCTTGGTCTGACCATTCAAACGGAGCGCACACACGCACACCTCACCAGCCGCCTTCACGATGGATGGACAAACGAAAAGGTTGGATGAATGGAGCCAGTCCCCGCCAACCAGCCCCAGCCCAGTGCTACCGCTCCACGGTGGGCAGGGCAAACCAGCACGCAACGGCAGCCTGACATATCGGGGCTCCGTGCTGACAAAAAAGATAGCCCTGCACAGTTTACTTTACTTCGAGGAAACGATGCCTGGTCATCATCACGCTGGTTTGCTCCGAAATCCCATGGCCTTTGGCTGCTGCAATACGTCAGAAGGATCCAATACTGCAGACCGGATGAGTGTCCTAAATGGGTCCTGATACCGGCTTTAAACTTCACCTCGTCTCGCCATGACCGATTATTCTCATACTTCTGATCGACTCCTCGTCCGCAGCTACAACCACTCTGGTTGTTCTTGCTCCTTGAATATTGCATCACCTTATGGCATGGCACCGGAAACTTCAACAACCTAGTTACCGCCGCCGGCTGGCGGTTGGCGGCGTTGAGCATCAGTCCAAACACGGCCCAAAAGCATGATCCACACATTCCACGCAGTCGCCCAAGATCTGATCGCGCCGAAAAAGCTAATGGAAACAATGATCCGTACCAAGATGCACAGTCAAGGAAAGACAGCAAACGCTTCAGCATGGAGCCACGGAAATGGAAACGTTTGACCTACTTATTCAGCCAGCCAGCACTGGCCGCCTTTTCTGGCTTGACATCCCTATGGATACCGCTGCTTTTGATCTGATCCCACCGTCTCCTCTATGGCAACCCAACAGTGCACACTGGCAGCACAATCATCGGCGAATCCCCAAGCACTCCTTAGTGTCCACATCCCTGCTTCCCGTCCAAAGGTGCGCCAATGGGGCTTTTGAGGAGCAATACCTTCTCTCTCCATCGACCAACCATGGGTGCAGTTCATAATGCGGTGGGGAGAGGAGGCAAAGGGTCGCAGCCATCGCGACGCTTGTGAGGAGGCTCGGAGGCAGTGAGGAATACCCGACTTGAGCGTAAAGAGGCAGGCAGGAGGCTTGTGAACGTCTTTTTCGAGTTTTATTGGGAGACCAGGTTATCAGCACAGAGAAGGGCAGGGCGGAGTGGACAGAGGGAAATCTGTGCTGTCACCGGCCCCTCTCTCCGACCAACATCATGCCTGCACACGCAACTGCATCTCAAGAGTCAAGGCTCACGCAGCTCCATCATACTCCCGTGGTAACAGGTTTGTCGTTCTTCACCACACTGCAAAATTCTCCAATGGAAAATTGTAGAGCCGGACTCGATATTCACGATCGATGTCACACGGTTGTCAATCGTTTCCTTCACCAAGACTCGACAGCTTCGAGAGACTTTTAAGAGGAGAGCGGCACACTGTCGCAACGACCTCCGCGCGTGTCTTCACGGTGTACCTGTTCGGTACGTGGCGTAAAGTGCCTGCATGACTCCAGGATACTGAGCCCGTGGCAACCGAGACTAGACAAGCATAAGCCTAGAAGGTGTGCCTCGCCGCGAAACATTGGTGATGAGAGGCCCAGAACAAGCGGCCTATATTTCCCCCTCATTAAGATCATTCAACGTTTTGATGGGGGGTTGTCCGGCCGTCCTGTCAAGACAAGCGATGCCGGGTAATGGATCAATCGTGCCAGCATGGGCAGACGAGCATCTGCACCCGAGCTGAATAGCAAATTGCGACTTTCCTCTCAGTCTCGACGCTCTCAAACCATGCATTATCCCAGGCAGAGCGTGCTACTGCCACCTGCCACCACTGACGGCTGGAAAGTTTCAGTTCCTTGAACGCAAACATGCCGTCGGGCCATTGAGCTTTCTTTTCCCTTCTTCCTAGAGCCCGTGATCCGTGCTTGCGTCGCAGGTACGCTCGTCTCCACCCTTTGCATGCATGTAATCGGGGGACGAAATGTCACCCGGGGGCTGCAGATGGCTTTTGTAGCGGGCTCGCGGAGAAAACATATATTGCATTATAAGAGGACAGCTTTGATAAAACCATGAACTCCCGCACTATCCTCAACATTCTGTCTCATCGTAAAGTAGATGAGGAGGAGCCATACTGGAGAGGTGTCGGATGAATAGCGCCGGGGACCTCATCGTCCGAGGCCAGAAAACAGACTGAGGTAATTAGGACACAACGGTTGTTGATATGCTGATTGACGCCTACTTCCCGCATAAAGGGACTTCCATGATATCCATGATTCCCAGACCTCGCCCTTATCAAACTAACTACGAAGAACATCTGTAGAAGCCACCAGAAGGTTGACATGTGCCGCCCTCGATAGACTATAATTGACGGGACTGAACTGTCTTGGTTTGTCTACACGGAGCCTAAGCCTGCCTCGATAAGATGTAAGTAAGCAACCCCGCTGACCCCGTCTGTCATCCCGCCCCTCCTTTTTTGGTGCCCGTTGGTGGCGATTCCAAGACCAAGTTCGTAATTGTCCCGTCCTCGAATTGTCGAGGTGGTGGTGTGGTCGTGCCTGTCGAAGCACACAAGCGCAGAAGCACACAAGCGGCGTGGTCTGGAATACTTTTGTCAAGACTGGTGTGTTTGGCTGCCGCTTGTCGTCATGGTTGTACAACGTTGTTCCGTCTTCCAGAGTGTATGTTATGGTGGTGTAAATTGGAGAGAGAGAAGCGATGTTTTGCTCACATTTGCATACCGCTTTGCTTGCTGTCCATGGTTTATCACCATTTTTGTTCCAGTATTTGGCTAACACAGTTCAACTTGAATATCACGAGGGCTTCCCGTGACGTATTTAAAGTTCTTGTCTCCATTGCGGACAATTTTGTCCATCTGGCTACAAGCTAATTCTACGCGTTGCCCCCCCCCCCTGAGTAAGGCATGTATCTGGACACAGATTTCCGCATGCTATGCATATAACCCATCAGCCAGTTGATGCCCATCATACCATGTCCACGGTTCAGAGAATTCTGGACGGGGAAGATGACCGTGGTGTTTGCCAAGAATGACTTTTGTGGCTGCGTGAAACACTTTCAACGTCCGATCTGATACCGGGTTCTCTATCCCATAGTACGCTCGTCCGGGGGTGAATGGACAGAGGAATTACACTCCTCCTTTGAGTCTTTGCCCCCCCCCCCCTTGACTGACGGATGCGATTGCGACAGATATGCCAGGGCAGATGGACGGTGTCATGGGGTATGGTAGTCAGAATAAGACTGCTTCGGCAAGACTTGCCTGTATCGCATCACGTAGGCGACGAGGACCTTCGACCATCCGTGTCTCGATTACGTCCCCGCCGCCGCCTAATCTTGCTTTTGAGCTTTCCTGCGCTTGATACAAGTTCCGCTTTGCAATGCCTTTGATATTCCACAAGCGTTGGTATGATAACAAACGAGAGAATGCAAGAGAGAATATAAAGAAAATATCTAGATACCCCTGTTGAACACAACGAGACCGCCCTCGCCACCGCGTCCGTGGAACTCGGGCTCGAGCTTGTCCGCGCTGATGCTCTGTCGCTGGGGGAACACAGCGAGGGCGAGCGGGAGGACGGCGTAGCTGGTCACGAGGATGAGGCCGAGGTTGACGGGCACGGTGAGGCGGGGCCGCTGCTTGAGCCACTGCTGGGCCTGCAGGCGGACGAGGACGAGAGGGGGGATGACCATGATGGGCGTGGAGTTGAAGACGCGAGAGCAGGCGGTCTCGCCGACGGCGATTTGGGCCGCCTTTTTGCTGCGGCCTAGGGATTGGGGTTGTTGGCTGCTGGCTGCGGCGCCTTCAACAGCCTGTTGTTCCTTGGTCTCGGCGGCCTGCGTCTTCTCCGCGACGACGGGGAAGACGTCGATGCCCTTGCGCATCTCCTCGCCGCGCATGAGGAGGACGTTGAGGAAACCGGCCGAGGCTACGGCGGCGAAGGGGACAAGGCGGGTGAGCGTGGTGCGGGTCGCGGGGGTGAGGTTCTTGAGCCGGGGCACGAGCTTGTTGAGGCCGACGGCTACACCGCAGGAGACGGAGACAGCCATTGCGTAGGACTCGCCGAGCTTGCGCCAGGATAGCGGGGAGGACTTGTTTGCGTTTGCCGAGTTGATGGCTACGTTGAGGGACTGGTTGACGACTTGCCATGCGATTGTGCCTGCTGTCTGTTCGTGGAACTTGTGTGTTAGGACTGCACTTTTCCTTCCCTTCTTCCTTCTTCTTCTTGGGGCTCCAACTCACTCCGAGGCCGGGCTGGAGCATGCCAGCTGTGACGACCAAGTTGGTCAGGACGAAGGCGGACATGCGGAAGGGGAGGAAGACGGGTTCGGCGGTGTCTACACGGGGTGAGGTGCGCGAGTGCGCCGCGTGTTAGTCACTGGGGAACCGAGGGGGAGAAGAAGGCAAACAAGCAACGAGCCCTTTGTCGCAAAGAGGCAGTGTCTTTTTTGTTCTCATGGGCTCGTCGCACCTGGGTGGAGGGTCGAGTCGACGACCTTTTTGGCCTGCCAGAGCTCGGGGGTCATTGTCGGGATTTTGCCCTGCTTGTAGTCGGTGAGAAGGGACTTTGCTTGCTCGAGACCGGTGCTGCCGACGAGGAGGGTGCTGTTGATTGGGGAGCCATGTTAGTAGATTGTCTTGGTCCTATGGCGGGAGAGGTCTGGGTGAGGGTAGAGGGAGGAGGCTTAGGTAGTGGTGATGTTGGGACAAACGCGCGCAAAGAGTCATGATCGTGACGATGCGATGCGATGCGCGACTAGGAGGGTCTGTGGATTTGGACGTACCTCGGGTCGGTGAGACCCAGGTTGTGCCGTACGCGGCCCATGTATGTGCTGAGATCATACTGCGAGGCGGGCAGCTCGCGGCTACCGGGAAGGGAGGCCGACATATCGGGCGAGAGGTTCGAGGCGTGTCTTGGTAGTGAAGCGATTTGAGAGGCAACGGGGATCGTCGCGAAGCTTTCTTTGTATGTCTCCCGCAATTGAGAGCTCTGCTCGAGGGTAAATATGTCCCAATGGGCACAAGTGAGGGGTAAAACCGAATGCAATGCAATGCCACGCGACCAAAGAAGGCGGGAGCGGTGCCGACGAACGCTGGTGGTACGGCGGTCTTGGGGGAGGGGGGAAAGGTGATTGCGGTGTGAGTGAGGGTTCTCGTGGGATTTGGATTGGGCTTGGTGGTTTTTTTGATAGCAGGAACGGATAGGATGGGCTATCGTCGGGTGAGCTCCCGAGATCGGTGGGATTTGGGGGAAAGACAGGACCCCCAAGGCCCAGAGGTAGGTTATCCGAGAGAAATGATTGGATCACGGAGCTTGGACCCTGAACTTCGCTGCAGCTGGCGGCGGGTGGACGCGGGCCCTGGTTGTCGCAGTAGGGCGTTATTGTCACTGCAGGGCGTTCGGCAGGCCCTGACGATAAGGTAAAGGACGGACGGCTTGTGACGGTGCAGCGAGAATGCTGACGGTGCAACTCAGTAGAAAGACGGTGGAAGAGTAAGATTAATGAAATTCAAAAGACCTGAATCCAGAAACGCAGCTGTCCATGCCAGAAGCAATCGTAGAGAAAAGAAAAAAGAAAGAAAAAAAAAAAAAACACCACAGACGTAGCTTCAATGGCGGAAAAGGCAAAAGATTAGACCGACCTACGTAGGGATCGAACCTACAATCTTCACAGAGAGACTAAGGAGCCGAAATGTGACGCGATGCCATTTCGCCAGCAGGCCTGGTTGGCAAAGGCTGGAAATTTGGCAACCCATGTAGGGTGTAGCATAAGGTGGTCAGTGCGCCGCCGCCTGATGGCGGGGAAACTTGCCACTGCGGGGAACTGTCGAGCTCGCCTGGGCTGCGACTTGTAGCTCGTGAGTGCCTTCTCCGTCCCGTCTTCGGCTTGAAGCGGCCGGGGGGCGTGCCGATGCGAGGTCGGGACGGTTTGTCGTGCGGGGAGACATCGAGAGCCATACAGTTCTTGACGTTTTCTGGTCTTGAGGAGTTGAGTTAGTCCAATTTCAAGCTGAACCCCAGCTCTCATAGGGTCTCGCTTGGTGAACTCCAATGTTGAGTCTGTCAGTGGAGCATGAGTATCCTGGTTTCTGTCTCCCCTCTTTACGATTGTGCTTATGTAGTCTTAAGAAGAGAAGATATTGTAGTTATGATGGTAACGTAACGAGTGAGGGACTCTATGTGTCTCAACGTCTAGATGTACCATCCGGAAACATATTCTTCGATATGTTCACGGAGAACTCACTCACACAGCGCTGAAATTCGCATCAGACACCAGATATCAAATAGGTCATCAAGAAAATCAAGCTTTCAATACCCAACACAGGCAGGAGGCCGAAAGGAAGTATCAAATTGTTAGCGCGGCGGATTGAACACTCACAACTACTCATGACTTTGAGCATCCAGATAACTGAGCTTTCCTCCGCTCCACTTACACATTGACACGGGACGATGTAGCCTGCCCTGCAACCAGATCGGCTTTTACCTGAACAACGAGTAAAACAATACGAACAACACTATGTTCATCACATACTCTGAGTACTGAAAGAGCATTTCTGAAGTGAACACCGAGGGGCAGGATACTGAGAGGTAGTCCCCAAACTCAAAACCTGAGGTCAAAGACTGGAGCCTTTCTCATTTCAAAACTTGGTTGTTAAAACTTGATCATTGTGCTATCTCACACATCATATCATCATCACAGACACCTCATTATAAGGTGGTCCCGATCTGACGACACTTGCTCCCGTGCTCCCCAATAATGTCCGCAGCCTGGAGCGCCATGGCGTACATGGCAACCTGTAGGTTGGCCGAGATGGAGACCGGGAAGATGGACGAGTCGGCGACGAAAAGCCCGTCAACGCCCTTGACGCTGAGGTCGGTGTTGATAACCTTGCCCATGGACACCGTTCCGCTGGGATGGAAGCATGATCTGTGTTTAAAATGTTAGACCAATCTTCCTGGCCAACGGGGATGACAACCTCGGAAACTTACCCTGCAACCTGGCGGGCACGCGCAGCAAAGGCCTCGTCAGGGGAATCCACCGTCAAAGGCGTGTCAGCCGTGAGCTCCCCATCAAGAATCTCGCGACCGACGGGCGTCAGATCGCTTCCCAGGAGCCTAGTATCAAACTTGAGAGCCTCTTGCACAGCGTACCTGTCCACCGCCGTGCTGAGGTAGTTCGGGTCGATGACGGGCGGGTCGCTGACGTTGGCCGACGAGATACCCACCGAGCCCCGCGAGGTATCGATCAGCACGATGGACAGCATATGGACAGCAGAGCCGTCGGTCGAGGCGCCGTTGTACTGCAACGTGTGGGAGACGTGCGCGCGATCCTGGCGGAGGAGCGGGTGCTCCGGGCCCGGCGCGACACCGCCCTCGTCCTCTGCGATGGCCGCCGCAAGGCCTTCCTTGGGTAATGTGACGGTGGCGAGGAAGTCGATCTTGTTGCCGCGGCCGTACTGAGGCTCTTTGAAGAGCGGGTTGTCCGACTCGTAGGCCCAGCCCTCGGAGGGGTTCTTGACCTTCCACGCCGTGGGCATGAGGATGTGGTCGTGCATGTTCTGGCCGACCTCGGGCTGGTCGAGCTTCACCTCGATGCCGTGCTCCGTTAGGACGTTAGCGGGACCGATGCCCGAGAGCATGAGAAGTTGGGGGGTTCGGTAGGCGCCGGCGGAGAGGATCGTTTTGCGGCTGTAGTACTCTGTTCCGTTTTGCAGGCGGATGCCCTTGGCTGTGATGGCGATGCTGTTGGGACTCTTGGACACGAGGATATTCTCAACCATTGTGTTGGTGATGACGGTGACGCCGTCTAGAGGGAATGCTTCCGAGGAGAGTTGTCTGCGCCCTTGGTTGCGGTTCTCCTGGAGGTCTCCGTAACCGATGGGGTTTCCGGCGTTCGCGTCGAGCTGGGGCAGTGCCGAGACACCGAGAGCTTCGAGGGACTCGGCCAACTTCTCTCGCATGGGGAAGTGTCGGTTCATGGGCGTGACGCCCTGGATGATCATGGAACCGTTTTCTCCGTGCTGGGAAGGGTTGATGCTGGCGTCGAAGAACTTCTCTGTCAACTTCATGTAGGGAAGCTGGCCCTCGTAGCTCCATCGATCATCGCCGACCTCTTCGGCCCAGAGGTCGTAATCGACAGTATGGCCGCGGACCCAGGCAGCTAAGACGAGTGATGATTAGTAACTTGTTTTGTAAAATTGGGCAACAAGCACAACTTGCCTCCATTGATAGCCGTCCCTCCACCGAGGGCCTTGCCAGCGGGCGCCGCGATCGATCGGTTGTCTACGTTGGCTTGCGAAACTGACGTATAAGCCCAGTCAATGTCGCTTCCGGCACCAGTGCTAGTGTTAGGGTACGCGATAGACTCGAGACCATTGACATTGGGTCCGGCTTCAACCAGCAGGATCTTCAAGGTCGGATCTTTGTGGAGGAGCCTGTTGGATATGACGGAGCCGGCAAGGCCTCCGCCGACAACGATGAAATCCCACAATGACATGGCTTAGACGGAAAGCTGAGTGCCTGAAAGAATGACTGGCTTACTTGAGCGACAAGTTGGCAGGGAGTTGCGAAGACGAGAATTGGCAGAGCCATGCTAACTCCTTATACAAGGCAGGATCTCGTCACATTTCCGGCGATAACATTGCTGCCTTCTCTTTAGTCCAACGAAATGCAGTTCGGGTCTGTTGACAGCCCATCTTGTGGTTTGTTGTCGCGCCACATGCCAGGTATCATCGAATCTAGAGCTTCGAATGCAAGGGTCCTAGTAGAAGGTGCATAGATGCTTTCCACAACCAACATACTTTCTAGGGTCTGAAGAAGGCAAACATCCACGTTGTGGACAGTCGTTGGAACATAGTTGCATCAAAGCACGCACTAAAGACCTCGGAGGAGGAGTGCTCGTCGGCTCGATGTAGACTTAGATGAAGGACCCGCACCCCGGGGCTGTCCTGGCCTTTTGCGGGCCCGGACGAAGTTCCCAAAAGATCATGGTCCTACCCCGGGTATCGGACGGTCTTATAACCCAATCGACCGAGACGAGATCGCAAGCCCCTGGGTGCTGAGCAGCATCCCGCTTGCTGTGCCGCGCCTTTGCATCAACTTGGCATGCCGTACAGCCTTTGCAGACTTTTCTCGGCAGCATGAGAAATTTCCGGACGTGATGCACAATGCAACAACGGCGTAAAGCCGTTTGAGACTGACATTACTATATAGCTATGATCGCGCGGGAACACCACAGAAAATCGAAGCATTATGGACGTGAGTAACGCATATTACTCAGGAGACATACTCGCACAGCTACGGACGTGTCTATCCTGCATCAAGTAACCAGACGTAGACTTTGCCTACCCATGGACATGTCCAAGTCCCACAGAATCCTGCGTGATAATCCACCGACCTGGTTCTTTGATGCCTGTAGCAACCAACAACCAACGACATGCAGCATGGGTGAAGCAAACAAACTTCCAACACGATAACCACAAATTACAGGCTCTTTTGACAAGGGTTATCACCAGATTTTGCAGCTCGTTTGTGCTATGCGGACCAATCGACTGACGATGACTGCGTGCTTTCCATCGGGAAACAGGAAGACCCGACACATCTCATGCATGAGATCAATGCCCACAGTCCCGGAAGGTAGGTATCTTGATATTGTTGACGCCGCAGGACATGAGCATCTGAGGCACGTGCGACACCCAGCAGCGTGGACTCGAAGAGAACCGCCGCAGAGATGGCAACGGATCGAACCTCGAAATCTGTAAGAGAAATTTGTCACAATTCACTCGCAGACATTTCCGTTTTCGAGCAGAACTCGTGCTGTTGCAGGGGCTCATCAGAATTCAGGTCACTTGAAAAGTTGGGATACCTCTACTCGGTTACCGTCGACTTTACCACACGCCTTTGTTCGTCCAGATTTGAAAGGCGCCTGTTCCTGACAATCTCCTATCCGCTTCAGCCTCCAAATTCAGCTTCAAGGGCCTTTGAGGCCAGACTTCCCACATCTCGTTGTTCCTTTCATCTTTCTCTCTCTGCTTTCAGTCATGGAAAGCATCAATACCATCAGATATCGTCAAGCTGGTGGCGCAATGCCGGCTCCAGTCATCATTCAGGACAAGTTTCCCCCTCTTACGTCGACGGGGGCCGCTCTCGTTGCTACGGCGTCGATGATGCTCTGCTTGACCACATGCTGGACCATCTTCCGCGTCTGGGCCCGGAAAATCACGAAGATTCCCTACTTGACCGAAGACTATCTTTACTTCACAGCCCAGGTACTTATGAGGCACATTGGGACGATCATTTAGCATTAACTAGTGTTTAGTTGCTATTCTATGGTGCGGCAGCATGCTTCATTCTAGGTATGTAGAGATTCCCTTCAACGCCGCCAGGTACTTAGGGGATGAGAGCGCGGACACTGACTTATACCTCAACAATCGAAGCTGTAGTAGTAGGTGGCGCAGGCCATGATGTATGGAACCTCAGTGACGAGCACAAGTACCACTACTTTCGAATATCGCTTGCCACGCAAGTCCTCTACGCCGCGGCCTTGGGCTTCGTCAAGCTCAGCATCACTTGGATGCTCCAGCGCATATTCTTTGGCCACTCAACGACCTTCAGGCTCTTCGCCTGGATCGCCATGGCTCTATCGGTCTGCTGGGCTTTGTACACGGCTCTGATAGGCTTCCTCATCTGCCAGCCTGTACAGATGGCGTGGGATCCGAGTGTACAGGGAGCTTGCGGCAACCATACCACGGCGTATTCTGCGGTAGCAATATTCGATATCATCACCGATATAATTATCGTCGGGCTCCCCATCAAGTTTGTTGCCCAGCTGCAGGTTCGACGAGCGCACAAGATTGCCCTGTATGGAGTATTCTGCGCTGGTTTCATGTAAGTCTTCTATCGGCAGTTCTCTTTCTCCACAGCGGTCGGGAGACAATGCGAAATGAATGGCAGATCCCTCTGCGAATGATAAACGCAAGCTGATGATTCCGTCACACTCAATAGCACGGTTGTCTTCTCTTGTGTGCGACTCTACTATGCTTACAACATCGACTTCATCAATGTTACCAAAGGCTTCGCCATAGCCAGCGTCAGCGGTGTCTTGCAAGCCGGCATCGCTGTCATGGTAGCATCCAGCCCAATGCTCCGTCCCGTCTTCGATAGAACGGTAGGCCGAGTCCTGGGTCTCAGCCTACAAAGTCAAAGACGCGGCAATGGCGCGACTTCGAACGCGACTGGCAATGCCACTGGCAATAGTATAGCTGTTCTGCACAACAAACACAGCCCTCGATCCGATGGCTTCAAGCAGATGTCGGAAAGCGAAGAGCATCTGGCCTGGGAGTTGAGGAACATGAAGTCCGCAGGAAGCCGGGATAGCTACAACATGGGGACTACGACGACTCGGGTTAATGCGGAAAGGAGCTCAGATGACAGTACGGGCGAAGAGCGAGGGGATCTGGATGGCCCACGGACTGGGAGGATCATGGTCACAAAAACAACCGTAGTCAGTCGCTAGGTTGAGATGTAAACACGCTCGCATTGTCGATGGGGACGAGTGTCTATTGTCCAGTGGAGGTGCATCGAGCAACTAAAGACCTGAAATAGGAAAGTGAAGTCGCATAACGAATTGAATCTGGTCAGTATTTCGTGTATCTCCTTAGTCTCTTGCTGTCGACTTGACAACCACTTCCGATTTCACCCAGACGTGAATATTTTGCTTACCCCCCTTCCCCTCTTCACTGGAATACCTTTCGATATCAACGTTCCGCCCTTGGCCGTACCGATCATCCGGCCCCAATATTGAATCCACGCTGTCGTTGTCGCCGAAGCCTTTTCCAGCAGACCTTGTCCCGCTTCCGAATCGTCCCTCGCCGCTTCGACCCGCGAGGCTTCCCAAGTCCAAATCTGGCGTCTTCAACCCAACCCTGACGGTGTAGTCGGTACCACCGATCGTCTTCAGACCGAACCCCAAGTTAGATCCGGTCATGTCTCTGGTGTATGGTCCATGCCTGCTGCCGTTTCGGGATGACCACTTGCTGAGCCAGCCCTTGAAGAGGGGGCGGCACACGGGGATTCCGATGCAGACGAGAGTTACAGCCAGTTCTGCCGCATGCCATATTATCAAGGCAACCGTATCCTCTGTTGAGTGTTCATGTTAACGATACATTCATGCAATAATACGTGACGGTGACCAGGGGAAGTACAGGTCTGAGGGTCTATGTAAGGATAACTTACTGGTGAAGTTCACACTACTCAGGTTCTTGAGCTGCAAAGCTCTCAGAATCCCGCATACGCCAGCACTACCATACTATTAACTTCACGTCACTCAAGCATGCAGATGTGAAAGGTGCAAGCCTTCAACGGGGCGGGCAGAGCTTACATGACCCCCAGACTCATGCTCAAATTGATGAGTAACTTCTCCCTCTTCGGCATCTGAACGTTCCACAACAACGCCCACGGCGTAACGGCGTACCAAAAGTCGACGACAACGCTCCAAGCTCCCGCAGCCGCCGATATGGGACCGGGGTCGATGGGGCAGCTCCCGTCGGGGATCAGTCGGTCCCACAGGAAGTTGATTGGAGTACACGAGAACCAGAAGACGAGCAGAGAAGCCAAGGCGACGAGGAACAAAACGATGACGGGGGCGATGACAAGGATCTGGTGCAGGCGAGTGTTCACGAGGCGGAGGAGGAACAGTGCCAGAGAGGCCTTGGAGACGACGATGGCGGATACGAGGATTGTGCTGCCGATTGCCTCGTACAAGATCGCTTTTGGCACGTTTTCCATCTCAAGTTCTAGGATATTCCTGCCAAAGCCGTAAAAGGAGGAGATTGTGAGCATGACATCGTAGGCGACGAAGAGGAACTGAATACAAAAAAAAGTGTCAGTCGAGGTCTGCGATGCAGCAGTGTCTGATTATCTGTAAACCAGGGCACTCACGAAAGCGAGGTTGAAGAAGTGGTCGTCCACACCGTACGCTTGGAGGATGACAAGTCGAGTGTACAATCGCAGCAGCACGAAGAAGAAAGCAAGACCCGTCAAGCCCCAAAGAACGGCCAGCGCCATGGGCGCATCGCCGCCTGGTCCTATCATGATCTTCAGATCCGTCCTGCGTCGATCTTGCAATCGAGACAAACGAGAAAAGACAGAAAAGACGATAACGCTGGATCCAGACGGGATCCGGGTTGGGGCACCCGACAATTAAAGGTTCCGATTCATCTCCCTAAATCTTGTTCTCCTCCACGAGTCAATTTTAACGGGGACCAGCGATTGGTGGTAGCGAATCTGGAGAGGTTGCAAGGAGGGTCGGAGTCTTTGAGTCCTTGCTTGAAGGATTCGGAACTTGGCAGTTGAATGGGCCTCATCTTTTCGAGTCCCGGCGAGGCACCTGGGCGAGACGACTTGACAGGTCGATCAATGACCGAAACAAGACATCGGGAGGCTTATTGTGGATGGATTCTGCGGCGTACCCATGGCTTAATTCAAACGAAGGGCAGAGGAGATCGTCACTATCCACAAGGGGGCCATAACAGCTAGGTCCACAGTCACGTCAAAGCACGCACGCGGTAACTGGGTTTTGCCCAACAGGAGTTCTCACAAAGGCCCGCTAGAACCATAATTATTCCAACGGTCAGCAACAGCTTCCCCACCCATCGCGATTTCGTCAACGTTTCCGCTGGCCACGCGAGGAAAGGAGGGTTAAAGACCCATCAACTTGCGACTGTTGCGAACGTGCAGCTAAACATAGGAACAGTTGGCATGTCATCACAGCGTACGAACGAAGCACGCAGAGACTCGGATTGTGGACCGCAACTCGTGGCCTGGTTACACCGCAAATACTGGGCTTCAGGGGCAGTCCAGGCACGAGGTCTGCTGGCCCCCATCATGATCCGGAGCCAGGAACAATGCGTCGAATGTTGCATCGTCTGAACTCGCGTAAACATAGCAAGGATACCTATGAGCTACTGGACTTTAGTGCATCTTGGTCAGGCTTCCTAATTCTCCGAACACAGCATTTGCAAATGCCGATGGAGAGCCTCTAGCTAGTGTAGAACGAAGCCAACCATCAAAAACAAGCAGTATCACCATTGTTCGAAACCATCTCTAGAGCAAAGTCTAGAATAAGAGATGGTTGCCTCAAATGATGTCTTTAGTCTCCCACACACCCGGAGCTGGAAGCCCTATTCGGCTGCGCTGCTCCGAGAGCAACGGGCCTAGTCGGTGTGACCCGTAGCGGCGGCCACTGTCAACCACTAAAGTTGTTGCCTACCAGACCGAGATGCGACTGGGAGGCGATCCGGTTTGCGACGAGGAGGTCCGAGAGCGAGTCTACGGCCCGCTGCCGTGTTTCCTTGAACCCCACAGACTGGTGAATGTTCCTGAATTTCTGCCCCTTTCCCCAGCCTTATCCATGTAAATGTTGTCGAAGGGCATAATCTTTTTGGATGGCAAGTATCTAGAAGCGACATGCTATAGCCACAAGTGCTTTGTGGCTTCTCAAAGGCCTTTTGTTAGTGCTGATTCGAAGGGTAGCATGAATGATACTCGCATATCACGACGTATATCACAGCAATTGCCGAAGGGTGCATTGCAATCTCCGCAGCGAAGATATGGTGTACCGCATCCAAATCCTGGCTTGCCCAATCCTTCAGCAGCATTCGCTGATTGCATGGACGGAGCCGGGATCCGCATCCAAGACAACATCCATGCATCCTGTCACAGTCACCTGTCTCTCATAACAATGCTGCTCCTGCCGAGCACATCTACATCTGCCTATCATCAATTTCGTCTCGGTACAATACTACAAATGGACTGATGTGGTTTGCTGATCGGGAGGCAAGATGATTTGCGCTAGGCCGGAGCATTAACACACGTGGATGCATCGCCCGTAGCATATGACGAGCCACTTTGTGAGGATCAAGTTTTCTCATCATTCAAATCATGAGCTACTGATACTCGATCGTCGTTAAAGCTGTGTTTACATGAACAATCACAAAGTGATGATAAGAAATTGCAACCGTTTCTATAATATTTGCCGAGCCTTCGTGTTTCTCTCGAACGTTACGTGTCCTTACGCTAGACTTGCGCAAACTCGATGTTGACCTTGTTCGCCCCCTTTGAGGTGTCGACGATTTCTGCCCATGCCGTAGTTGAAAGATGCATGGTAGCAGCAGCTGACTTTTTACCGACGGGGTTGTTGGAAAAGTCAACCACTTTGACCTGAATCGTACCCGATTTGCAGGCGCGCGGAAGTGAACTAATACATCGCACTAGATACTGCCTTCCGCAAGCCGCCCCATTGTCCCAAAGTCCTTCGCTAACAGAAACGAATAAGTTGCTGGAAGGGAATTGATCCTGGCTGTTGCCGTTGCACCTGGTTGGTGTATAGGGTACGGACCAAGAACCAGCAGTGCCGACATCAGCGCTGGCAAGTGGAGCTAAGATGCTGAGCAACAATGAAAATCTCATATTGCTATGGAAAGATGGTGTGAGTACCAGTGTACGAAATGGGGCGCAGGAATTCTTACAAAGAGCAAAGAGTCTGTTCCACAGAACAGTTTCGATATCGACTGTATTCTGGAGTCTGTAGTTTGGCAAAGAATACAAGTTGGCGAGCCAGTATTTATGGTTGAATCTCCTCTGTGACTGTGAATTGTCTTGCTACTCAGGGACTTAACTGTCCCTTCATTTCTCCGTACTTGCGCCGCACAGAGATCCACACCAAACACCAAACACGAAGTTGTAATATGAATAAGTTGCCTCGAAAACTTTTTTTTCTGCTAGTTGGACGAATCGTCAAAGGTGGCATGCAAAGGCGAAGCCACGGCAAACATAACCCGGGTTGATTCAAGCAATTGGCTTCTTTGAAGCATGAAGCGTGATATTACTGCCAGTCAAGAAAACCTTGTTGCGGGCAAGGCAGGCAATTGTGGTCATGGGTTCTGAATCGCGCCAAAACTATGATACATGTAGTATGCGAAATTAGTTGCCGGGTCGCGACACAGAGACACAATGATAATTGCAACGAGCTAAAGCCCGAAGTTCTCGAAGACAATAATGGAGCCGTCGATAGTCATCATGTTGTTCAAAAAATATTACGGATTCGTGAAGCCAAATAGATGGTCTTATCGATCTACCTTACTTTAGTCACCAAGTATCGTTATGTAGCCCACAAAATCGTTGCGAAGCTCACAACACAGAAGCTAAACGACAAACTACCCTCTCAAATTACTTTGGATCTTTAATAGCTCATTAATAGGTTCTGCCAACTGCACCTTGAAAATCGTGGGTCCGGTTCTCAGTGGCTTAGTGGCCCCAGTGATAAGACTCAAGCCAACCTGAACCCCCTGAACAAGAACATTGCGCATGCTATCGCAATGAAACTAACAAGTAACTTTAAGAACATTAAAATCGGGTTCGTGCATCGGTGTGAGAGTTGACCCAGGCACCTGGACCGTGGCTCGGAAGGAACACGCCCAGAAAATGCCAGGCCGCTCTCCAGCATTGCCATTTTCCTCTCCATACCCAGCTTATACTCTTTATCGGCCAAACTGTCGGCCTCCAGAGTCGACTGACTGCTCGTGTCTGACGATCCGAACCTCTCATCAACTTGAGGGTTGCTGAGTGTTGCATTCGAGTCCAACACGAACACTTCGTTGGCAAAGAAGTCGCACACCCCATCCTCCCACTTCGTCTTTTGCGCATAAAAGTTGATCAACTTGATCGACTTGTCGATAGCGTCTCGAGCGCCAATGATGTGGTTGAAGGAGTCGAGGTCCCTGGGGCTTCGGGGCTGCTTGGACTCATCATAGTGCGCGTGACGCTTGGATTGGCCAGAATAGGTGTGGAAGGTAATGATGGGCCCTAGTCTGGCGAACTTGCCGGGCTTGAACCTGAAGAAGCCTGTGACGGGTAAGTCAGCGTGGGATCATACGTGAGAGGAGATATTCGAGCGTGAGATATTGGGATAGGGCTCATAGGGATTCTCACCTTCGCTATCTCTGCCATCTAGATCTCCTGGGTTGGACAGGCGACGGAGTGTGTGCCCCACCGCGTACGAATCTTGAACCATGTGCAGACAGTGACCAAAGGCACGCTTGGAAATGTTAGCCTTCCGGTAAGATGGCGTTCTGCCCAAGAACAGCTGTCTCAGGCTTGCTTCTCCAGAGGGATCAGAGTAGCTGGAGAAACGGGTCGGGAACCGGCCAGCAAGACTGTCAGTCTCCTTCACATCCTGAACGCCGATCGCGAGCTTGTAGATGATTTCCAACCAAGAAAGCATGTTTGCCTTAGTGTCGTGCGGATCTTCATTCGACTGGGCGGCCATTGCGTGGAAGAATTGCAAGTCTCCAAAGTGGCTCCTCTGTGTGAGACTGCTAGGAGAGCCGGCGTAGAAGTCACCTAGAAATTTTTCGCCCAGTGCCAGCTCGCTATTGCTCTCTCTGGAGTCTTCGAATAACAGACATAGCGGGTCGTCGCTCCAAAGGAGACCACGCATGTACTCCCATTGGGTAGCGTCGAGATTGTTGTACTCGGTTCCCTTGGGGAAGCGCATCCTGGATGCGATGAAAGCGGCGATGGCGATGTCTTCGTGAACTGGGTCTCGGATCTTGATACCAAGTGGGCCATTGAATCCAATTTCGAAGGCTGCGTGAACGTCGCTGTTGGTCTCGTCGGACGAGTTTGCGTCATCCACCATTCCGCTTGTCGAGTTCTCAGCCAAGTAGACCTCAACGTGGCCTGGAAAGTTTGTTAACAATGACAGAGACGGCGCGGACCCGGAGACTGGAATAGTACCTGTAAAGGGGTGGCCGGTGAGGTTGTAGTCCAGCACTTGGCAAGATACCAACTTGGGATTGCTCGACTTCGTCCGCAGATAGTTGTCGTTCCATCTGCCATAAGGATCACAGAACTCTACTTTGAATGAGAGGGCATTGTCAGGATCAGAAGGGTGGTACAGCTCGTACACGACCTCTCCCTGGCTGCCCGAGAAGCCTTCATTGCATTATCAGCTCTCGATCATTACCTGTTAAGGTAGCCAGAACAAAGTTTTGTTACATACCAAAGCTGTCGTTCAGTTGAATCAAGGCTTCAGCTCCGGCTTTGATTGTGTTTGGAGGGCATCCCTTGGCCCAAGAGCCTAAAATGGCCTTCGACCGATCAAGTGCAAAATCGACTTTGGTTTTGTTGTAAATGTAGATAAACGACTCATAGCCGCTGGCTGGCGTGAAGATGGGCTCTTGTTGATCGGTCATTGTTGAGATTAGGTGGTGCAAGGACTATGTCGATTGAGAGATTATTAGACATAGGTATACCGCAAGAGGACTTCCCTTTGACTTTATATTAATCCTCTGGACGAGGTGCGACTACCGAATAGAAGCTGCAAATATGTCTTGTGATCGCGTTGGGATCCTCAGTCGCGGCCGGCTTACCAATTTCACCTTCCATGCTGACGATGGACCACGGTCTGGGACCTCGAAGTTTGAGCTGAACGTCAGCTTGTTGCCCATTTGGGACTCGACGGTTCCCACAAGGATAATCAGATCTCGGTCGTGGACCAGTGCAATGACACCATTCGAGCGAGAAACAGCTAAGTATGTAACCGCCGGCAAAACAGTGCTAGTGATAGATACCGATTGTGGGCGTGACAATTGCCTGTGCTCCTGTTCGAGCGGCCGAGACCGAACTTGTCCATCTTTAGGAGAGCTGAATAAACCCAATTTGGATATCTCTGCGGCAGGCCCACGAATGAGTCCGGGGACAAGAGGTTTCCGGACGATCATCAAGCCAATTAGGGACCCCGGTAAGTGGGTTGTCGAAGGTCTGGACTCCAACAAGTAGCACCGCGCCAGTGGTTCTGGGACTGGAACCCAACAGGGGTCGTCTGCGGCCTTCGATAGTGTCCACAGCCTCACATTCCTATTCCAAAATAGGGCTCAATGCTCTGGATTGAGTTACGCTCCGGCATGTCCTTTTAGTCCTACGAATAGAGCGATGCGCTCGCACTGCTAGTACCAGCTGTGGGCAGGCAAGACGATCGTGCGTGGTCAACATTTCCAGCGGTAAGTAAGGTAGGGTTCAAGAAGACCCTGCAGAGTGGCGGGCTGAAGCATAAGAAGGTCCTTCTTGAAAAATGACAAGTCGAATTGGGACAAATGGTTACAATGACATTATGTGTTTTATAGGTACTTGAATGGATGCGATCTTACATAAATTCCCGCGACGGCGTTGCTAAAATTGAGTTCACATGCCTTGGTGGCGACACGACCTCAAACGTAGGGCTCTAGCTCTTTCTCCGTCCATTTCCACAGACTCTCTGCGAGCTCTTCATTAAGCGCGTTCTTAGAATCCTTGCCTTTCAGACCCACAGGCCAGTAGAACACACCAGTCTCGGCATCTGGGCTGACCGAGGCCCACAGCTGGTTCAGCGCACCCTTTGACACGGGCGTCGACACAAGCCAAGTGACGATGCCTGCGATTGGCTTGACGAGAGGGTAGCTGGCGATTGGACCGCTGACGAGATTCGTGTTGACAGCTCCTGGGTGGATTGAGATGCAGCGGATCTCAGGGTATCGTTTGGCAAGGGCTTTGGAGTGGTGGATGTTTGCCACCTTGGACGCGCCGTAACGCGCCCAAGTGCCTGTGGAGGCCATGTCGGTCTTGAAGTCGTCAAAGTTGTAAAGGTTGCTCGGAACCCAGTTCTCCGCCGCCGAGGAGAGGGAGATGATGCGCACGTCCTTATCGGGGCCGACCTTGGCGGTGTGCTGCAGCGTCGGCAGAAGGAGCTTGGTGAGAAGAGCGTGTCCCATATGGTTCGTGCCGAACTGGATCTCGTAGCCCTCCTTTGTTACACCAGGCGGCCATGCCATGATGCCGGCATTGTTCATGAGAATGTGAAGGAGCTGCGACTTCGACTGGAATTCCTTAGCAGCACGCTTGATGCTCTCAAATGACGTCAGGTCGACCTCGAGGAACGAGATGGGGGCTGCGTCTGGCACTGTCTTCTTGATGTCCTCGATTGCGGCCAGAGCTTTGGACTCATTTCTGGCTCCGAGGTAGATGTGGGCTGGCTTGTGCTTGCTGAGCTGGGTGATTGTTTCCTTGCCGAGGCCGATGTTGCCTCCAGTTACGAGGATGATCTTGCCTGTGAGGTCAGGGATATCCTTAGCTGCGAAGCGCACCATTGTGGTAATCTGTCTATATGTGATTTTCAGAATGGGGATGTAGCAATGTGAAGATGGAGAGAATCCTCAAACGTCAAGCTGTTGAAAATGCTTAGATTGTGGAATAATTCACCCGACGCCGCCGTTCAGGCGGGAGCAAGGGCGAAGACGTAATTTAAGTCTAGACTCAAGCGGGGTTGGCTGAAACTTAGTTTCTGAAAGCCGGCGGAGCCTGAATACCGTAGGCGGACTTGCGGAGAATGTGGGCCCCGATCCGGCACCTTGGCGACTTTTGCGGCACAGTCGCCGGCCGGAGTAAGCCGGGCTCACACCGATCGGGCTCCGGTTTTGATTGCCCGGATAGGTAAGTATATGATCGCATAATAATTACGAACAGAATCCACTAGATTTCATTCTTTAGTTCAACATATTGCTAGTACCAGCAACCTTCCGGTCACCACATGGTCCACTTGTAACCTGTACTCCCGCCGCAGAGATACACATGCTTTACTCCCGAAGAGCGTCTATGGCTGATGCATTAGGACACACTTGAAGACTGCAAAGCCACTTATTATCCAAAAAAATTCATTTGATAATTCTGCGATTTGTTAGACTGCAGATCTCAATTGTCTACTTTCTACTGGCGAAGTCTCTATCAATAGGCTGTATTATCACCCTGCGGTAACTCGTCAAAGCAGGTGAGCCGCTGTCCTTGACTTCAAGTATCAAGTGCAGCGGCAGGCCTCGCTCCAGAGGGATCTTTTCCCTGACCACAATGCAAGACTTCTCTGCCGGCGCAATCTTAACCTCCACCTTACTTCCCCCGTCGTTGAGAGCCTTGATCTCAATGTCAGACACCTCCAGTCCGTGATACGTCTGCAATGAGCTTGGCTCGCGGTACTGATACCACTTAAAGCTGAGTTGATCACCGTCAGGGTCGTAACTTTCCGACGCATCGAAGGTAACCACGCCTCCGGCATCAGCTTCGATATGAATGGGCGTCAAGTTAGAATCGCCATTGACTATCGCGACGGGATGATGGTTGACCTTGCTGAAATCGGACGTCAAAGTCCACTGCATGCGTGCGGCAAAATCGTCCTGGAAAGCATTTCTCCACCTCCAGATGGTCGCTTGGTTGGACCTGTGCGGCTTGCCATCCACACCTGTCACAGTGTCGATTGCGTCTGCAAAATGACCCCTAGAAGAAAGCCCTTTTGAGCTCACGTTCACTGGGATATAGCGGCCACCCCAAGATCCATACAGAGGCTCTTCGGGAACACCCAAACCGTTTTGAATAAGATAAAGAAACGTGGGCGTGTCTCCTTCGATAATAAACTCGAAATCTGGGTACGCGGCGCCCAAAGGACCAATTTGAACGTTTTGTTTGACCCATTCGTGAGTCACCTTCGAGTCGTCGGGACCACCCACGTCGCCAGCGCAAGGAGCCGAAATACCAGTCCAAGCGGCAGCTTGGTATTGGTTCCAGCCGTGGATGGAGCAAATGTAGAAGATTTCGGGGTACTGTTGGCGGATCCAGCCTCCGCAATCGTCTTGGTCAGAAATCGTGTAGACACGCAGCTTCTGTCGCAGTTTGGCTGCGTCTGGTCGGTTGCGAATCTTGTTGAGGACTTGAGCAAGCACGTTCACGCCACCCCAGACGAGAACCCAGAGAGGATATTCTTCGGGCGCCGTCAATCGCTCGAGGAGAAGTTCACCGCCTTCGCTGAGCGGTATATCGTCACCGACTGCTTCCATACCATAAACCTGGGGAATCGCTTTATCAGAAAATTGGTTGCGAATTTCGTAGGTGAATACTACTTACTGGAGGACCAGACTTTATCAGGTCTCTCACGCTCTGCGCCGATGGGTACGGGGAATCTGCAGGAGCATGGGCGTTGAGGTTATCAACCACTTTCTCGTATGCGTTGACAATCTCATGGAGATTTTGCGGTGCAACCTTGTTCTTGAGCCATGTTGAAGTGACGGCAACTACCCCTTCTGTGCGAAATTGATTGGAATATGTGAGATATCTGCAGAAGGACTCTGCATCATCAGGTTCGTTGGTAATATCGGTCAGAATGAAGACACGCGGTTTTGACGGAAATGCATTGAGGGCTATTGCACCTCGAGTCGTTGATGGTGCCATGAAAGATGGATAAAGGCGCTCGGCTGTAGTCGGACTTGGGCCAGAAGTAATACTTGATGTTGAACTCGGAACTCGGCTTCTGACCTGGTCAGACGATCGCAGCCTGATGTTTGGATGTTGTCGTCTCTTAAGGTCGTTCTCAACAGGTTGCGAACGGATAATATTACCGAAGCCAGCCAAGGTATTATTAACCCAAACTCTAAAGCCTGATGTCAGCTGGAAAAACGCGCTCTATTCAACCGCTCAACTTCCTCTAAATAGGTAGCTGGAGGCTCGCGTGAGGTATTTGCCGAGGGGAAGAGCCAAGGATTCGTGTGAAGAATTACGGGGAAGCTAACTGACACCTGATTCAAACCAGTTTGGACCATCCAGAATAGGCAATGCGAACCACCGGCGAACCCCTCACGGGTGACGACCTAGCACCAAAGAGGAACCCAGAGCCTTAAAACCCCAAGTCAAGCAATGTGGTTTTCTTGGATAAACCTTGCCCAGTACCACCTCCGCATAATTCGATCCCCACGGGGACATTGTCATGGTAAATGTCGGTCGAACGGTTTTCAGGAACCGCGCTGTTGGGCCCCTTCTCCACAAGCGCCCCCAAACCCCAGGAAAACTGTGTTCGTCATGATCCTGGGGTAAAGTCTGTTCGTGCGGTTGCTTGATGATTTCGAATCATGTATTAAAAGTCACCGACAACCCTCACCTTTGTTTGCTGTAACCCACACCAGCACCGGCCTCTGAACACGGTTTGAATCAACACTCTCTTTTCGCTCTCTAAGTCACCATCTATGAGACAATAATACTGCGTCATGGCGAATTACGACGACGGCTATCCAGCCGAGAAGGTTGACTCCCAACATGATGCCAAGCACCTCGAAGTCAGTGCCGACTCTCAACTGGCACTTGCTGCCGACTTTGAAGACCATGAGATGGGCATCTGGAAGTCATTCGCCCGTTACCCATGGGCATGTGCTTGGTGTGTTTACGCCTGCTGGACTATCATCCTACTCAGCTTCGACGTTCAGGCCGCAGGTGCGGTCGTGGGAATTCCCGAATTTCGCAAGGACTTTGGTTACGAGTTCAACGGAGACTATGTCCTTCCAGCTATCTGGCAGTCTGCCTTTAGCGGTGCACCTATTGCCACGTACGTATGGCACTTTACGATTATGATGTTATGCAAGTTATACTAATTTCATCCTCCAGTGCCGTGATTTCTTCGATCGCCTCCGCCGAGCTCGCCGATTATATTGGCCGAAAGAAAGTCCTGGCCCTGGCTCTCATCATCTCCTTTGTTGCTGTTGCTATTGAGTTCATCGCAACGACAAATCCGGTCTTCTTTGCCGGAAAGCTTCTCAATGGTTTCATGGTTGGTGCTGTTGGCACCATCATGGTAAGCTATATTGGAGAAATTACGCCGCTAGCTCTCCGCGGTATCTTCACTTGCGGAGTCGGTGTTGCCTACGGAATTGGGCCTCTCGTTGCTTTCATTGTCATCAACTACACTGGCACCGTCGAGTCTCGCTGGGCCTACCGTACCGTTTTCTGCTGCCAATTCGGCTTTGCTGGAGTTTCAGCAATTCTTTGGCCGTTCATGCCTGAGTACGTTCCCAAACCTTTGCGCAGACCATACGTCTCTAGAATTTACTAACCTGCCTTAGGTCTCCATGGTGGCTAGTATCCAAGGGGAAGAAGGACGAAGCGCTCAAGAGTCTTGGAAGACTTGGACACTCTGGTAATGAGGGCAGAGCGAAACTCGCTCTTATTGAGCGTACATTGGATGAAGCGAAAGCCGAAACAGACGGCGTCACCTACCTGGAATGCTTTAAGAAGTCAAACTTGAGGAGAACCATCATCAGCATTATGCCTCTGTGCATCCAGAGTTTCAGCGGAATCGCCTTTGTGGCCAGCTACTTCACTTGTCAGTGCTCCTCCTTCCTGCCAGATGACTCTTCATTCAAGACAGAATTCGTCATGAAACCAACGTTACTAACAGTTGACTTCCTAGACTATCTCCAGCTCGCCGGTTACTCCACTTCAATGAGTTACCAACTTCAGATTGCCCAACCCGTTCTATCCATTGTCGGCAACTTGATGGCCGCCGCTGTAATTGACAAAGTCGGCCGAAGAAATCTCACGTTCTACGGTTTGGCCATTCTCACAGTCTTTCTCTTGATCACAGGCGGATTGGGAACGGGCACCAGCCAGCCCATGATCAAAGGGACCGTCGCGTTCATCCTCATCTACAGCTGGTGGTACAACGTCTCCATCGGATCAACCGCCTTTTCTCTGCTTGCCGAAGTGTCGACTTCTCGTCTGAGAGCCAAGACCGTCGCCATCGGATATGCATCGCAAAACTCCATCAATGTTATGTGGCAGTTCGTCATCCCGTATATGTTCAACCCGGACAAGGCCAACCTTGGCGCCAAAATTGCTTTCATCTTCGGTGGCTTATGTCTCTTTTCCCTGGCATATCTTTGGCTCTTCCAGCCTGAGACTGGCGGTCGCTCCTACGAAGAGCTTGACGAGATGTTTGCAAAGGGCGTTCCGGCGAGGAAGTTCAAGTCGTACAAGACGACTGTGCAGTTGCGCAATGAGACTGCTGCACAAGATGAAAACCATTGATGTCAAGAAACATGATACCTCACGGTAGTCAGAGCTGGAAACCATTTCGACAACTGAGTTGATGCTACTTCTGAAGAAGTATTAGTTAAAAAGCTGTAAATTAATTCGAGTAATTTTTTGTTTCTCAGACGCAACACTAGCAAGCTGATGAGTCGAGAGACACTTCGCAAATACAATTTGTTTTCGGCTTTGTTCTCACTTGCTCAACCGTCAAAGACTGTAAACAAGCTGAAGTTCTCTCCCTCGGGGCTAATATAATAGCGTGTCCTTCTGCGCATTTCTGAGAGTTTCCTGGAGCCAATAAGGCCAAGCGCGTATTGCCGTCGCTCTGACGTACTCTCCTGGCAGGTAAACATGGCCACTACGGCCAGAGACAATCTGCTTGAAGATAGCATCCACAACAGGCTCGGGTTCAAGTATCTTTGATTTGAAGGGGCCCGAGCTGTGCACCTTTTCGATCAAGGCTGTCTTTATGTAGGTCGGATGGATAATACTTTTTACGTACTCAAGTTAGTCTTCTGCAGCATACTGGCTTGCTCTTCTTTTGAATACTCGCCTTGTGCGCACTCTCGGTGCCTTATACCGATGTCTGATCTCCTGAGCCAATCCTTCATGAAGTCCCAGGGCGCCCATCTTGGAACATGAGTAGTCCACGTTGTGTACGCCCGTCACAAAGCTCGCCATACTTGCGACTGTGACGACATGACCATGGTTGTTGTGGATCATCGACGGTAAGAATTCTTTGATCAGGAGGAAGCTGGCAATGATGTTGACGTCAAAAACATGACGAATTTGTTCCTCGGTCTCGTCTAGAATCGAGGCTATCTTCATGACGCCTGCGTTGTTTACCAATACCGTAGGGTCACCGTGATCTTCACGAATTTGGCTTGCGACCTTTCTGATAGACTTGCTTGATGTGATGTCTACTTCGTAGAAGTACGCGTTCGACGCTAATTGTAGTTTAGCGAAATTCGTCATGAGAGATAGTCCGAGGATGTAGACTAGACTTACGCAGATGAGTTCTCGGCGGAACAACATCGAGACTTATTACTTTGATGCAATTCTTGGCCAGCTTGCGCACCAACTTGTCCCCAAGGCCTCCGGATCCACCGGTAACTACCACCTGCTCCCTTCGCCAGTCATACTTGTCTTGAGTGAAGTTGTTAAGTGTCGCTTGGCTCAGGAGACTGTTGGTTTTTCGAAGGGTTGCTATACCAAGCAGCAAGGCCAGAACAAATCTCGGCCACCCACGCCGGAAGACTAACTTTAGAATGCCTGGCGTTTTGAACTTCCGAAACAGCTCGATCAGCTTCTCAGATAACACTGTCGAGGACTGAACAGTCGGGGAAGACATTGTAACTGAAGCTGTTCAAAGGCGTAGTTGGAGGGGTTAAGGCCGGACGCATGATGCTATTCGCCGAACATCCTCTGCCCTATATTCTTCGGATCGACGGATGGACAGCAAAGCCGGCGGGCAATAACCGTTTTCCGTCTGATACTTCCCCGCAATTGCAATGTCCACTTAGGTTCAGGACAGCTCCCTCACCATCTAACACCTCCGCATAACAAGCCGAGGCTCAATAGAGTCCGTGCAAATGGTCGTGCGACACTTTTGCATGCCTAGAAATCGAGGTGCCATTCGATCCTGTGGTTCGCTGAGCAAGAAACCATGACATACCCGGATGAGTCTCGCGTTGATCAAAATCGAGCGCGAGTTCGTGTAAGACTCTTTCTGAGAAACTGAGACTTCTCTACTTTTACGAAGCTTCAGACAATATCAGCATGGGCTACACCATCGAAGATCGGTTCATCAAGTCTAGCCGGAATGGCCAAAAGATTGCCATTTCCATATACAAGCCCGATGGAATGAAACACCCCGCACCCGTCATCGTGATGGGCCACGGCATCGGCGCCATCAAGGCCGCCGGCCTCGCCCCTTTCGCGAGCCACTTCACTGCCGAGGGCTACACTGCCGTTACATTTGACTACCTAGGCTTCGGCGAGAGCGAAGGCTTCCCGCGGAACGTTCTCGATGTCGGAAACGAGTTGCAAGACTTCCGCGATGTAATCAAATGGGTTCGGGAGCCGGATCAAAACACGTGGGTCGACTCGTTACGGATCGTTGCGTGGGGAAGCAGCTTTGGCGGCATGCACACCACAGCTCTCATGGCTGAAGATCACGAGTTGGCGGCCGGTATAGCGCAGTGTCCGCTCGTTGACGGGCTGGCTGGTGTGATGCAGATGCCGCTGCTCCAGTCTTTGAGACTGGCGACGACGGCTGCTGCTGATATCGTCGGTTCGTATATTCTACGAATCAAGGAGCCGAAGTACGTCGACCTCATTAGCGATGGCTCCACCACGGCTGTCATGGCTTCACAAGAGGCTTACGATGGTTGGAATCGCTTGTCGCCTGGCGATGGACGAGACTGGCCTAATGTGATCGCTGGGCGGTCTCTTCTGAACATCATGATAAATCGGCCGCTGTTACATATACACAAGAGTACTCGCCCATACTTAGTTGTTCTCCCCACATGGGACCATGAAGCATCCTTAGGTGCCGCGGAGGACTGCGTCAGACGTGCCCCTTTTGGGGAAGCCTTGAGGGTCGACGGTGGCCACTTTGATCTGTACAAGGGGGGAATCGCGTTCGAGAAGAATATCGCTGGACAGAAAGAGTTTCTTAGACGTGTACTGAAGGCTAAGTGAGCGATTTCCGATATTAATGTCTCTGCTAGGTTGAGCGCGATTGAAGGAGTCGCATTTTTGATACTTCTGGCGTTAAAGGCAGTAGACAATCCATACCATCGACCATGATTATTCTGGACATGGAAGTTGGAGGCAATTAATTATCGGATTTCTAATTCTACGCTATGTTGGTTCTATCAAAACAGAGGAAACATTCGCTCATCCAAGGAAACACACCGGCGTTTAAACGCTGTCCTCATGACACGATAATGCCGTCGATAATGACAGGAGCAGCGTTCGATCCGGCATCCCAGGTGAAACCTATGGAAAGGGTACCACTGGCTGCAGTGGGAGTAAAGGTGAAGGTGTGTTGTCTGTAACCACCCGCGTTGCTGTAAGTCGTCAAGCACGGATAGCTAGAACCGCCGCAAACCGTTGACGGGCCCATGATGGTATCGCCCCAGGCAACGTAGACCTTCGCATTGTCTTGTTTTGTCGCAGAGTCAAGGCGGCCTGCATAGAACGTTACGGTCCTAGTGGCTCGGATGGGCAGGCCGGTAATGGATTGGTAAATATAAGCCTGGCGGTTTGAAGCTCCGGACGGGTAGAAAGCGCTTTGATATCGTGTTAGCTAGCCACTCGCTTGATGATAGTATATACTGCTGGCACAGAGAGTTTCGTGACTTACAGAGCTGAGCAACCTGAAGTCTGATGGTTGTCTGAAATGACCGCTTGCGTAACAGGATCGCTGGGTTGGTAAAGCGCAAAGGCCCAGCTGTTGAAGCCGCTATCGAAGCCGCCGTTCTGGACATAACCGCTGTCTATGCATTTGTTAGATTATTTGCGGCAGATTGGATTGTCGATCAAAAACACTCACTGGTGGTTGCGCGGCATGTATTAGCTGAAGTAGTTGAAGTAGATGAGGATGATGATGTCTTCAAAGATGACGGATTGGCGGCAGTAGTACTCGAAGAGCTCGTGGTGGTGATCGTGGAAGTCTTCGTGGACGAGCTGGTCGTAGTGCTCGTAGCGCTAGATGGGGCGGAAGAAGTAGTTGAAGATGACGTGGAGCTTGTCGAAGACTTTGAAGTTGTTGGAGAGCTCGAGGAGGAAGTCGAGGTGGATGATGATGTTGACGAGGTAGAGGACGAAGTAGATGATACAGTGGAGCTTGTCGTAGACTTAGAAGTTATAAAGGAGCTCGATGTGGTTGAGACAGATGATGAAGCAGTCCTTGTCGAGGTTGTTGAAGAGGTGGAAGAGGACGTCAAACTAACCGGCAAAGTCAAAGAACCCGAAGCATAGATGTTGAGGCGGTTGCTTCCGCCACAGAACTCTGCCGTGTTGCCCTTGCAAGGCATATCACAACCATCCGATGCCGCCACACCCCCGTTTATGATCTGGCTATCACACCAGCATTCCTGCGAATACTCGACGCCGGCAATGGGGTATCCAGCAGCAGTGCAAGCCGAAACACAACCGCCGACAGACATGTTCTGTGTGCCACCAACGACGTCAACATTGACCGTAAGAGCTCGGCCAAGTACATTGTCCTTCAAACATCCCTTGTCGGTCCAGCCCGAGGGCAAAACGCTGGGAGTCTTCGGCTTAGCGGATGCCTGGTAGACGTTGATACGATTGGGGCCGCCGCAGTATTCGGAGCTGTTTCCGGAGCAGAGCATGTTGCAGCCGTCGAAGCCCGAGGAGCCTGTGTTGCGGAGCTGGTTGTCGCAATAGCACTCAGATGAGTACTCCACGCCGGCGAGTGAGTAGCCGGCAGCCTGGCATGCGTTGGTGCACTGCAACACGGACATCTTGGAGTCTCCGGCTGCGACGCCAGTCCGATAGGAAAGAAGCCTTGGGCCAGGATCGTTCTGGCAGCCGAGGGATGACCAACTGGGAGGACCGGGGTTGATTACGGGAGCTGCAACGCCGTTTGTGAAAACCGAAAGTCTGTCGCTGCCGCCGCAGGCTTCTGAGCTGTCGCCGCTGCATGACATGTTGCAGTCGGCTTCGGGCTTCTTCTGCGAAATTGAGGCCAATTGGTAATCGCAGTAACACTGAAAAAGGTGGGTGAGTATGTATGCGATGGAGTTGGACAAGGCGATTACTTACCTCGCTAGAATACTCGACTCCCGCAATGGGGTAGCCTTTGCTGCTGCAGTATGCTATACATGACTCTTCAGTCATTGCAGCATAATCTCTGTATCCATCCCGTGACAATTGCCGGATTCCATTGTTGTTGTCGGTATAACAGCCAGAGTAGGACCACCCAGTCTGCAGAGTTGAAGAAGCTCTAACATCTCGCCTTGCGATGGAAGCTGCATTAGCGCAAGCAGTCAGTGCCAGGAACAAGACTGGAATAGAGATTTGTGGCTGCATGATTATGGATAGAAGATGAGACGAAAGGATGATGAGCTGGTTGATTCGGAATAATTGACGAGAACACTGGGCTGGTATATATTGATAACGACGTCTTTATCGTCAAGTCCGCCTGGAGGTCTGCAATTGCAGAATTTCTTTGTGTAACATACGAGATATTCCACTGCCAAGGAAGCCATGAACTCAGCTCATATGACCACCATGCCGTGCATGCATATCTAGCGCCGGGAGGAACAATAGCCTTGTTGCTAGAGGCGAAGTTGCGTTGAAAGACTTTCGGGTGAACGTTTCGACTTGGTATTTAGAGGTTGGAGTAGGTGGCCGTCTAGCTTCATTCCTGATCTAATAGTAAAGCTAGCTTTTTCCGGCAGCTACATAAAGATGTATTTCTTTGCTTCTCGCCGCCACAATATCTTACTAAACAGGAACGATGGAAAAGGCCTGAATGCCAGGGCGTAAACCCACGTGTCTGCGGCTTTTTGCCAAGACCTAGAAAACTACTAAAGATGTAGTCGGCAGCTTTCTCTTTGGTCTCAATGGGAACTTGACAACTTGACAGAGCCCATGAGGCAGTGAGAACTGTGCTTAGCGTCCGGCGATAGTTAGGACTAGTATGAAAGCAGCCAAAAACGCCCAGTCACCTCCCACTGAGGAGATCCCGCGTCTTGTTCTAGGTAGCCGGAGGATTTGTTTCGAAACGCACGCTAGCTGGTGATCTTTGTCGGGTTACACAACGATATCCATCCACAGAACGATGCCGCTCAACGATGTCTCAATACCCCCTGGCGAATTCCCGCGCCGGCTCCCATCCAGGCGTGTGGGTGGCTTGGCCAAATAAAGACGCCTACTGAACTACCTAAAGTACCTAGTTGGGATGAACTGTAATTCATTCATGGGATGTCAAACCAAGCCGATGCTTTTTAGACTTTACTAAAGTAGCGAAGTTGTCAAATGTCAATTCGGCGAAGCTTGAGCTAGAATAACAGTTCAGGCTCCCTTCCGTCTCTGGGCGCGGTCGTATCATTGCTGAGGCTGGTGTTTTCACAAGCAGGAGCAGGTAGAAGACCGCAACGTAAAAACATCAAGAGGGCACGGAGACCTGCAGGTCATATTATCTTATGGTCACACAAAGTTTAGATCCTCGCCTAACAAGTTAAGCTTGTTGGAACAAACGTAAAATTATATTGCTTGGAATAGAGGTGGCCCGTGGCCGCCTCAATCTACACTGACAACAGTGAAACATCAAGAGCGCTCAACACTTATGATGTCTTGTAGTACAATATATGGTACAGTGACCCCTTAGGTATTCGAGGCAGTATGTTGACCGTTGCGCCATGGCCGTGTCTCTAGAACTGGATCAATTTCAGCATGGGTTCCGCTCAAGAAAACGATGTTCGCCACATACCTTTGTGTAATCATCTAGGTGCAGATCATTCCGACGCCGCCAACGGGTGCCCGAGTAGTTTGGCAAGTTGTACCACTGCAGCATGCACGATCGCCAACGTCACCGCAGTTGGCTATAGATTGCTAGTTAGCTTTGGCTCCCTGGTGCTCAGAAACGCGTTAATGGGAGTAGTGACTTGCCGCCCTTGGAAGCGCAGTTATCCTGCCTCGAAATAAGGCCGATATCGACGGATGCGGCAGAAACCCCGGCGACGATGGTAAGGAGAGTAGCCAGAGTGAACTTCATTTTGAATGTGTAATGACTTGAGCTTGTGGCTTGAGGCGTTGAGAAAGATAGAGAGGGTGAGTGGTGTAGATGTTAGTACCTTGCATAAGGGCATTGCAATGGGATTATATACACATCATTTTCGCCCGCTTCCACATTTTCATACCTAGTAGACTGGGCACTGATAGGAGTATCTGTTCTGGTGTTTGAGAGTCATTGTCCTGTTTTCTTGGCCCATGGCTCTTCGTTTGGGGATTTACGGTATCTCCACCACATGCGGGTGGGCTCAATAACCTCAATTGCTTCAGGTGGGATGCACTACTCAGAAGCCGGATCTCGGCCAGCCAGCCAGGTGTCAGTCAAATGCTCAATGCTCGCGACAAACTCAATCATGTGGAGCGTGTGGGTTGTAAGAGTCGCTGTTGGCAGGTTGAAACCCTGCGAGTTTTGTGAAGTTGCCGCGTTCCCATTGTCTCATGTTAAGTTGCCGTATATTGTAGTTGCGTCCATCCTAGTTCACTACTTACTCTTCACTAATAAACATAGTATATCGGATGTAGAGTGCCACTGTCAGCGATCGGCAAACGTCCCTGCTTACGCATTATTCGTAGTTTTCGGTCACTGCCCGCCGTGTGACCACGCGTGTGTAAGTCACAGACCTGACTCGAGGTTAGAAAGCCGAGGAATTATGAGACGATCTAGGGATGAACTGTGGGTATCTGTTGCGGCCGTCATTCGCTAATGGCAGCCTATTGCAGTCCTGATTACCTATCGAACATTTCACGCTGGAATTTACAGAGGGAAGTTGACAAAGATAGATTGAGCGTACTTTTACCCGTGTATAACTAAGTGACGATCTCTCGTCTCATCTTCGTCTCAACCCCAGACCTGGGGAAGATTCTCCCGGTGCTTCGAGAACACGTTACAAGCTATATGATGCGTTACGGTAATCCTTGCGGTACCGTCGGATGAGATCCCATGGATCGCTTGATGTTTCGGGAAGATCTTTGAACTTGTGATCGATTATGACTTGCTGGTCTGGACGGCAATCAATGATAGGCGGTGTGTCAACCCAGCGAGCTGGAATTGATACTTGACTGCCAAGGTCTCAATCCTGGTCAACTGGTCATTTGAAGCTCGGGGTCCCCGTCTTCTAGGACGAGTGGTCCTGCGTTGGCTAGACGGCCCGTTTCACAAGCAACGCCGGCGAAAAGATCGATGTAGGTCTAGTTCTGTGGTGTTAGGTCGCCCTTGTTCTCTTCCTGGACTCGAAAAGCTTTTCTACGTGCCTGTAAGCCGTCAGTGACTGTCGCAATGGTGATCATGACTTCAGTTATGCGTATCTGAGCTAAGTATTATCTCAAATATGCAACCAACCACACGTATTGTTTAGACCATTGTAGACAGTCTCATATTCTCAGCTGTGATCGCCTTTACAAAGCTCCTGACTAAATCAAGTGCTTACAAAGGCTGGTATCTATTGTATTGCCCCTGATCTCAGTCGAGATGGAACTCGTTTCTCGAGGACAAGAGGACAATACCCAGAGCCATGTCGTCCTCATTGTGTGGCAAACTCGACCTCTACGAGGGACAGATACTAGCTGGAATTTGTGGCCTATGTTCATTGTTTCTGTAGTCGATCAATCTATTTTCTAGCAATTGATAGGCCACGATCTTTGGGCAACACATGTGTAACATCATGAGTAGATATCTGTGCTGCACTTAAGCACAATTTTGTTATTCTCAGAAAGAGACAGACTGTCGACAAGGCATGAGCCACGTGACCAGCACAAACACAAGAGATGCTAAATACAAACACAGATCATAATTTGTCCTGAAATTCCATTGAACAAAAAGAAATAAGGTACGCATAGAAAAGCCATCGAATGGTCAGTCTCAGGCTGTTTAGAACGACCATGTCCACTCCGCCAACGATCCGTTTATGCTACTGCGCTTGACGACCCATGTGCTGTAATGGGATGTTCATGTTTCTGTAGTTGTGGTCTTGATCATCTTCATTTGGCCGCCGGAATTGACTCGTGTTTGGACGGCAGTAAGCAGTCATTGTCCCTAGAGCCGCAAACCAGTAATACATCGCCATGCTTACTTTTCCTGGCGCTGGCGGAGTTCCGAAGCTTATGGATACTCGCGGAGTCGACGGTGCGGTGCCGAGACTTGAAAGACTCCTGGCGCCCTCACCGCGCAGGGCCTTCGTAAGGGGAATGAAACCGGCCTGAACTTCGTTTCGCGTAAAGGCTCCTATCATCATGTTTGTTGTAGATGAGAAGGCAAACCCCAGCGCGAAACCACTTGCAACATCGATAGCGAACCCGGCCAGGGTATAGGGCCCGGCATTTGGGGTCGCCCAGTGCCACACCGCGCTGTACGACGTTGTCTCAACCGCGCCGCCGATGGCCCAGGCGTACCCCGCGGCCATCCCAGCCCCTTCGACTAGGGTGCCAGCTCCGGCGCCGAGGAAGCCAGCGAGCGCGCCGATGCCGGCGGATCTTAGGATATCCGTCCCGGTAGCATTGGGCACGAACGCCGCCGTGACTAACGCATTACCGGCGGCTGCCCCGACGGACGAAGCGAGGAGACCTGTCAAGGTGGCGCTCATGAGGGGTGCTGCGACGATGATCCCGACTCCTGCGGCTGCAAGTGCTGCCATGAGTCCCAGCACCGCTCCCCATACGGGGACATGCCCAGAGGGGTCCACCATGTTGACCGGGTCACCAACGCAATAAGCGTAGCGGTTCTCGACCAAGGCAGAGTCCATCGATATGAAAGCCATCTGAGTTGGGTTGTAGTACCGGGAACGCAAATAGACTAAACCCGAGGCCTGGTCAACGTACTCGGAACGGAAACCAAAGCTGGCCGAAGGGCTCAGGGGCGAGGACGACGTCTTCGCTCCATACGCTTGGTAGGCCATGGTTGTCTGCTGACTGCCTTCTTCGATCAGAGATACAGACCCTTGCTGGTCGAAGAAGTATGTTGGGGCCGCGGATGCGGAATATCCAGCGATGAAACGGTCGACTCCAGAAAAAAGGGAGGTCTTCTCGTTCTGTCCTGCTGAATCGCTCACGTCCACCACATTGACGGTCGCTTTGTTGTAGTAGAACGTAGAAGTCGAGTCTTTGAGTTGACGCTGCGCGAGCAGACCGTCGGGATGGTAATTAAAGCCATTATCTGCAACGCCGGCCGATACTTGGACTGAGAGGAGCTTGTCGGTGTTGTTCCATGAGAATGTGCGACCCTGATCGTCGGCCAGCATACGGCCGTTGGTGTCATATTTGAATCCCGAATCAGTTCTCTGGTCCAAGACGTTGTAAGTCATCGTTCTAGTCATTGTTGCGATCACGGATGTGGTCTCGCCGGCTGGGGAGGTGACGGATGCCACGTTGAAGTTCCCGTCATACGTGTAGGTCGTCTGACTCGTCCCGCTGGCATCTTGCAGCAATTGCCCGACGCCGTCATATTGGTATTCGTGCTTTTCGTTGAGGCTGGGGTTCGAGTCGGATGCGGACTCCCAAGATTGGATTCGCTGCCGCGGATCGCGCTGGTAGGTTGTCGTCATGAGCGTACGTGAGTCCGCGACGGAAATGTAGACATCCTCTGCAATGTTCCCAAACCCGTCGTAAGTGAAACGGCGGAAATACGTGTTAGAACCCGCCAATTGCGTCCCGATGAGCTGGCCGATGGTGTGATTCGCTGTGCCATATACGTACTGAAGCGTGTCTGACTGGCAGCTTCGACTCGCAACTTGTCCTAACTGAGTGAAGGATGTTTTTCGAACAACACCACCAACATCCGTCTCGGTCACGACCCGGCTAGCGTTATCGAGACTGCAGACTTGCTTGAGACCGTCTTCGTACACTGTCGCCGTGAGTGTCCCATCCAGTGAGTACCCATATTTCATGACCTTGCCGTCTTGCATGATCGAAGACTTCCTGCCTAGACAAACGTAGGCAACTTCCGTAATCTCTGTCAGTGTCGTGGCCTTAGTCATTTGGCCTGCATTGTCATACTCGAAATTGGTCTGCGTCCCGTCAAATCGTGATTTGCTCGCCAACCAACCGTTTTGGTTGTACTGATAAACTTCAGATTGTCCCAATTGGTTCTGAAGCCGGACGAAGCGGCTACAAGCGTCGTAGTAGTTGACTGGCCCGTTGGTGGTGAAAGCTCTCCCATCCCCGTACGTAGTCACTTTCTCCCAAGTGTAGACGTTCCCGAACAGGTCCAGAGTGTAAGTCCGCTTCACATTGTCTTGGCCGCCCGCGTCGCTTGAAGCGGTCTCAGTCTGTGAGATAACTTCAGGGCCCATACCATATTGGGCAACCACTGACTTCAAAACTGTTGCTGAACCGGACCCCTCCAGTGGTGTAGATGATGTGGCTTGCTTGATCTTTCTGTTATTTCCATCAAAGGTGTATTGTTCGGTAAGGCTCCACTTGGTCGAAACATCTTCAGGGTCGGGAAATTTCGAGCGGCTGATGATCCGCGAGATGCCGTCCATTTGTGATACTGCACGCTTCTCACCGTTTTGTTTCTCAGTGACTGTGAGGTTCTCGTCGTTGTACTCATATGACATGACGTTTCCGAGCGGATCGGTCGTGCCGACAGGGCGACTGAGAGAATCATACTCGTACGTTGTTACCAGGCCGAGAATATTTATCTTCGACACAACGAGCGATTGCGTGTTATACTTTGTCTGGCTTATGACGCGGGCAAGCTGTGATCCCGCCTGCGTCGGATCTCCGTTGTCCATGACTTTGATCTCGCGACCTAATGGATCATATGTTATGAGAGTCGCATACCCAAGCTGGTCTGTTGACTTGACACTGTTCGTAGTGCCCACGGCGTACTCATATTCCGTTCTGTCGCCAAGCTGGTTCGTGTGGGCTAACAACCGCCCGAGAATGTCGTACTCGTACGTCTCCGACTGCCCGAGGGGCTGTTGGATATGAACAAGTGGACCTGTGCTGACTCGCATGTCATATTTTATGATCTTGGTGCCGTTGAGAGGATCAGTTGTGGTCACCGACAAGATGCCTCCTTGATAATTGTATGAAGTTTTTGTAGTAGCCTGTGAAACAGAACCCTGGGGAACCGATGCTCCCGGTGCCCAGCCGATGGTGTTGGACACAATGTTGCCGCTCGTATCGTATTCGAAGTTCATGATCTTCTGGGGTTGAATTTGGCGGTTCGGGTCGGCCGGGTCCACGAAACTCACGAGTGAGGAGCCGATACTCTTCTGGTCTGAAGTGAGAGTATTGGTTGTATGGTTCTCGGACCCGGCGACTAGGTCTACTACGACGTGTTGAAGCGGCAGTTGGATATTGTCTGGTGTGGTGATGAATATAGATGTGGTCTTTTTCAGAGGCACAAAACCGACTCCCGGCTGATGAATGTCTTCCTCGACTGAAAGGGTGTTGCCGAACTCGTTGTAAATGCTTTGCACTTGGCTCATTGGTTCGTAACTTGTTGAACTACCAGAGCCCACGGAATGAGACTTGCTTGCCACGGTTGGCCTCGAGAAGTTTGTTGATCGGGCATGCTGATCGCTGGATATGTCATACTGGAAGTCCATTCGATAGCCACCGAGAAAATCCGCAGTGTCGGTCTTTGTAAGCTGTTCGGCAGAGACTGGCAAGTGGAGATAGTTGAACCAAGTGGATGTTCTGGACACCTCCTTTCCGTTCTCATCCATCGTTGAGTCAATTACATCGTATCTATTGCGCTGCAGCGTAAGTACCATGTGTAGTACGTGATTGTAATGGAAACCAATTATAAGCCGATGGAAGTGTTGAACTTACTGATAGTTGACGCCTTGGCCAGCACCATCCATCAAACCATCCTGGGAAGAACCAAAACGACAGCCAATGCTAACCCCGGTAAAAGTCTGGCCTCCAGACTGCGTACCGTAGCTGTAGTTCTTGTGCTGGAGTATGTTTCCAGATAGATCACTGTGATAGAAATCCTGGACTGCCGGTAGGTTGGCGGGGTTTCCGTTCAGATCCAGGTACTGGATGTCGATATAGTTGAACTGAGAGACAATTCCGCTTGAGCCTTGAATCTTGATCAACAATGGGGTATTGCTTTGGTCAAAGTTGACGTAGCTTAACTGAGTCTCCAGTCCAGCAGGGTCGGTAATGGTGCGAACTCCAGTCTGATCGAAACCTATACTGATGCTACCGCCATCAGGGGCCGTAAGGGTTATCTGAGAACCTTGCTGGTAGCCGAATGTGATGCGTTGTCCCCACGAGTCTTCAATGGAGTCCAACATCGCCGTCCGGATGTCACTTGTAGGTGCTGCCACATAATTGTACAGAATACTGTTTCCAAAAAGGTCGTCATGTGCGAGGGGCCTGCCAATGGCATCGAAATAGTCGACTGACCCATCTCCATTCTGAAGCTTGTAGCTGTACTCGCCTGGGCTTCCGGAGGGTAGCGGCTGGGGCGGGATAACTGGGGTGAAGGAGATGCCGTGGTTGTTGATGTATCTCAACCCCGACTTGTACCCGGTGGAATCAGACCAATCGAGATCGATTGCGTATGTTCGTTCTTGTATAGTGACGCTTCCACCAGGGATAACGTAGGGAATATTAAACGTCCATCCAACGGGTAGTCCGAATACGCCAAAGGAGCCGAAACTGTAGCTCAGGCCCAGTGATAAATCGATGCTTTCTCTCTTTCCGCGCAAGTTCAGCAGGATTTTCTTGAAGTTTAAAGATCCAGTGTTGGGGTTGATTGACTCGGCCTCGCCGGGGACGACGTGAGAAAATGCTTGCGACCCTTGATACTGGCCCGCTCCGGAGCCCGACATGATTGTTAGGTTTTGGGTAAGAAGCCTGCTTGATGCTCGGGGTTCTGAAAAGTTCAAGGAAGTCTGAGGGGACGGTGCATTCTGTGTTTTTTGTCCAATTGTAGGAGCAACTAGACGTAAATATATCTCAAAATCTTAGCGGAGTTATGGGTTCCTCGGTCAACAGGAGACATTGTAGCTAATTTTGAGCTACAGGAGCTTCAACGACTAGATCGAGGGTTTTCAGAGGCACATTCAGAGAGCCTTTTTCTTCTGTGAAGTCAAGATAATGTTGATTGGACAGGTCTTGCCCTTTGCCGCAAACATTTATCGTCCCCTTCTAAGTGAGTAACACGCATAAGCCCAGAACCACATGGGAAGAATTATGTACGAACTAGTCTGTCGTTTGATGTTTTGAATCGCTAACAGACACGGCCGCGAGCATGCTCGAGTGTTGTTGTGAAATTAAACCTTGAGAACCTGACGAGAGCACAGGGTCTGGAACCTCAGCTGAAGTCGGTTTTTATGGGGATTGACAGCCTGAACAGCAGAGTCTAAGACATCGTACCATGTGGCAATCTTCAGTCGCGGGACGACTAAGCTTTGTGTGAGACATCACCTAGAAAATATGAGCTGAATGCTTACACTAAGCGCATGCGGTTTTCTTCCACATCAAGAAACTGCGGCTAGAACTGTTTTCGACTTCTCACATACGCGGCCTTGGCTGTCGACAAATATTCTGTTCAACCCTCGTAAATCAGTCCAATGAACTGATCAGAATAGTAACTCAAGATCATAGTTTGGCCGAGGGTAGTGGACATGAACGCCGAGTCATCATACGGGTGCTAACAAGGCTTCTGATTATGCCTTGAATACTTTAGTCGCCGCTCTGCCCGCGATCTCAACATCTTTGACTGCGAACGAAATATTCTGGTTCTTAAAGTCAAGTCCAATCTATCCGTTAATATTCAATATCGACAGCTATCTTACCTCAGAATGAAGGCGACTCTTTTGGCTAGTGCCCTTGCGGGCTTCACCCTCATCGGACAGACCACTGCGGGCGCAGGTAAGATGCCACGAGCTTATACAAGAGATTAATAGACTAGTCTAATGTGCAATCACTTATAGGTGCCACTGTCTACGCTTGCGTTTACTTTGCTACAAAGCCGACAACCCCAATCCAAATGAACTTCTCCGTTGAGAATGCTCAAACCCACTGCATGAACAACCAGGGCAATGATGTCTCGATGACCATTACTAGCGCTCCAGTCACTTGTGTGAGTGTTGGCTACGTTGAGCAAAAGTCGTCATCCAGCGGAGGCGACACTTGCGCAACGGACAAGAGCTATTGGGCGCTCTCATATACGTCCCCGAACACCGGGTACTCTGGCTCAATGCTCAGCCGCTGGTCCGGTCACGACATGTCGCTCTCATCAGCTAGTGGCAAGACGCAGTTCTGCGGTAGCTCTGCACCATGTGGCCAGACCGAAGTCACCTGGAGTGGCACTGGTACCATCTATGTAAGTGCTCTCCGATCTCAACGGTCGCAAGCCTCTGCCTGGTGTTCTTTGAGACTAACGAGGCCAGGTAATCTTCTTCCCTGGCGTATCTGGGTCGACGCTGTCGTCTCAGGAGCTTTGAATGCTTTGGAACGCTCTGCGTATATCGAGGGAAAAGGCTCTATTCGGAACAACTGCCCTGGAACATGGTCGTCCAAAGGCATAAGAACGACTTAGAGCATGCCCAGACTTGAACAGGCATCGAACTGTTACGAATACCCTCTTGAATAGTGTCGTAATAGTTTCGATACAAGAAGTGATCTTCGTATATCAATATACATATATAACTGGTTGGTTTCTAGTTACGATTGTATTGGGTCTACAGCCAATTGAAAAACCAAAAACCCTAATAGGAAAGCAAGGAGGGAGACTGTTCTCGTTTTAACTCACGCTCCTGCCCATTTTCGAATAGCACGCCCCTCATTCAACCCGAACTCTGACTTCATTGGAGTATTTGTCTATTTAACTACTCGACCACCTCGCACACAGTTTGAACTGACCTCGCCGACCTAGACAGGCGCTGCCGTGCTGGTGATAAGGATGGGATTATAGGAGGGTATATACCATAGGGGTGCCTACCAGGTGGAGGGAAGGTCAGGGATCAGGTGACTTGGATTAACTTTTAGTGGTAAGGAGAGACACCAAGATGGGAAGGAGCGATGAAGTAACCTACCTTTCCTCAAAGTAATGAAGGTATCTAGAGCATATTTCGCCCTTGACTAAGTACCTCCCTGGGTGGTCAATGATTGATATTAGTGTATTATATTGGTCTATAAAGATATCTTCTCCATGTCCACATACGGTCTATCCGCTTCAAAACCACTCGTCAACATCCCTCCTCATCAGAACCTCACCCCCAGCAAGCGTCCCCCCAGCCAACGGCACCTTCAAGATGCCAGCTTCCACCAGATCCTGAGCCAACCGCACAATCAACCCATCACACCCCCTCGCCGCCATAACATCCACAGTCACAGGCAACATCTCCGTGACATTCGTCACAGAACTCACGCTACCGACCTCTCCCAGGGGAAAAACGTGGTCCGGTGCACCGCTGAAGACGCTCAGCCGGCCGTTCGAGAAGCCCAGCGGCGGCGTGGGCGTCGTGGTCGTCGGGTAGCGGTTTCGTAGGGAGGCGCGGCCGGAGGAGCCTACATAAAAGAGAAGGGACGAGGAACACGTTGCTGTCGACGTGGATGTGTTCAGGGCGGGGGCAGAGGGAGGAAGGATCTCCGTGTTGAACCAATCCATGAAGAGCGTCTTGTTGGCTCTTGCGTCGTCGAGGGCGCTGGCCGGTTGCTTGTCACCCCAGCCCCAGCGTGCGAGGGGAACGGGGTTGACGAAGGGGAGGCGGCCGTTGTGTGCGGCTATCGAGTTTGATGTTAGTCATTGAGCTGACAAGTGGCAGAGAAACCAATGTTCTTTCTTTTTCGAAGGCGAAATAAAGCAAACACGTAAAGAAAGAAGGAACATGGAGAAGAGCTTACCGGCATAATCAGCATAGAATGGATCGCGCACAAGCGGCGTCTGCTCCTTGGTGATGAGTGTGGCATACGTCAACCCCAAAACCTCATCCAGCGTCTGGTTCCGCACACCCTCAGGACCAGTCTCGGCCCAAGCAGACGTCAGATTCAGCGCCGTCGCCTTGGCACCCAAGAACGCGCCCAGGTCCTCCGCAAACTGATTCAGCATCTGCGCGGCGGCTCCCTCGTCGGTAGGGAAGTCAACCGTATACACCATCTTGGGGTACACCACCTCGACCTCGGTCTCAACCAGCGAGGTATAATTCGCCCCGTACAGCGCCTTATTCGCCTCGTCCCAAATGTACGGATCCCGCGTCAGAAAGCCGGCGGTGTCGAGGGTAGGCGAGAGCGGCATCACACCGTCCAACCCGACCAGCCCGTGCGAGGGCCGGTTCCCGAATAGGCCCTGCACCGCAGACGGTCCACGGATCGAGCCGCCCGTGTCGCTGCCGACAGCAATATCCAGCCACACATACGAACCTATCGAGGCTCCGGCGCCCGAGGACGAGGATGAGGGGTCGTTGTAGCCGTCCCCGCGCGGATTGAAGGGGGAGTGGTAATCCACCCAATCCGCCGTCGCCGTCTCGCCGTTTGCAAACTGCGAGGGCTTCTGGTATCCCACGACCACGGCGCCCGCGTCGAGTAAAGCTTGGATTGATGGTGCGGTGGAGGTCGCGGGCGGGTAGAATGCGTACCAGGCTCTGTTGCCGTTGGATTTCTTCACGCCCGCGAGGTCGTAAATGTCCTTTACGCCTACGCGGACGCCGGCGAGGGGCTTTTCAGGGGACCGGGTGGAGAGAGAGTAGAGGCGGGAGGGGACGCCGATGGTAAGGGATGCGGAGGCGGGCACTTGAGCGGAGAGGGTCTGGAAGGTATTGTCGGGCTTCTGGAGGAGGGACTCGGAGAAGGCGCCTGCGTAGTCTGGGTACAGGCGGTAGGCTTGGTGGAGAGCGCCCGTGGCCGTGTCGAGGAAGTATGGGCCCGAGGGGATGTCACTGCTGGCGGTGCTAACCAAGGGCGCGACGATAGACTGGGTCTTGTTCGTGCCGTCGAAGCTTTCCTTTGTGAGGCACGGCGTGTCGAGGCCGACGAGGAAGATTGCGCCGAGGAAGGCGGGCTGCCAGACGTCGTCGTGGGAGGTCCAGTTTGCGAATAAGGATGCGAGGGAGGATTTGGGGAGGGGTTCGGCGACGACTGTGACGGGGGTGAAGCCGAAGGCGCGGGGGAGGGATTTGATGTTGAAGGAGGAGGAGTTTGAGGGGTTTCCCTGGGAGAAGGGGGAGACGAAGTAGTAGATGTCGTTGAGGAGCAGGGATGCGCCGGTCGAGGTGAGGTCGGCGGCGGCGGCGCCGACGAGGGCGAAGAGTGTGAATGCCTTCATCGCGGGGAGTGACAGGTCTCAGTCCTTGCGCCGGGTTCCTTGCCTGGGCAGTAAGACTACTGGACGCCTTGGATGCGACATCTCTTTTATATGAGGAATATGTATATCCGGACTTGGGTTAGAACATCCAATCAAGATGACCAATTCCTGGTATCTGAACGATAGGTAAGGTACGGTAGGTGGAGAGATGGGATTTCCTTTTCCTTGCCCAGCTTTATCTCTACGCTTTGCCCATTGGTGCCATTTTACGTATCAAAACTAGCTTGGCTGGGTACAAATTGCTCAGAATCAGGACCATGGCAAGAAAGCAATAATACCCATTATGCCGTCAGGCTTATCTGATTCGGTCATTGTTTTCATTGACGGAGCCACCCTCCAGGCTTCGGGGGTTGCGGTTGCTTATCATGGGGAGGACTCCGCGAAAGGGACCATGCATGTGAGTCCGCATCGCTAGCTTGCAGAGTCTGAGAGCCGGAACCGGTTTAACGGGCTGGGGTATCTTGTCCTTGTCATCACTTTAGTGTCGTCTCCCCCCGCCGTGATGGGGTTGTAGCCTGTAGAGCGTACGAAGTCGAATTAGCAAAGCCCCGTTGATTCTTGAGCCGTTATCCGTTATCGCGGGAATGAGGGTATCGGGCTCGTGTTGACGGTCATCAAAAGTCCCGGCCGATGTCGGTAGTTGGATTTCGGTTTCCCGGGGCCCGGGTCATTTTTGTAAGCAAAAGCGGGAGGCGTCGGCCGTCACTAGCCCTCGTTGAAGGTACTTACAGGAGCAATTTGACCATGAACAACAAAGATACCTGTGTATAAATTTGAGGTATCTACACAAACGGACCACACAGAAAGAACACAGCACTGCGGTTCAATCTGATCTCATCTCAAACCGAGACGTCATCATCTTGGGGGAAAGGGTCCCCAAGAGTGAGCTCAACGGACGCAAAGAATCCCGACACGACGGTTCCCCCCCCAGTGTGTTTCCTGCGGGCCGGTAAACTATGTCGGAACCGATCCGACACTCCAAAACATTGACGGTCGTTCAAACTTTGACAAGCTTATTCCGAGTTCCCACGCTTGTATTCGTTTCTCAAACGATGAAACATAGCCCACGCTAAATGTCTCTAGCTGAACGAGAGTACTTCCTTAGATAGATAAGCCCGACTCTACTGCTTTCTCGCCAACGAGCGACTGCTCCAAGTGGATAAAGGCACCTGAAATTGGAGATTGGAGAACGAGCCAAGAACTTATGACGAGTTGGAGTCACGCAAGCATGTCCTTGGCCAACTACCACCGCCAGAGTCAGCAGATTACACGTAGTATGTATCTTCCCCCTTCTCTCGTCTCCCATATCTCCAAGCCGTCTTCCCTGCGTCGGGTTTTTTACATTTGCAGTCTCCAAGTGGGTGGGCTAGTACTTAGTTTATCGCACATGTCGATAGCGATACGGAAAGTACTCTGCAGTACTCCGTAATGCGGGACTTTCTATTATGAGGAGGTCCTCACCGATCGAAGAAAGAAGCCATTGCCCTTCTGAACGAAAAAGGACAAAAGATAAGAAATTGCGGGAATGCAAGAAGACAAGTAACCCACTTGTTCCCAGCCTCCACCGTTGGGATAGCCCCTGTTGAACAAACCACACGTAACCCGATTGCCTGGTCTAACTCCGGCTGGCATCTTCACTCTCGATAGTCAAGAGAAACACCATGTTTGGCACGAATCCCATCACCTTACAATGCACAATAATCAAACATTGAAAACTTGAAGTCGTATCGTCATTAAGTGGTCGAGCTCATCAAACACCTCCCGTACAACTATCCCCATAGGGATCGACAGTGTTAGGTCAGTGAGTAGAGTCGATGACTAGAGGTATCCTAGGATGTGCCCAGCCGGGCCATCAATGCTGTTGAAAAAATCATTCGACAATGGTTTTGTCCCAGCTTGTTCTGGAATTTTTGACCGTCCCGCGCTCTGCTATGCAAACCAAATTCCACGAAAACCGAAAGATGCCAACCACGTTGGCACGTCCATTTCTCCGAATCGACCCTCCACAAGTTGTCGTATGAGAAGGAGACAGCAGCCTTGCCTGTTTGTCCCTTGCCGAAATCGCCATCTCCCAGCCACACGTATTATGATATCGACAAAGCGGGCCCAAACGTTCGACACGCAAGGTTTAGACTCAAACGAAAGTCGCCCCAACAAACCCAAGCAGCCTCATGACCAGCCCAGAGTTTCGAGCGTGTTGCGCGCATCGGACGCGCTCATGCCGCTGACACCCAGCGAGCGTACCTGGGTGCCCTTACGCAACCGCTGCACACCCACGGCGACCTTCCAGGCCTCTTCTTCATCCAGGACAAACATGTATCGCTTGCCCTCTTGGTCTCGGACTGTTGCGCGCAGCACGTGCAGGCTCTTTGTCTTCCACTCTCCAGTCTGTCCGGACGAAGATGCAATGTTAGTATCTTTGAATTTGGTGTCGCACAAGCCAAGACGACAACAACTCTTGCAAGCACGCAACATTTCGGTCAGGTAGGCATCGGCTTCGTCGCCCGTGAGCGTCTTGGTGGCTCCTCGGTCCGCCGTACGGGCTCGCTGATTCGCCATTTTTTGAAACAAACCCGAAGGATGGTTCGCGGAATTCATCGCAGGGGCAGAAGCAGCATTCGAATTCAAGCAGTGCGGGGGGCACCATACCTCGACCAGCTTTAGCGTCCAAGCCTTGACGTCCCACTCGCGCTGCGGGACGCCGCGGACGTCGTCGTCGATGAAGAGACCTTCGGTCGTGATTCGCAGGATGAGCCCATCTGTCACTGTACCAAACCCCGAAACGAGCTGGCTCGCAGGTGTCTTTGCGAACTGGTTCATGAACAGATAGACAGCCCTGATGACAATTTTGTCGGGATCCTTGGTCGTATAAGGGCCGCGCATGCTAGGCGGCGGCGTTGTTCTCGTCGTGGTGGCCGACGGGGCCCACGATGACTCGGAGCCGACGGAAGACGCGGGTCGGTGTCTTGGCTTATCGTAGGGTCGATACGAGTATTGGTCTTCGTCCACAGTGCGTGCCGACGGTCGCGGCGGTTGTCTGGCCGTGTTCGAGGATGAAGCTGCGGAGGGCGCCGGCCTTGGAGGCGGCATAGAGCTAGCAGAGGGGGGAGGTCTCGGGGGAGCGGACGATGCGGACGGGGGAGGTCTCGGCGGCGTGGAAGCCGTCGTGGAGGGGGGAGCAGGGGGTCGGCCGTTGGGCCACATACTCGTCTTCTCGCCGGACGAGTAGGCGTAGCTACTTCCCTTGCGTGCCTTTTCGGCTTCTTCGGCCTCCTTGGCCTTGCGCGCAGCTTCCTCTTTGGCCTTGCGAGCTGCTTCCTCCTCGGCCAGCTTCTTGGCCTTTTCTGCCTCTTCTCGATCCTTCTTTGCCTTTTCTGCTTCCTCCCGCTCTCTCTTGGCTTTCCGAAAGGCTTCGAGTTGCGCCTCGACACGGGCTTTGCGGGCGGCGGCTTCAGCAGCCTCCTTCTTGCGGGCCTCCTCGCGTGCCTTGTCCTCCTTCTCCTTGTTGGCCTTGAGCTCCCGCTCCTTTGCTTCCTTTGCTTCGCGTTCCCTGGCGGCTTTGGCTTCCTCTTCTGCCTTTTCTTTTTCACGCTGTAGTTTCTCTCTTTCCTGACGTTCCTTTTCAAGTTTCTGCTTCAAGTCTTCCTTTTCGCGTATTTCTTGCTCCAGTTTTTCTCGCCTTTCGCGGTCCTCCTGCTCCCTCCTTGCTCGTTCTCGAGCTTCTCTTTCTCGAAACTCTCTCAGCTTCCGTGCCGTCTCTGCTTTTCGGCGCTCTTCCTCCTCCTTTGCCTTGCGCTCCTGTTCGCGCTTCTTCGTCTCCTCCCGTGCCTTCTCCCAGGTATTTGCTTTCGGTGGATCAGGTTTAGGTTTTGGTGGGGGAGGAGGATCTGGTTTGCGAGGTTCCGGCTCTGGCTCAGGTTCAGCTTCAGGTTCCTGAGGGGGTGGAGGCTGAGGTCGTTCTTGCCATTGAGACCTAGGACCGCCGTTTCCCGCGCCGTGGTTCGGCGGCGGGCTGTTCGGGGGAGGGCTATTGTATTGATTGCCGTGAGGCGGTGGAGGCGGCGGCGGGCCAGCATTCGCGTAGCTGTTGTTGAAGTTTGCGCCTGAGCCATAACCACCAGGGCCGGGGCGGTAGCCACTCGAGCCGTTATTTGTAGATGCGCCCTGGTTTTGCGACTTGCCCCAAGCCCACGCTCCCACGCCGACGGCTATGACAAGCAGGGCCATACCCATGTTTCCCATGCCCTGGTAGGTAAACCACCATGCCTTGAAAGCAGGCGCCATGCTCTGGAACATGACGACCATGACAAGGGCGCATGCGAAGCCGGCGGCGAAGCTAGGGCCATTGGGGGCCAGAGAGGGCAAATAGATGAATCCACCGCCCTTGTCGCGCTGAGGAATGACGAATATGTCATAATTGCCTGGGCCCAGGCCACTGCCAGGAGGTGGAGAGCCAGCAGTGGTTTTGGGTGCCTCGCCATGAGGCGGAGGCGGTGGAGGAGCGCTCATGCTGAGCGGACCTCACCTCTTGGTGGAGAGTGGTGATTTTTGGCAGTGAATGCCGACTGAGGTGGCTGAAATAAGAGCCTTGAAGCTCTTTTGGAGACCTGGGGTCTCGGCCGAGGTTGGTGAAGCAAGCAGAAGTCTAGTGGTATCTCAGGAGGTCCATTGACGGTCGTTATATCGTGAGGCGTCTGCACAGAAGCCATGAGCATTTTCTTCTTTTTCTAGCAGCAGCAAAACCGTGTGCCATCTGATAGCTGGAAGGCAAGAAGTGGCGGTGGCATGACCAGCAGCAAGGTGTAGAGTGGCAGAAAGAAAAGGGCAATGCAGTTTGTAATAAAAGTACTCACAAGCAACAATGCAGAAAAACAAACGCCAGAAGCCAAGAGAGAGAAAGACGAGCAAAGACCAAGACGTCAAAGCGAGAGAGGGATCGGATCGGGTCTCTTGAGAGGTATTTGTCGTCGATGCTTGGTGCCTGGACCAAATGAATCGTGTTCTTCCCGCTCCGGCCTTGCGCTTTTTTGCAGGTGGCGGGTGCTTGGTGGTTCAGATTGTGTCCGATCGCGGAGAAACAGGCTGAGACAAGAAAATAATTCTTGTTGTTCTGGAACTTGCCCTGCTGGTTAGTAGGGAAGTTCTGGAGGGTATAGAGCTGTCTGGTGGCACGGCGCCGTTCCTGGTGGAGGACGGGTTTGGTGGTGGTGTTGAGGGAAAATATGACGGGGAAGGGGACGAGAAGGGGCCAGGAATTCTTTTGTGTTTACTTTGGGAATTTCTCATGGGCGACCGGGTGGACTGGCGGTGGTGGTGGTGGTGGACTTTGGGGGAGCCAAAGTTGGGGGTGTGTGACTGGGCGCTAGTGGCTGGCAGTACGTACCGACGTCCTTTCAGGTACCTCAAGACGCTGAAAGACACTGAGAGAACAAAAAGAGACCCTTCTGATCGCAAAAGTAGGCCCGCTTATACACACACTGACCTCTCCTAAGCGAAGGAATGGTGACATTTTGACAGGTGCGAATTGAGCTGGAGGAAGGAAGGCACTTGGACTCTCAGACCTGATACCGAATGGCAGGTGCTGCCGCCAGCTGCACTACCTACTTACTACTCTGTGTCTACAGGATGTGTCTACAGGATGTGTCTCAGAACTGTTCACTTCCATTTACTCTCCATTCCAACCCCATCTTTTTGTTGCTCTTGTTCTCTACTTTCAGTTCGCTAGCTTCGAACCTTTTGTTCTTTATCCGTTGCACCTGCATGTGGCCGCCTGGGGTAATGTCCTTGGCCGGACTGGAATGCCAACTGAGCGTTCGTCGGGAAAAGACTGCCATCCTAGCTTCCACCTCACACCTGAGAGGATGTTCCTTGCAACCAACGGGACCCTGAAAAAATAAGACAAAAAAATCCAAACCACCGGATGACCAAGCTCCAGCCACCGCTCCCAGCAGACACCGCGATAGGTGTTTCCCTTACGAATAGACATCCAGATGCTTCCACCTGTTCACTACGAGTGCAAGATGACCTCTCACTTTCCTCCTCCGATCATCAATACTGCAAAGGAAGGATATCAGCCAACGAAAGGACGGCAAACGAACTTTGTCCACTCATCGCCAACAGATCATCATAACAAATCACCGTTGCCGAGCCCACCAAGACCCTCTTCGCCCAGCTCAGCCGAGCAAACCGCCTCCGATTCAGACCCTCCTCCCCTCTCCCAACGGTCCAATCTCAAGACTTCACTCAATCTCCTGCCTATGACAGGCTATCAACCGAGTCGCATGCGGTCTGTCTGAGCGGTCAATCAATGGGAATCACTCGGAATCACAGAGAAAAAGCTCCACCTGGGATGCCATGGCAGCGAATCGCGGGTCTTGAGGCTATTCCCCCCGGTAATAGGCGGCAGGCCCTCGGCGCCAGCACAACCACTTTGGACATAGGAGGGCGGTGCGGGAGAGGAGCAGGAGGGGCAAAAGAGGAGAGAGCCACCGTCGACGGAGTCCACACCACCTCCGCCATTCCCGTACGGAGTATCGTTTCAATCACCTTGACCTTCATCATCTTGTTCTCGCGCCCAGCTCACTGGGTCTCCCTTGGGTCGATTAGGTTCGGTCCTCGATGGGCTCGAATACGACGGCTGATCGGGCGAACACTGCGATTGCGACTGCAACATTGCAATGAGCCAGGCTGGGCAAGCAGGGCACCGTTGGGCGCCAATTGTGACACTGCGGCGTCATCTCATCTCAAAGGTCGTTGTGGTGGAGCAGGGTGGTGCTTCTGTCTCGACTCTTCTTCCTCTTTGTCGTTTTTTTCTTTCACATTCTTTTAAACTTTTCCCCTCTCGGAAACGGTTCCTCGCCGCCGTTGCCCAGCAACCGCGGGAAGTCCCTTGCACCGTCGGGTGTACGGTGTGCCCCATCCCGGCGCTCGGGTGACGTACCAAATGTCACCAAGTGGGCGTGGCCACAACGTGCCACCGTGCCACACTAAACGTCTTTCTGCCGGCCGGCAACCGCTGACTTTACGGATGCAGATAGTTCGACACAACATTCAGGCAGCCAAAGGTTGAGTCGAGAGATGCAAAAGGCAGCCAGACTGACGATGGCTTCACTTTGCTCGTACACCAAAATCATATCGCCCCTCCCTAGTCTCCAGTCTTCGCCCGATAACCACGTGCTTCACATTTCTTTTCCCGCGACGAGGCAAAAAAGGGAGAAATCAGGGCGATGTGACGGCAACTGCATGCAACCAACCCGCCACTCGAAAACGGCAGGGGGTCCCCATCCGTAAGCAACCGCCGTCTGCATGTGCATGAGGAACGGTCCGGCGCGAGAGAAACACAGCACCGTCGCGTCCCCTACTGCACCTCCCGACTCCCGAGATCTCCCAGAGCTGATTATTTTGGGATAACATGGCTGCTGCAGTCAGGCTGGCGATATAGGTCAGCATACGAGGCAGCCTCTGGTATATCACATTGTCTTGGCACAATCGGGATTCTACGTGCAAGCGTGAGGGCGTCATCCATGGTCAAGAGTTTCCCTCTTACAACCTGTTGGCCAAGCTCTAGGAAACCAATTCGCTTGTCCTCGCCACTGTCCCAAGAACAGCCTTAATCTAATAGCAGAGTCTGACAACAGATCCATTGAGCCTGGAGGATGGGACGTTACGTAATTAGCCTACGATCTCACAACGAATGCGATCAGGGGCGCGTACTAAGCCATGCGAGTGACTGGCCCATCGAAGCATCTCGGACGAGATCATTCTTGTCTACCTGACCAGGGCTGACTCTGTACGAGTAAAGATCTCGTCTCAACAAGATCCGGCCAGGCGCGGGTCGGTCTGTTGACTTTGTGAATAATGATGTAACCTGGGCCACGCAGCCTCTTTCATTACCTCACAGTCTAGGGGTGACTATGTATTTGGAGCGCAGCTTTAGGAATTCAATGGTAAGGCTTACTTTGTAAGGCATTCTACTTATATATAGCAACCGACACCAAGACCCGCATGCTTCACACCTTGTTCGTGTAGATAGACACCTTGGACGACCATGTTGTAATCGACAGGTATGTACAATGTAGTCACGAATGAATAGAATACCAATTTGAATATAATTGAAACCTCAAGCCAAAAGTACCTCGAGCTAAGATACTCTGGTATTTCCAATCTCAACTCGAAATAGCAAACAAAAGAGAAATTAGAACTTGGAGAGATGATCAGAAAAAAGGATGAGTTGGAATCGCTATTGTTGCAAAGTATGTAAAATGTCGGGAAAAAAAGAAGCCCCCATCGTACTCGCGTACGTAAAACGTCGTTGTACTGCCAAGGCAAGAAAACCATCCCTCACACCGAATAAAGGGCGCTGTGGTAAAGATGAATTTCATCGACGAGCCCGCGCGACCAACAAGACGGAACCAAACTCCAGACACCACGCAAAAGAATCCAATACCCGCCCGCCAACCCAAAGAAACCACACCACGACACCGAGGAGAGCAACGACGGACCGGGCAGCGAGACCACCCGCGACAACCAACGGCGGTGCTGCTGTAGGCCTAGGCATCGTACCCGTCACCGTCACCGCCGCCACATCCTCAAGCTCCTCCTCCGACAGCGACCCGCGTCAAAACTTCTTGATACGCTTCTTGGCGACATCAATCTTGCCCCCGACCCGATCGGCGTCCTCGTTCAGCCGGTCCAGCATCTTGGTCTGCTCCGTCACCTCCTCGTTGATCTGCAGCCCAATCTCCTTTTGCCGCCGCACAATCGCTGCCAGAGTATTCACCTGCTCATCCTGCTCGCTCATCATCTGCCGCTGCAGCTGCACGACACCGTTGTTGTCCAGCTCCCGCGTCCGCTCCGTCTCCGGCAGCGGGGCACCCAGGACCCGCCCGCCCGTCCTCGCCCCACCGCCACCGCCGCTTCTGCCGAGTAACGCAGCCTTGTCGCCCGCCGTGGCCCACCCTTCCCGTCCGCCGGGTCCGCCGCCACCGTTTCTGCTGTTTCCCTGCGCCATGCTGTTGCTGAGTTTGTCGAGCCCTTCCCTTTCGACGCGAGCCGAGGAGAGCAGGTCTCTCCTGCGCCGCAATTCGCCGTCTCCCAGCCGTCCGCCCTCCTGCATGGCTCTCAACCCATCCGCGAGGGTGCTCACCAGCGTATTAGCCTTGACCAGCGCCTTCTTGGCAGCGGCCCCGGCCTCGGCGGCAGCGGAGGTGTTATTGCTATCCACGGCGCCGTCCCTTCTAGCGAGCTGATTCCGCGCGTCGTGGAGACAGCTCTTCATCTCGCGGTGCAGGTCGAGCCATGTCGTCGGGTCGGCGGCGCCCGCGCGACCGCTGGTGATGAGGCCGTGGGCGCTGGCGGCCGAGTTGCCCGTGCTGCCGACGCCCGTGCTGGGGAGGTTGAGAAAGGTGCGCCAGGCCGAGGTGTCCCGCCAGCGGCGGTCGGGGGATTCTGCGATGGCGCGGAGGTAGGACTCGAGGCCCTTTCGGCGTTGTTCTGTGAGGTCTGGGGAGGAGACTGTGGACTTGAACCAGGACTTGCCTGGGAGGGGGTTGGGGGGCGCGGCGCCGACGAGGGAGGTGAGGGTCTGGTGGAGGGTTGCAAAGTCGGAGTAGCGCTTTTGGACGACGAAGGATTTGAGGGGCAGGCGGAGGGTGATGTTGTAGAGGGTGTAGGGTTTCGATTCGCCGGTCGAGAGGATGGTTGAGGGGATGGAGATTTCGGCGGGAGGCGCCATTGTGTCGTTATTGTGTGTTGTTGTGGTTTGTTCGAGGCGGGAGGTTGTGTAGAGAAGAGAGTTTTTCTCTTGAGAATTGGCGATGAGAGTGGTTGGGATTGTTTGTCGGGTTTGGACGAGGCGGGAGGAAGGCTCGGACGAGCTGAGCGGTTTGTATCGTAACCCTTCTCTTCAATGGCAGGTTGTAGGGATGAAGGGAATCGATGGTCTGTTGTTCTTGTCGCTCCTCTGGAGGTCGTTTCTCTGGGTCGCTGGCGAGATGACGTTGCGGAAATGGAATGGCTCGCAAATAATAAAAGACAGCCGTCGTACTGGTCAAGTATTTTTTGTGTTTGACGGTCGGAATGATGGTCTTGGTCAGTTGTTTGCGTCAGGTCCAAAAAGGTTTCGGGGGAATGTCTGAGGTTCTTGTCTTTCCTTTCGTTCAGCCGTCTGGAGGGAAGGAGACAGGAGGGAGAAGGAGGGAGCGGTCACCTCAGGTTTCCAGCCAATGTAATGGAACCAAGGTACCTTGCCGTTGAGGTCCGCTTGTGAAGCACCTCAGCATGGGCCTGGGCTACTACTTCGAGGTCCCTGTCACCTCCAGCTTCACTAACACGGCAGCCTGCTTGGGCTTAGGTAGCACTTTTGGCACTGGAAGAGTCGGGCATGTCGATGGTCGTGTGCCGCTAACTGCTCCAAAGCTGACGCCTGTGGCGCATTGCGTGGAACCACTAAATTGGGCCCGCAGCAGGAATGACCGCATTTCTGGGACATGCTCAGCTGGGCACCTCGCTTTCTCAGGCACCTGGTCTTTCATGCCAGGAACTGCGCGATACTGACAACCCAACCAAAGTCTGGGCTAACACCTGGTCGATCAACATACCCCATACGGGCGGATACTATTACAGCGATTTGCATGGCTGTGTAATTTCTTGATGTGAAAGCCTCTTGGTTTTTGATCAATGAATTGTTGGAGAAATCTACCTCTGGAAGTAAATAACCATAGGCCAATGTGCAAAACATCCCGGCATAAAATACGCGAGCATAATACGACAATTCTGCCAAGTCAACTGCAGCGTACAATCTCACACAGCTCTTAGACTACAGAGTCAACATACGCTCTGCAATGAGTGCAATCCGAAGCACACCCTTCTCCGAAAAATACTCGGTGCAGCATGAAAATGGAGGATTAGATCCAGGCCCAGAATAGGCAGGACATCAAGTGGAATGCAATCTGGTACGCGTGGCTCAAGCCCTCATACTCTCTTCGTGTCACCTGCGGAAACTGACTCGAGGTTCCCAGACAAAACGTTCTGATTCTATCATGAATGCTCATGTGGAACGGGACTGCCGCAAGCTCTGACCGACTTCTGTCTCGACAGT